TTACGTGTTTGGTCGAACCCTGCATTTTATCAACCTATTAGAGCATGTTACCTGTTGCGTTTGGTTTAATGACAGACTAAGCCTTCATTAAGTTAATAGCCTCTTAATGTAGGGTTATTGGCATGTATACAGCCTCAGATCTATCCAAGCCAACAAACCCGGTCTTGTCCTTCTTGACAAATCCAATGAAATCGTTTATATCATTGAATTTTCTGTCCCTTTTGAAACTAATGTGATTGTCATGATTCAGGGAAAACATGGCAAATATGCGGATTACGCTTTTGAGTACCAAGTTGTCCGACTCCCCATTGTTCTAGGTGCTTTAAGTTTGGTACCTCCCAATCTGTTGACTGACATCGGGAGAGTACCCGGGTTTGCTGACAGGAATGCAGCCCTTCTGACAATATGGGTAATACAGAAGGCTGCAGTATTGGGGAGTCTTCACATTCTCCGAAAAGTACTGTGTGGGTTTGACTAGGCAGCGCTTCCTGGGAGAAGTCCCATTCGCTGTCTGAGCTGCGTGAAGAGCAAGCGCCCTGAGCTGATGATGAGCCTAACTAGCCTGACTGTGCCAAGATCACCCGAACCCTCTTTGCTGCATTTATTTATGTTAATCTATAAATAATAATAATGATAATAATGTGCCCAATCCATATCCTAAAATAAACTCACAGCTCTACAGCGGAAGTGAAACAACACACGATGACCGTCAGTGCTGGTGATCGTGGTTCGCCCTGAACGCACTTATCACCAGGATGCTTACATATACACATGAACACGGGACAATGTCCAGCTGAGGTAACGGAGAGTAAAGAGGCGAGTTACTAATCTGAACTTGAAGATGTTGATATTGTCAGCTAGTCTGATGTTTGCAGGCAGAGTGTTCCATAGACCTGGGGCAGTGTGGGTAAATGATCTGTAGCCGAATAAATAAAAAAGGAGTCTAACTCAAGTCTAGAATAATGTGGCAAGTCAGCTCTTGGCCAGAAATTACGGATTGTTCAGGGCTCCATTTGGATTATTTTATTATTTTGTAATTATATATTTTTAGATAAGATAACTTTAATTCTGGGACTAAACGTCAGTCTACCGAAAGTCTTGAGTTTGTAATGTGGAACTGCGAGGATCTGTTGGTTCTGGGATCGCAGTCCGTGCCTTGGAACAATTTTTGGTGTTCGTACGAAAATTAGGTCACATTGGTTACAGGCCTAGGGGTATCCATTTCCCCCAGCGTCCCAACTCTCTGGCTGCACATTCTACAATGTATCCATGGAGTGTTTTATGACAGAGATATTCATCTAAGAATAATATTCAGTAGTTGTATTCAAATTTATTTAGCTGACGAAAACCATTCCAGAAAGCACACCCATGCAATATCATTCATAACAGATCTTTTACTCCAGTATAGCTCGTACTGCATGTTTAAAGAGATATCATATCCATAATATATTCATGTTTTTCATGCCGACATTTATTCAGTAGTTTTTAAATGCTGCTGTGTGTTCTACTTAACCCGGGGGCACGGGTGGCCCAGTCGTCTAAGGCGCCGCGATTCGCTGTGCAGAGTTGCGTCCCTTGGGCACATCAGAAACCTATGATTGTGGGTTCGAATCCCGGTTCGCCCCAATTATGTTTCTAGGTTTGTCAGCACCATACCCGTGCTCGTGGGTTTCACCGAAGTGGTAAACGTCTGAGACCTGCATCACTTCGGGCTTTCCTCCCACATTAAGCTGACACGCCGTGATATAACTGGAATAATGTTAAAAGCGGCGTTAAACCTCACTCACTCACTCTACTTAACCCTAAAATTTGAATAATTGAAGCATTGGTGCATTATCTGAAATACATTTGCTGGCTCAAATTGTTTTAAAGATATTATCCCAAATAGAATACTTGAATAAACTTACTGTTCATGATTACATTGCATACAGTAAACCACGTTTGTAACGAACACGCTTATAACGAACTGACCGATATAACGAACTTATATTTTTGTCCCGGTCATTTGTTGTATATATGCTTATAACGAACTACGGTTATTACGAACTAAAATAAGTGGTCCCTTTGAGTTCGTTATAACCATAGTTTACTGTATTGAGTTTGAGATTAGTTTAAGATGCAACTTTCAACTGTAAAATATTGAGCAGTACTTTGAAAAACATGATTGTCATATACCTATCAATGATGAAGCATTTTGCATCTGCAGTAGAGCCAAGATAGAGACGGTCATATCACAGGGGTGTAATAACCAGACCCGTATTGCACCCCCTGCGGGGCCGATATGGCTCATCAATGCATTTTGAATGGGCGATCGATATGATCCCGCGGGGTAAGAAATTTGAGTTATGTCCCTTAGCGCATCGTCTGCTAGTCTTCTCATTCTTTCTTTCTCTGTTGTTTTACGCCGCACTCACCAATATTCAAGCTATATGACGGCGGTCTGTAAATAGTCGAGTCTGGGTCAGACATTCCAGTGATTGCGTCATGAGCATCGATCAACGCAAATTGGGATATGAAGACATGCATCAACTATGTCAGCGAGCCTGACCACCAGATCCCGTCAGTCGCCTCTTGATACAAAATCGCCTTTTACTGCAGGCATGGTTTGCTGAAGACCTATTCCAACAAGATCTTCAGGGATCTTCCTCTTCTCGGCTACCTTTCCTGTGACAATGTCTTCCAAGCAAGGTAAACCTGTATTGCGTTCATTTGCAAATACATACATTTTACAATTTGATGTTATGGTATATGATAAAAAGGTGATTAAATGTATAAAACGGGAATGTTATTGTTAAACTCCTCTGGCCTTTGGCTCTCGGGCTAATGTTGGGCATGAAATGAAAAATGCCACATATATAATAAATTGTAACTAATGCAATCAGTGTTAATATCAGTGTCAATTGTTGTACCTCTACACTAGACCCGTGAAGACCGGATCAAAATAGGTCTTCAGCAACCCATGCTTGTCGTAAGAGGCGACTAACGGGATCGGGTGGTCTGGCTCACTGACTTGGTTGATGCATGTCATCGATCCCAATTGCTTGGAAAGATGCTCATGATGTCAATCACTGGATTGTCTGGCCCAGACTTGATTATTTACAGACCGCCGTCACGTAGCTGGAGTATTTGCGGCGTTAAACAAGAAACAAACAAACAAACTTCTACTCTATATTGGACCGACAATTGTTTAGACAATTTGTCAAATAATTTTTTTGGGGGGGTGAGATGACATGGGGGTTAAACGTTGTGTTTGATTATTGTACATGCGTGCATGCTTGCTTGTAAAAAAGTCCGATCAAGACTAATGCCAGCGTTTGACTGCCAGCCCAACGACATACCATGCCATGTTTAACATAGGTAGGTGAGGTGAGGTGAGGTGAGGTGAGGTGAAATGGGGATTAACGTCGCGTACAAGATTATTGCACTTATATAGCGACGTGCATGTGCGTGTGTGTGTTTGTGTGGCTGCTTGTACTAGTCCGGACTGATGCCGATTTATAGTGCTAGCTCACTGAGATACCATGCCGCAGTTTAACATGAATACACAGACACAGACACAGTATACGGACTCCGAGGCGACCAGTCCTTGTTTTAGCCCCTTAATGCTGAGCGCCAGACAGGGTAACAGGAAGTACCATCTTTTAACGTCTTTTGATATGACGTGGTCTGGGATCGAACCCCGGACCTTCCGCTCAGCTCAACGGGCCGACGCTCTACCACTAGACCACGGAGGCGGTCAACATAGGTAGGTACTCAACAGACACATACTGACTCCGAGCTTTGTTTATCCCCTTATTCCGAGCGCCAGACAGAGTCACAAGTATACCATCTTTTAAAATCTTCAGGTATGACGGACCTCCTTTCTAAGGAGGTGGCAATTTGTTGTGAATATTTTGAATTGTGCTTACTATCACTGTGAACAGTATTTCAGATATATACCATAGCTTGTAAGTATGAGTGTGTTGGGTTTGACTGCTGATCTATTTATTGAAACAGGCACAAATGAAGGTATTGCAAGAGAACACAGACTTTGTAGGATTTGTAAAACTGATTGTACTGAAGATGAATATCACTTTTTATGTGTATGTCCAGTGTATGAAGATTTAAGAGCAAAATATCTAAATAACTATTTCTACCGCAACCCAAACGGTAACAAATTTTGTAAATTAATGACTTGTGATTGTACAGGAACTATTAGAAATCTATCAATGTTCATTTATCATGCCATGAAACTAAGAAAATGTATGAATTTGTAACACGCCCCTCACATTGTACTATAGGCCTTTGGCCTCATAAGTACCATGAATAAAGATTGATTGATTGATTGACTGCTTTTAAGAGTATTCCAGTTATATAAGGGCGTGTCAGCTTAATGTTGGAGGAAAGCCCTAATTAGTGATGCATGTCGCAGACGTGTACCATACTGGTGAAACCCACCAGCACGGGTAGAGTGCTGACAACCCCAGAAACATAATCAGGGCAAACTGGGATTCGAATCCACGATCCTGTGTCTGTTCACTCTGTTGCCCAATAGACTCACCTCTACACAGCCAATTAGACAACTGTGTCACGGCCTATGCCACCCATAACATAGAAGGAAAGCCCAAAACACTGGACCATGTAACAAATAATAATAAACAAATTCACCCAAAACTCAGTCGAGGCCGTGGGCCTCCTCTGCAAGTTTGTTTGCTATTATTATTATTTACATGATCCTGTGCCAAAAGTTAGCAGTGGTGTAGGTTGTAGATGTGGAACTGGTGCTGACAGACAAAATATTGAGATTGGGATTTTGGACCTATGATCAGCCATGTCCTGGCTTTGATAAGCAAAGCAACTATGCAAAGCAAACTGTGGCACCACAGACCCCAGCACCATACATGCACTATTGAACAACTTGCAGACAGATTTTGAATAATTTGATTGGTCAGTTACATCACATGATCATTTCATTCCTTGGAGTCAGGCCTCTTACCAACCTTGAAAGAAACAAAAGGCAGTTTTATAACGAAATATAACTCTTTATTACAAATTCATATATCTATATATAATGATAAATGGACAATTTCAATATGGAATATCATAAACAATATTTGATATCTGGCTATTTCAGTAACCAATGTTGGCTGCAGAACCATACAGAGAACGCTAACACACAAACATCCCAGTTGGCTAGTCCTGTAGCATCTACAGCAGCAGCAGCAGCAGAGCTGACACTGTCTCTAGCTCCACCTACACTCACTAACTGACTTACTGACGCTTTGAGCCAGATATGCGGAATGAGTATAATGTACATACAAATGGCGGCCATTGCGGTCAGCATCAACTGAGTAGAAACTAGATGCAACTTTGAAAAGGTAGGAAAGGGTCACTTGGTCTGCATTATAAGTGAAGAGATATGTTCTTATATAATCCTTGAATGGCAACTACATGTTGGACATGACATAGTGCATATGGATGTCAACACCTTTTTGGGTACAGTGCAACACTTCCAGGAAGACCCACACTCCTTCATCCTGAGATCAAGGGAAGGTCTGACCCAAACTTTGTGCTGTACACACATTCAGAGGTTTAAATCCATATGGACCATCTGCACTACGCTTAGTTGAAAAGACACAGCAAGAACCTTTTCCAGAAATGTTAAGAAAATGTACCATTTCAAGTTAAAGTTATTGTACAGTTAGTTACCATTTACTGCTCTGCTGTGAGTGAGATGCTGCAGTCTCATGTGCTGAAAAAATATTTGTTCCAAAATATGAACTAAGATTTTCATGAAGAACATTTTCACATAAAACAGATAGCCTACTTGGAAGACCATGAGGGCTTGAATTCACATATGATAGATAGAAAAATGAATGAGAAGACATTCCTCAGATTTTGTACATGTATTTGTTAGGACAGTGAGCTCCTTGTCTGCTCATAGCTGTAAAGTGGAGAGAAGGGATGCTTCCAGTACACAGGTGAGACACAGGTGTGTAGACATCAGCAGCAGCGCAGCCTGATATGTTAAAATATACAACAACTGCAGGGGGGGAGGCTACTGCCAGGCACACACTTCATGGAAAATACTGACATGATTCTTCCACGCTAGCTCGTTTTCTTTACCAGTATAATTTCGGTAGGAGTATTAGGATGTTTTCAGTAAATCAGGCATCCTCATTTAGGACCAGCTAAATTCCAAGCCTTAATGGGAGTTGCTACATGTATTCTCAATGAGGGACCATCAATATTCCATTCCAGTCCTCACTGACATTCTTAAATTTAAGTATCCTTAATAGGGGACCACATACCTTTTACCCATGCCCTCAATGAGGATATTTGACAACAATGTAAGTATCCACAGTTCAGGATGAACTAAAAACCATCTCAGCCCCCATTGAGGATTCTTAAAGTGGACCTGCCTATCCTTTAAATATATCTAAGACTGGTCCGGCTTTCAACTACTACAGTATCAACATGACATGTAGTTCTTGCATCACAACCTTCCAGGGCTACATTACAAGGACTATCCAAACATTCCAAGGGGAACAACTCTCAGCCCCAACCCCCACCTGTGTGAAGACACAATGCTTGACAAAGGTGTAATCTAGACGAGTACACAAATAATAAATGCAGTCTTATTGATTTACATCCTATCCTGTCAGGAGCTCACTCCATTAAGTTTACTTGGAACGCCACAAAAGTGATTATGCCTGGGAAAACAAACTTATGTGAAGATCTTGCACAAAATACTTATACATATCATGCAAAGTGAATGGCACTAAACTGGACCAAAAACACAGATATGACAAGTGTACTGAGAGAGTTGGTACAGTAGCAAGTCTGTAACCATGGTAACAAGGACAGACAACACTTGACACCCTTACCCAAAAACTGAACTTTGGAGAGTGCCAACGTGTTCACAAAGACAGTAATAACAAGAAGAAGACCACAGCATGTAAGTTTGACCCCAGACAATCATTAGCATTGTCTGTATACACTGGAACCTTGTTAATCCAGACAATACTAATTACCTGTGACGATATCTGGAAGTCTGGATGTACAAATTACAGGTATGGAGTAATGTCATTTGGACATGTGTAGACGTTCCCACATGTAAATGCCTAGTATTTGAATTGACTGTAACGACTTCAGCTATGCTTATTCTGATAATACATTTGGGAATAATACAGGCAGCACTTCTTTACAAGTTCTTGATTATCATTAATGAGTGAGAATCTTGATGACAAAAGACGAGTTGTGTGAAGTACTGAAATGCCACGTTACCATACCAACAATGAACACGGTGACAACACAAACTGTTACAGCTCGACTTCAGATCTACATTATATAAAAGTAACAAGGACTGTAGAAATATAACACTGAATATGAATGAGCACTTTCCATGTTGACTAAAGGCTAACATTTGTAAGTAAATAGGGCATGTAAGTGTCGAGTTACAGCTGTTGAATGTCAAAACCATTAACACAAATGACACCTAAATGGTCAACAGCAGCAACAAGACAGGAAGTACCTGGAAATTTCAAATAGACGTATTACTTTGGACAAAGAAACATATTTACAATTTGAATTTTCATGGCATGTATGTAGCATAAAATACATACAGTGTCAATGCCTGATCATAGAGATGAAATCCACATTATCAACACTTCAGTTTTGTCTGTTTGCCCTATACACACATATTAACCACATATATATGTATGGCGAAAATGTTTACATGATACACACAGCAAATTTGTCCATGGTCCAAAATTCATGTCAGTAATAAAAATACATATATGTGACAATTCATTGGAAAATATTTTTCAAGAATACCGTTAGTGACTAAAAGAGATAGTTGAAGACTCCCGTCATGGACAACCTACTGTTTTGCAGAAGTCTTTTTTTTAATTGGATGCTTAACATGGTTAAAGTTGGATAAATAACAAGACTGATGCAGTGCTTGTCAAGTTGTTTCGATGTTCTGTGCAACACGTTCATGTGTTGGAAGTAAAAACACCCAGAAGCAAGCAATTATTCCTTGGCATTCTCAACAGAGTACAGATAGTATTTGTGTGTAAAAATACAGTTGTTCTGGAATACAATTCCTTTGGATTCACAAATATTATGAAAAAAACATACAAACATGACGGCAACATAACAAATGTATAATGTGGATTATACGACTGAGAGAATATCAAGAGAAATGTGTATATATAGCATTTACAAATGTAAGTGTAAAGTTGAATTAGTAATTAAACCTGCATAACCCAAAATCTCAGTAAATAAAAGTATTATCACAAGTTTTGATTTATTGAACATAGCATCTCATGATGCGGCTAAAAGCTACTGGCCTGGCTAATTCTGTTGCAAGTAACTACAAGCTCAAACGTGGTTTACTTCAAACATCATCGGACATCATCAGTTACATCAAGTGACAAAAGTACTATTAATTCTTTGATTATTAAAATACAAACTTGTATTCACATGTATTACTGGTCTTGGGTTTAGAATGGTCATTTTTATGAAATAAATATTGTGCAGCACATTAACAACATATCAGCATTATTGTCAGTTGTTGGAAGACTTGATTACATACAAATGTAGGGAATTGACTCATTTGACATTGAAATACCTTCTGAATGTAAGTACTTAGATAAATCTCAAAGTAAATTGAATACCTGTCATAAGTCTGCTGTCTTTAATAGATGAGTGAGTGAGTGAGTACGGTTTAATGCCGCTTTTAGCAACATTCCAGCAATATCACGGCAGGGGACACCAGTAATAGGTTTCACACATTGTACCCATGTAGTGAATTGAACCCGGGTCTTCGGCGTGGCGAGTGAATGCTTTAACCATCAGACTTCCCCACCACCCCTTTAATAGATGAGAGGTGACTAAGCATGATTACCACTGCAGCAAATACATGCACTAGTGAAGTAAACAAGATCAAGATTTTTAACACAGAAATCTGGTAATGAGGACAAATATTTAACGACCAAACTTAGCAACACAAGTGCAGAGAAACATAAACATATATCCACCTGTTCCTAACCAATCAAGTGGGCACAGGAAAAGCTGCCCTGCATATAAGTCTCAAACTTATTGCATTCCTGATAAAAAGGTTACTTCCTATGATCCAACATGTATGTCTGTTGCTCTTATACTGCACACGAAAAGATTCAAAGAGCCTACTGTACAAAACCTCATTCGAATGTCCTATTTGAGAGATCTAATCAGAGAATTCAACTTTCAAATATCTACTGTTATCTAGCGCCTAAAGCTCTATTCTGCAACAAATATAATATTAATAAATACAGAATCCAACCTGAGAAAATCTCATGAAATGCAAATATCAATTAGTGTTAAGTTTCAGTGTCAAAGCTTCAGGATATACATATTGCACTAGGCTAAACGTTCTACACATGAAACATATCCGATATGTAGCAGTGACAGCACATGCATAGTTAGGTTATCATAGTATACATTAGAGGGGTCACATCGGCACACAAACACATTATTATGATACACAGACATAAATAGACTACTGGGTTAATATCTTGCATAGTGACTACGTAAGGACAGATTTGCACAACTATACACATCTAGTACAATTATTCTGTGCTGATAATATGCTTTGAATATTTAAAGAATGTCAACTCCTTTTAAAAAAAAAAAAAAAAAAAAAAAAATGGAACTTGCCATCAGACTAACAGTATACTAATGCCAGTTAGATAGTGATTGGCCAACGGTGATCCAAAGGCTCGGTCTATGAAACTATCACAATAATTTGCATCTGTTAAAAAATATCCTCTGAAGGCAAGTTCATTTGATGCTAACATTAGCAACAGGAACTATTATGAAATATTCATCACAATGTGTATGTATTACATAGACTATGCATCAGTCCCTCCATGGAGACATAAGGAACTTACTTCAAAACAATCAACTAGTCCCAAGTTTCTAGAACCTTTCTAACTCAAAAACACAAGGCACTCAATAGAGAATATCATAAATTAACTTAATCAGCCAAATCTCATTTCCAAGGAAGACCTCACGTAATAAATATTCTTCACTATGAAACAAAAATATTATATCATCATATGACTATGATGGCTTCAGCTGACGAATACCTTCCTTCACTGATACAGAGTATGAAAACGGTTTTTCCCTTCATTGTGTAATCTTTCATTCATGAACATGTGCTGCCTTAACTCGCTGTCAATGACTATTGTAGCCACTTCACCAGAACAACCACAAGTAGAGACACGACTGGCACTTCCCTCTGGTGGGCAGGGGAAAAGGAAAGGCAAGGGAGGCAATCGACTACCCCTAGGAATGAACATATCTTTGGCAACCCCCAATTCAAAACTTTCTAACATCCACACATTTCTACAGGGCAACTCTAAGACAACTTGTTGAATATGTTTCACACCTATTTTGGGCCACATATATTTTCCAGGTAATTCTGTAGCAAACATACATTTTGAATTCTGACTCCCCGACTCGTGAACGAGTATGATGTAACAATATTGCAGTACAGTGTGGATGCGAGGGATGTGAGGAATAGCCTACATCATACACTCCCGTTCTACTGATGAAATAATCAATTTCCGTACAATACCTGACAACAGATCCACACAATAATCTTAGCACTCTAGCTGTCTGTACATCAATTTACTACTGCGACAGAAAGTCAGAAGAAAGTGCCATTAGCATCAAAACTGCAATCATTTATTGCACATTCAGCGTATTTCATGTTGAAAAGATTTTCTCTGCATTGTTTAAGTAAGATTAATGCCATTTGTTTTTTTCTAGCTTAACTCAGTCTAAGAGATCTATATCAATTTGGGCAAGCTATTGTGTGACAACACGCCCAAAAGGTGTCAATATGTTTACAAAATGTACTGAGAGAAAGGACCTTGTCACATCCTGCCCTCAAAACACATCCAATTTCACTTCAGAATTATTTGTTTTTATATTTGCTGAGAGAAAATCTCCTTAACAATCCATGACCTGCATATACCCTGTGTTACTATGCTAACATGTTGCATCCACATCAAATGACTTCCTAGCTTCACTGTAACCTTGTAACAGCTATTTGATCCAAAGGCTTGTAACCATGGTAACATGATAAACTCGGACAACTACAATGGTAAATGTGGAGAGAAATGAATCAGAGGACTGAATCTGACATCAATCAAGGTGAAGGGGATGTTTCTGTAACTATTGACAAAAGGACATAGAAAATTGTTCAGGGACATGTACTCTGAAATTATTTCATATGTATACTAGTCATCATTTGTTAAGAACCAAAATAGTCATCTTTAAAGATGAGGTCCTTGGTAAATGTTGAGTGGTGTATATGACTTCTTTAGCTATTTCAACAAATGGTCATTCCTGAAATCTTTTAACATGAGGCGCCGGAAATCTGAACTACCTATTATGAAATAAGAAAAAAACCTTTTCGATTTCAGGCCTTAAACTTATTCCTTCAAACATTATGACAAAAGACAATAGCCCAATACAAAAAACTAACACAGGTAAGTATATAGATTCCCCTGGTCTTCACAGAAATATGCAAGATTACTTCATATGCATGCATAATAATTAAAATACTGCAAATCTGAAATATTGCTATTAAATGGAATGAATATCTACAATGCTCCTGATTAGGAATACACAACGATGACCTTCTTGCAAACGACACAATGACTGACTTCAGCTATAAGGGGAGATAACTGTTTGGTGACAATGCTGCTAGCTCACAATACTTGAGATTGAAATCTCCACTTCTTAGTTTTGAAATAAAAACGGCTACGCAATGCCAATGTTTTCCTTTAATGCTTTGTGACTCAAGTTGCCATCTGTTTTACTATGGCCCCCGCTAGACAACCGAGGGGGTATCATGTGATTTTGAGCAATCAGCTCAGGTGAGTAACGATCAAGCGAGCCTGCATACGGCATATTGTATGCTATGGCATGAGTCCACGATGAGGTAGGGTTACTAGGGGAGCACAGGTCTTGAGGCACACTACGGTGATTGTCCAAGAGGGGTTGGTGTTGGAAAGCTGGGCCATGGGTGAGACTGAGCTGAGTGTCCAGGTCGAAATGTTCACTGTGCCAGCTGTACGGCCGACCACCTGTCGGCACAGATATCATGGTGGAAGCTGTGCTGGGGTAGCTGGTTGACCAGCGCCGCGAGTCGGTCTCGTGGGATATCCTGGAGTGGCGAGAGTCGGTGGACCTCAGCGTCGATGTGTCGTATGACCCACAGGAACCACTGCCGCTGTTGGTGTGCATGAGGGTCTGGTCGTTACATAATGCTGTGATCAGAGGAAGGGACAGGGCGTGGGACTGATGGCAGATTTCCGCCAGTTCCGGATGAAGGGTTTCACGATGGTTCTTCACAGATATCTGTATGTTGTTCTTTGGTTTCGTTGGATCCTCATCCCCTGAGTCCTAAAAAGCAGCACATTTTAGCATAAGTTTAGTTGCTCAATTTCTACCAACAACATCTTGAAATGGACAATTACCTAATTGATACCTGAAATAAATTTTCAATCTGATACTCGTATTCATTCTAGAAAGAAGTATTTAAACTTGATCCACTAAGCAATATATACCTCAGAAAAGAATAGATGTTTTCAAGAAACAATTTCTTAAATTACCGATTGAGAAATAATCATAAATGGTTCCAGCAGAAAATCTTATCCAAAAACATTCCACTAGGAACCAGTAAACAAAAAAATACTCCAGTCTTGGGGGTATCTGGGTTAAACTTCACGTCTATGGCATCATTCAAAACTTGTAACCCCATTGGGATTCCGGGTTAGGATAGGTCCCCAGCATAAATATGATTGTCAGAAGGCCTTTTATTCTTTATTAGTTGGTTTATGAAAGTTTTGATCTAAAATTTAATTTAGGTGGTTAAGGGAATGGTTTTTTTTTTAGATTTCTAATTCCAGATTAGTACTGCTACTAGTGAATGAAAGGCAACAGCTGTGATATCTTGTCTCATTTCATCAATAGTAAAAAAAAGAAATTGTCAAAAGTTATTTTTTTCCTATTTGTCCATTGATCTAAAAAACCAACTAAAACAAATTATAAGAGGTGACCAAATGGATCAGCTGGTCAGGCTCAGTGACTTGGTTAATAGTGTGTCCTCGAACCCTGAAAGTGTGGATCATTGCTCACAATATCGATCACTGGATTGTCTGCCTGGTCCGGGCTCAATTATTTACAGGTTGCCATCATATAGCTTGAACATTGCTGAGTGTGGCAATAAACTAACAAAACTTGTTATCTGCTACATCAACACAAAAGTTCACTGTTCAGTCCTCTCTGACAACAATCTGAGATTTGAATAATAAGTGAATGACACGATCACTGAGACTAAGGATACCATTCACTAACCTGTCCGCCTGTAGCTGCCTCTCCTCCAGCAGCTTCAGCACTGACCACCACAGCTTCCGCCGTCCCTGTGGTCACGGTGCTGTATCCAGGCCCTGCTACCACAGAGCTGGACACGGTGTCTCCCAGCACTTTCATGCTCTGTAGAGAGTCCACTGGCAGTTCACTGACAGCACCACCTTCCACAAATGACTGAGGAGGCACATACTCCTCCCGAGCCTCCCTCAGCTCCAGGTCCGGACACTCCGTCATCATCAGAGTGGTGAGTCCTGCACTACTGCTAGGCGAAGGGGTCTTGTCAGTCAATATTGGGGGATTCACTGGGGCCTGGGGAAAGGGGGCCGGGGGAGGTGCATACTGGGAATTGTTCAAACTAGCTTGTATATTTGCATAGGCTGAAGACTCTAAAGGGCTAATTTTGAGTTCATGAGAGTTCTGGCAACTGTGTTCAGCACTGACACACATCTTTCCTTCCTCGGATGGACTCACATTATCTGTATGAACCTGAAGCTGGGTTTGCATTGCCTTGAAACTGTCTCCGAGACTCGTGCTTCGACTCACAGGCTGTGAAGTCTTGTCCTCTGCTGAGGAGGAAGACAAATGACGAGGGTATCCAGGCACACGCGTGGGGAACAACACCTGCTGCTGTTGCTGCAGCTTGGCTCTGTAACTGCCATTGCTGCTGACTGGGGAGAGTTCCGGTAGGGCCATGCTGCCTCCTGTAGGGCTGTGGCCACTGCTGGTTCTGGAGGCTGGAGGCTTGTACAGCTCCAGGGAGTGTGGAGGCAACACTGGGCTGCGATTCACAGAGCTCATCCCTGTCTGTTTGTAACCTGAAACAAAACATTCATGTATTTGTAAATCAAAGAAATGGGAAAAGAAAACACTTGTTTAATCTTTTCTATGTAAAATTGTAAAGACTTTAAAAAGATCTTACTGTAAATAGCTCTTTATTCAACAGAATTATCTATGTCTGTTCTATTCTTACTTCCCTTTTTGTGTGTTTTATCCTAATTGTGTGCCCTATCGTTTTCACAGGAATAAAATGTTAACACAAGCATTAAACGGTAACTCACTGGGAAATCCCCCTGCTGTCAGCTGTCCAAACTTAGACCGACCCTGTCCAGGGGTGCCATGTATTGTTCGAGGTGGGCAGTCAATCATTATCTCTTTGCCATGATCTGTAAGGAATATCAGGTATTTAGACAGACATCACACACAAGAACAGATCAATACCTGTCTGTAACTCATTGATACAAATACCAACTTCTGCGTAAATCTACTCACTTTTTGTGTTGTGTACAGTGATACCCTTGTTTTCAATTGTACCCTTCACTGTGATATATTACAGCCCTGGACCAAGTGATCATGAGTATGGGTGAGTTAGTGAGTGAGTGAGTTGGATTTAACGCCGCTTTTAACAGTATTCCAGTTATATCACGGCGTGTCAGCTTATTGTGGGAGGAAAGCCCGAAGTGATGCAGGTCTCAGACGTTTACTACTTTTACTGTTAGTTTGTTTATTTGTTGTTTAACGCCACACTCAGCAACATTCCAGCTATATGACGGCGGTCTGTAAATAATCGAGTTGGGACCAGGCCATCAATCCACACAATTGGGACATGATGACATGCATCAACCAAGTCAGCGAGCCAGACCACCCGATCCTGTTAGTTGCCTCTGACGACAAGCATCGTCGCCCCTTACGACAAGCATGGGTTGTTGAAGACCTATTCTAACCTGGTTCTTCATAGGCCCTGAAATGTTGTGTAAGCATAACACAGAAGTTGTTAACTGTAACTTCTAAATGCCTACAGACTCTCATATCTTTGCCTGCAAAGGGCACTAAACACAGTGCCTTCATATACAACTGATCTGGTGTGAAATGACAAACAAAACAGATTGGCCATTTATTGTGACTTACCATCACTATCATCAAAACTGATGGTCATCTTGTCGCTCACGATGCCTGACGTGGTGGCTGAGCTGGCATCACTGATGACCGAATATCTCTGATTTCCACCAGACTTTTTAGGAGACATACTTGCTCGGTACTGGACTATACCCCCATTCGTGACCATGTCACGAGGATCGGAATAGATGTAGGACTCTCTGTAACGCCTCTGATCTGTAAACAGACACAGATTTGTTTGTTTTTTTACTAAAATCTATCCATTTTTATATCTGGTTAAAAAAAATACGCAGGTTTCTCGAACAAATATATTCAGCATGACAATACAAAGAACTGTTCTAAACCTTATACAAGTACAAATAATAACAGTCTGTGTAAAAAACTTTGAGCCTACCAGCCCAAACTTACCATAATAATATCATTTTCAGTACATTTTGTTGTCATCATACTGACTTTTATTGGCGTACTATAAATCTGAATTTTATTAGACTTGGGCTTCAGACAAGTGACTAAAGTTGCAGGCTGTAATAATACTATTTGATATGAATACTGGTCACTTCTCTCAACTGAAAAAATCTAACCTGCACCTCATATGACAATATTTGTTCTTTCTCGGAAGATGACACAATCATCATTAAAGATCTGCACAAGAAGCCATGTGACTGAACTAACATACCCTCAGCATCGAGGTGTCTAATTTCCATGAGTTTGGGCTGGATCGCCAGCTGGAACATATGTGTGGTCCGGCAGATGCTAAGCAGGTACTTGGACTTGCCATCCACCTCGGTGTAGTAGGTGAACTTCCGACTTGTGCTCTCATTTCCCCCAGTTGTTCGAATCTCAAACTTCTTTTTCTGTAATCAAACACACACGTTAGTCCACCCTGAACCTATATACTGAACTAGACCCCATTCAATCCATTCCCAAAAACTATATTTTTGTTGTTCTTATTTTGAGCTTCTTAAATTAATTTTAAATTATTTTGATACAGAGAATGTAAATGAAAGTTTTCTTATCATAGACCACGCCACAGAAATGTTTGGAGAATTACCATGGTTACTGTCACACAACATAGAATACCATCTAACACATGCCTGTTCTGCAGTGTTGAAAATGAAGCATGCAAATATGAGAATCAAACAAACTAGTACCATAGCTTTTCGTTGTGAAACAAAACAAAATATAATATACATATATACTTACATCAAAGTACAATTTCCCTATATCAGGCCAGAGAAATGTAGAAATCCAATTCTTAAATCCCCCCTCCAATTCCTGTAATATAACACAGACATGGTTAATACGATGGTTCTTGACTTGAGCTGAAAATTAAACACAGATTCCAATGTTTCCCTACAACAATGAGTGAGTGAGTGAGTGAGTGAATGAGTGAGTGAATGCGTGAGTGAGTGAGTGAGTGAGTTTGGTTTAACACAGATTTTAAAGTATTCTACTTATATCATGGCGTGTCAGCTTAATCAGGGGTAGAAACTAACATATTTAGTCCACTAGTCCTTGTAATGATAACATATAGCAAAACCCTTAAAAATGGCAAATTTCTACTAGTCCTTATGATACCTTAACTATTGGGCAGTTTTTGCAAGGACTACAGGACTTGTGCCAATTTCTAACACTGGTAATCATGCCTCAAGTGATGCCGGTCTTAGACGTTTACCACTTTGGTGAAACCCACAAGCACAGGTATGGTGCTGACAAAACTAGAAACATAATCGAGGCGAACTGGGATTTGAACCCGGGACCACAGCTTTCTGATGTGCCCAAGTGATGCAACTCTGCACAGAGAAGAATTGAGCCGCCTTAGACGGGGACACCCCCCCCCCCCCCCCCCCAAACAATAATGAAGATAAACATAACATTGTATTGAACAATATTATCAACCTGTCTTCAAGAAATGTGCTATGACATGAAACAGGTGTTCACATACCTCATAGACCTCGACCCCCTTGGCACAGACCGCTAGCCACGTGTTCCACACCTTGTCTGTCTTCTTCTTCTTGGCCTTGTAGAAATGGACATTATGAGCGGCCGGAGCTATGGACGTCTCTCGGATAAAGCGCAACTCTGCATCACTCTTGGTCGTGTGTCGAATGTCCTTGTGTATCGATGGTGCATGCTTTGTTAGGTAAGCTATACCTAGTTTCTCAACAATCTGAAATAATAGGAATCAGTTGAATTCTAGTTTGCAGTACCTACCAACATCTTCTTTACACAAGTGTGAGTAAGTGGGTTTAACGTGGCTTTGAACAGAATTTCTGTAACAATGGCTTGCAGCTCAATGTCAGACGAAATCTTGAAGTGATGCAGGTCTTCGACTTTAAAACACTTTGGTGAAACCCACAAGCATGGGTAGAAACAAGGACACCTTGAATCATAATCAGAGCAAATCTTTTTTGAACCCATGATGAGTGAGTGATTGAGTTGAGTTTAATGCCATTTTTAACAGTATTCCAGTTATATTACGGCATGACAGCTTAATGTGGGAGGAAAGCCCGAAGTGATGCAGGTCTCAGAAGTTTACCACTTCGATGAAACCCACGAGCATGAGTATGGTGCTGACAAACCTAGAAACGGGATTCGAACCCACAATCAAAGGTTTCTGGCGTGCCCAAGGGACGCAACTCTGCACACCGCATCAGGGCACCTTAGACGTCTTTATGTGCGAAAAGTTTCATGAAAGAACACAAAGTACTAGAGATATGATCCAGACAAACACACCACTATGAACAAAGTCAAAGTCAAACTTTGGAAAATAAAATTCTAAAAATCCCTAAATAGCAAAAGGGCCCAGTTGACAACCTGGTTTTAGTGTGTGCAAAGGTTCATGAAAGAATACCTATTAGCTTTAGCGAAATGATCCGGAAAACAGACAAGCTGATTACCATATAAACCCATATAACATTATGCATTTGTTTACAAACTTGATGAAGAAAAAGAAATTATCAGAAGGTTGACTTTCAAAGGCTAACTCACAATACTGCATCAAAAGAAAACATGGATAAAATGTCACCTTTCTATCTATAATAACACTTTGATACTGCATAATAGAGAGTTGCAGTATCCCCTTGAATGTGACCTTGACCTATTTCACTAACATACCATATATATAACATGGAGAAATCCAGGGGTCAACATTCTTCAGTATCATGCACAGTAGGTCACAGTGACCCATTTCCCTAACACCCTTACAGCAGTCCTGTCAAAATGGTGGGTAATGAAATACTACTGAAATGATTCTCATTTCTCTTAAGGGAACTAGATGCTGGGTCAAATTAGTGAGACAAATAATCAGATAACCACTTTATTTCAACACAAACTTACAGCAGTTAAAGCTCTACAATTACACTGTGCATGTCAACTCTTATTACCATCTTAGTTTGATGCACATGTCTCTCAAAGCAACAATTAGTTCACCACAACTTAATGAAGACTAAAAAATGAGTGAGTGAGTGAGTTGAATTTAACACTGCTTTGAACAGTATTCAGTCACATCATTGCATTGGAGGAAACACAACAGCGCAGGTGTTAGGAGTTTGGCACTTTTGAGAAGCCCAAGGGCACCGATATGGTATTGACAAAATCAAGAATGCTGATCATCGGAATCTAAATTCAAACCTATGATCATAGGATTCTGTAATACCTCAGGAATTCAACCCTCCACATCCAACTATTGTGCATTAGATGCACGGGCCACCTGGTTCCCCAATACTACAGTGTATTAACAAAACAACTTATTTACCTCTTTATGCATATCAATAACATTGATATACAACAATATTACTAGGTCGTGGCTGACACCTCAAATTTACATGATGAGGATCTCATCTAACAGCACAGATGTAAGTTAATGTCAAGGTATGGAAGGTCATACAGCTACAACTGCTTTAGGAAAATAGGCCATGATTCCTACACGTGACAATACACACATATACTACTCAAAATAAGTTAAGGATCACCAGATTCTTTCATGTTACTATAGTTAATTTGGCATGTCATGACATATTATATATCGTAAAATGAAAGAATCAGGTGGTCCTAACTTTGAGTAGTATAAGTATGATGAATAGAAGCACTTACCCATGCCGGAAAGTACTTTCTTGGGTCAAAATAGCCATCTTGGTGTTTGTCGGGAATATAGTTTCCATAGTCTGCCTGCAGTGCGTAGCCAACCAGCTCAAAACACTTCTCCTCACTGAATAGATGGACGTACTTGAGGAAGTTCTCCTTCAGCTGCAGGAAGTACAAGTGCCGCGTCACCTTCTCTCTGTAAGGACAAACACATCACATTAGTTGGAACAGTCTGTGCCAAAGACTTTAAATCCACAAACCAGAACTTGGCTCTAAGCATCATTTTCTTTTAACTAGCTTGTATGAACTATAAGGGAGGCATGAGATTGTAATGTGGGCAAAAAACCCATTTGGCATCAGATTTTTCAATCCACATTAATATGGTTGAATATTAGATATGGAACAAGTTTTGTTTGTATGTTGTTTTACACCACACTCAGGAATATTCCAGCTATATGATGGCGGTTGTAATAATCGAGTCTGGACCAGACAATCAAGTGATCCATATTGTGAGCAACGATCCACGGTGTTGGGGTTCAAGGATACCCAATCAACCAAGTCACCGAGTCTGACGACCCGATGAATGAAGTCACAAAGTCTGACCACCCAATGAATGAAGTCACAAAGTCTGACCACCCAATGAATGAAGTCAACAAGTCTGACAACCCGATTAATGAAGTCACCGAGTCTGACCACCTGATGAATGAAGTCAACGAGTCTGACCACCCGATGAATGAAGTCAACGAGTCTGACCACCCGATGAATGAAGTCACCGAGTCTGACCACTCGATCAATGAAGTCACCGAGTCTGACCACCTGATCAATGAAGTAGTCTGACCACCCGATGAATGAAGTCACCGAGTCTGACCACCTGATCAATGAAGTAGTCTGACCACCCGATGAATGAAGTCACCGAGTCTGACCACCCGATGAATGAATGAAGTCACCAAGTCTGACCACCAGATGAATGAAGTTAACGAGTGTGACCACCCGATCAATGAAGTCACTGAGTCGTCTGACCACCCGATCTACGAAGTCACCGAGTCTGACCACTCGATCAATGAAGTCACCGAGTCTGACCACCCTATCAAAGAAGTCGCCGAGTCTGACCACTCGATCAATGAAGTCACCGAGTCTGACCACCCGATCAATGAAGTCACCGAGTCTGACCACCCGATCAATGAAGTCACCGAGTCTGACCACCCGATCAATGAAGTCATCGAGTCTGACCACCCGATCAATGAAGTCACCGAGTCTGACCACCCGATCAATGAAGTCACCGAGTCTGACCACCCGATCAATGAAGTCACCGAGTCTGACCACCTGATCAAAGAAGTCGCCGAGTTTGACCACCCGATCAATGAAGTCACCGAGTCTGACCACCCGATCAATGAAGTCACTGAGTCTGACCACCCGATCAATGAAGTCCCCGAGTCTGACCACCCGATCAATGAAGTCACTGAGTCTGACCACCCGATCAATGAAGTCCCCGAGTCTGACCACCCGATCAATGAAGTCACTGAGTCTGACCACCCGATCAATGAAGTCGCCGAGTCTGACCACCCGATCAATGAAGTCCCCGAGTCTGACCACCTGATCAATGAAGTCGCCGAGTCTGACCATCCGATCAATGAAGTCACCGAGTCTGACCACCCGATCAATGAAGTCACTGAGTCTGACCACCCGATGAATGAAGTCAACGAGTCTGACCACCCGATCAATGAAGTCACCGCGTCTGACCACCCGATCAATGAAGTCACCGAGTCTGACCACCTGATCAATGAAGTCACTGAGTCTGACCACCCGATCAATGACGTCGCCTATTACAGCCAACGAAGGCTGCTTGGAAGCAATTCTAACCCGGCATGGCCATGGGGTGGAACAATATAAGCAGCATGACAGTATAAATGATAGAAAGATAAACAAAACGTGTGGGTCCAGTGAGATATATAACCTGATGACAAGACACAAATTACTGGAAGTGTACGAACAACATTATGTGACTAACCGTAAAAGAACAACTTGATCCACGTAGAATTGCACTCTGAACCAGACAGTGAGCATAGGCTTGCCGTGGGAGTCATAACCCTGAAACAAGAGAGATGAGAGATGAAGACAAGCATTAACATGTCTCCCCAAAACAACAAAAACAATTAACCAATGCCATAGACAGCAATGATGACATTTTTCATAATCATCAAACTTGTATAACCATTCAACAGAACATGTGGCATTATAATGCAGAAAGGAAAATCATAAGATATGCAGAATTGCTGGAGATGAGTTACCTCCCCTGGAGCAGTCTTCCAGCGTTTGCCAGCTTGTTTGTGGATCTTCTCTTCCAGCACCAGGAAGTTGAACTCATCATCTATAACAAGATAGGGACAGTTAACATCTCAAGTTCAGTCTCCGACTTTGTGCAGGTCAATTGGACATGGTATAAAGAGAAACGTTTTGGGTCGTAGACTCAATGTTTTGGGCACACTGCAAGTTTAGTTTCCTCATTGATATAAATTGGAGAAGGTTTTATAATACAAATAATTATGCATGCTTCATACTCAAAATACACAATATTCTATTTGAAATGCTGACAATGCTTTCCATTTGGAAAATGGTGTAAGTCATGGTATAAGTCCATGACTGAAATATGTTCTTATCTTTCTTCCATTATAACAATTAAGACCACTTCACCTTTCTTGAAAGCCAGGCCAAAGTACTCCGTCTCCCGTAAGCTGAGGTGTGATGCTACCTGATTGAAGACTTCTTGAAATTTTGACTTGACCTAAATAAATTAATTCAACATTTGAACATCAACAAGGTATGTTAATGATGATAATGTCTAGTAGTAAAAATCCCATTATCAGTTTAATACATTAAATGTTTATTATTATATTTTTCAATGTTTAACCTATTATTATTTAACATTACTAAAAAAGAATTAGGACAAAACATGTTAAAGCCAGGAAGATCATAACTTCAAACAGTAATGTAGATGGAAATATCTAATGCCAAAGCTCTGCAAAGGATACCTTCAGCAAGGTTAACATGAACCGGAGTTCTTCATGGCCACTTGGTTTCAGTTCTGACCCATAAAACTGAAGAGGTACACTTCACCACCATAATGTACAACTGTTTGTTTGTTGTCTAACTCCGCACTCAGCAATATTCCAGCTATATGATGGTGGTCTGTAAATAATCGAGTCTGGACCAGACAATCCAGTGATTGACATCATGAGCATTGGGATACAATGACATGCATCAACCAAGTCAGCGAGTCTGACCACCCAATCTCCTTGACGACTCTTCTGACAAGCAAAGTCGCCTTTTACGGCAAGCATGGGTTGCTGAAGACCTATTCTACCCCGGATCTTCACGGGCCAAGTACAATTATAAGATAGTTTATCAGAGGCTCCATAAACTCTGCCTACAACTGAACTGCTACCAACATTACCAGCCTAAACATACAAAAGAAGTCATCTACTTACATCGACAGTGACGAGGTATTCCTCTCCATTGAGAAGGACAACATGGACAACCTTGCGTTTCTTGCCTGAGGAGTGTGATCCAGTGGCTGCAGACATGTTCCCCTGACCGGGGCCCTGGTCTAGCTCACCGGCAACAGGGGCAACTTGCCACCATCCACTCCCCCCCTACCTCACAGCTACTGCTGCTGCAAGGGAACAGTAACGTTCAGTACTGAGCAAATGTTTGCTTCATGACAGATGGACAATGATAAGAGTTTGTTTGATGATGGATGAAAGATGATAAGCGTCATTGTTGTAATAACATGAATAATGAGATTAGCGTTGTGTGAGTGAGGTTGGTTAAATGCCAAAAGGCCAAACTAGGAACTTCATTTCAGTTATGTCACAGTGTGTATTGGGAGGAAAGCCTGACGTGATGCAGGGCTTTACTGCTGATGAAACCCACAAGCACAAGTATGGTGCCATCAATTAAAGAAAAATAGTCAGGGTGAACCAGGATTCAAACCTACATTCAGAAATTAGTGGCTTGCCTAAGGCATGCAACTCTGCACAGCAAATTGTGGCACATTAGACGACTGGGTCTCCTGTGCCCCCATATGTTGGTGTTGTTTGTTGTTTAACACCGCATTCAGCACTATTCCAGCTATATGACGGCGGTCTGTAAATAATCAAGTCTGGACCAGACAATCCAGTGATTGACATCATGAGCATGTGACCCCATATGAAAGTATTTAAGGGATTAAATGGTGATTTAAGAATCATATATCGTAAAAAGAGGAAAAATCACAAACAGAATGAACTTATTAAAGGTCTATAACAAATACATATTTTACATAGCTCATATCTACATTTTGATATGCTATGCAAGTGCTTAAAAATGCAATTACATGTGTGATTCATTGGCTGTAGGTCACGATGACCTACTGTTGGTGTGACAGGCTGATTGTATGAAAAGTCATCAACAAAATATATCCAAGTCATCAACATGGAAATGTAAACAGACAACTGCTTTACAGACAAACTTTACATCAACTTTGATCTCAAATGAAATTACTCTATAATCAGTTTAAGGACCAACTTATGGATAATACGTTCCAAGTTTCACTCACCTACAACATGTACAACAAATTACATGCAAACCCATTTAACTTGATAGTATGACACTGAGAGTGAGCTCGGTCTTCTTTATACTCTATGGGTATGTCAATCAATTCCAACAGATCATAAAGTAGAGAGCAAAATGTGATATTCTTCGGTTGACGTCAGTATCACATCACAACAGAATGACACATGCTCCTCATTGAAAGGAAACAGTAACCTGGTAACCTACTAACCATACTATTTTTACCATGTTTAGGATGAATATTTTTGGGGATATTTTTTTTGTAGTGAAGGCTGAGTCTCTTTAAATGTGTATGGCATATACAACTTTTCATAATCCCTAAAACAGTATGTTAATACTAGTGATGGGAATTGGTAAAAATTTAAAGATTGATAATGAAGGACATGGATAGAAATTAACCTAGAACATCTACTAGCCTGAATAGTAATAGCATATAGCAGTACCCTCCAGATAAGCTTTTGTTGTTGTGGTTATTTTACCCATGCATATTAAAATCATTGGGTATCAGTAATTCTATCTGCGTATTCAAATTTCTGTTACCCACTAGTTTTTACACATGTGGGTATTTAAGTTAAATATTTAAAAACACTATTCATCTAGTCCCTGCAAACTGGTGTCGTGTGGGTTCAAGAGCTTTATAGGACTCAAAAATACCACGATACTTCCACAAGAAAGTGTGATGGCAAATGATCATGATGTAACTGTCATTGTGGAGTTTGGCAAGGTTGACGGAATGCCCGTTTATAATTTCAAAATAAGTTGCTGATTTGCCAATCGAATACGCAGGGTAACTTCACAATATTTTGATGATACGCACAAGTTTTATTTTTGTAGCATATCTGTAATGTTCGTTGCGTATTGGATACGCTTGGATTTTATTTTACTGCGTATTTCTGCATGTCTGATGAGTATTTTACGCAGATATGCAGCTTATCTGGAGCTCTGAATTCTACTAGCCCTTAGGATACCTTTAACATTAACAAAACTGGACCAGGCTACCGGGCAAGTGCGCATTTTCATCCCTGAAGGAGAAATCATAAATATAGAGCATGCTTTCTACGTCTCCATCCAGTGAATCTTTAAATAATATGGCATAACTTATGCCCTGACAGAATAACTAGTAATATGAAAGAATCGGTGTTCCAGAATGCAGTGATTGTCTTGTACTAATCCACATGATTCATAAGAAGAGTTTTACTCCTTCAGTTATTTGGAGCATCAATTATCATCATGTTTATTACAACTAAACCGTATAGCAGAAACTGATGGTGCACCTTCAAGACGTTTGCATCGCTATATGAGTGTGTGTGTATCCAATGTTAGAGTCAGGCCATCAATGTAAACACCAGGACTGAGTGTAGCTATGTGGTATGTTGATGAGGTTAGCATATGGAGCTCAACTGGATCAGGTGGCCCATGCTATGCCGTACACTAAGGACGAGTAGATTGGTTGGTACATAACATCTACTCCATCTCTAAACCAGAGATGCTGACAGAGAATGAATCGTCTTACCATTTTACCAATATATTTACTAATAATGTTAAAAATAGCATATTTTGAGTCATATTTCTATAATGTTTCTATTTCTATTAATAACTAATATAACCAGAATACAATGGAAACAGCACACTCAATTTGACAATTACTCTAATATTTTAGACACTTATAGTACTCAAAAGAAGTTAAAGAACACCATTCTTTGATATTACTATAGTAAATCTGTTATGGCATATAAAAGAATTGGGTGGTCTTTAACTTCTTTTGAGTAGTATATATTGATACATGACTAGGGGTTCAGAAATGCAATGGTGTGACGTGTTTCCCCAATAAAGCTACAGCATAAAGGCAAGCTATTTGAACTATTTCACCTGCCACTTGTTTCTTGTTTATTCCTTATTTCTCTTTACGAATCTGCAACTTGGGATGTCATGGTTTATCGCAATATCAATGTATCAATACATTCTTAAGGTTGATACTGCATTGATACAAATTTAAGAATACTAAATCATTAATTCATTGCCAGTGAAACATTTAGATGAGTAAGCTTACAATGGTGAAGATAGGCAATGAGAAGGCAGAAAATTCAATCTTAAAGTTAAACATATAATGGTTCAGCCGAGTTAAGAATTTTAGCATTAATTGACTAATCACAGGTCCAAATAGGTAAGTTTTAACTGTACACATTCAGAATAATTACTTTTATTATTAATCAATATATTCTGATGCTTTTGAGTTGATATACTGATACTAAATTTTCAAATCAATGGCACCTCAACTGCTACTAGACTAGTTTGATATGAAAAAATGGTATCTAAAATAAAACTTACTGCTGATCAGAATCACTGAATTTAATAACGAAACAATAGTACTCTGAAGTTGAAATTTTAGCTGTTTTCAAACTGAACAAAATGCATAACAAACAATGTAATTTACCATAATGCTCAACCAAATGTCTTCCACTAATTCAACCCTATAAAAAATATACATATCTTTAAAGCTTATAATCTAAACACTTAACGAATGTAACAAAAAACCCACATTTGTCAAAATTCTGTTACCTGGCTGATTAATAAATATTCCCACGACCTCTCCTGGTAATCAGATCAGTGGCCCTAAAAATATCCCAACAGTGTTCCAAATATTGTCTTTATGCAAGATGCTTATGGCTGTGTGTGGGTGTAAGATGCAAGGAGATGCTAGGAGATGCTAGGAGCAGCACTCCCATCCCTCTCTTCCTATCTGTCTGAGTACAGTTCCACCAGACAGCAGGTGCCAGCTGACAGCACCAACACTGCGGAGAGCTCAGCTTCATCACATATCCTCCTACACACATACCTGTCTCATACCGTCACCTCCTTACAGTGTTATCAACAAATCACCACATATCCTTTGCTGCTTCCTTGTATTACTTCCATAACGGCTTGCTTGTGCTACATGTACTTTGCTCTGTATCATCTTTCATCAAGCATCTTGACCTTGGATATTTCTTTAACCAGATAGCTTTTAGTCCAAATAGAATCTGATGTGGCAGATACATTCTTGTTCTATGTTATCCTAATTCATATAACGGAACATGGCTACATAGACAACATTCTTGTTTGTTTTTATTTATCAGTTTACGATAAACAAACTAGAGAACGGCTCTTGGCTGCAAACTGTGAGAAACTTATTTCATCAATAAATGCAACTTTGCTTTCAGACCTTTTGGGGGGGTAAATTCAGAGACATTATCATGAACAAAGCATTAAACCCTTTTAGTCTTTATGCCATCAGTGGAATACAATATATGCAAAGATAACTTTTAGTAAAAAAAATATTATTCCAATTGTGAATAATATTTTTTTGCTGTACCCAAGAATAATACTGGTATGGGGATTGCAGGGAGCGTTTTAGTTTGTTTTTCTCCACTGCACCTAATGCAGGCTGCAATTACAACTGACTGCACAACAGATCTACTGGCTGCAAAACATACTTCACTGGTAAATTAAACATGTATTTGCATATATTGTCAATCTGTAGTGTACATAAACAGGATGTAAACATGAACATTGTGGGAAATAAAAGTAATTTTATTTCACTTTGTTTAGATCTTGTATACGTGATATAAATTTTAATAGTGATATGAGCCTATTTGTGGAATATCTTACCGACTGCAGTCAGTCAGTGCAGTCAGCTTGCTGCACAAGTCTATTTTAACCTGCACTGGTGCTGTCTTGTCAGTGGGAAATCACACTCCGTACTGTGCTTGAAAACTTAGAATAATAATAAATTTGGGATTTGAGCCTGTGATGAAGGACACAACTCTTCAGAGAAAAATACAGAAACATAAAGGACTGTGCCACCAGTGGTCTCCAAATGGATAACAAGTAATATTCTTGCATCATTTATGAAAAACAACTCAAACATTCTTGACACTAAATATTAACCCTGTCTTCTGTGATATTGAACTTGCCAGTCAGTCTATTGGTCCTTTAAATTCCACTAGTCCTAATAACAATGCACACATATGTGAAATACGCATTGCCAATGAATATCAATACGACACTAAAATTTTATGATAAATAAAACTTCAATCAAGAATTCTTTATATTTCTTGATGGATTTTTTAGTAAAATATGTTCAATGAAAGTATAAAATAACCAATATATGCCAACTGTTAAGAAGTCCACATTCCTATCCCTGGACATTCCAATACTCAACCTATCCAAAACACAGTGTACATTGTCATTCATTTAACAGTATAGGATGTCATGATTAACTATCCTTTGATCCCATCTAGCAGTCACAAGACTTGAGGTTCAAGAACACAGGAAATCACTACTATATTTAAATGTCCTGTGTATCATTGCGACTTCCTCATGGCTGTACTAAATAGCTGTACTGCAATCAGTACATTTCAAGATAAGAACTACAAAGAATAACAATACAATGCATGACCATTGCCCATCAGATAGCATACTGAGATATCAATAATAGGAAATGGACTTCACTTGACCCACATATTGTGGAGGTATTTCACCAATAAGGAAATCTTAACAGCACGTCCATCTCCTTGACCCACAAAACTGAAACCTGGCTTGACAGGGTGTAAAGATAAGCCAGTGTCAAAATATGACTTATTCATTCCCATTACCTCACCATTAGAACAGAAATTTATCTGTAATGTACAACATATTATCAGTGCTTCTCATATTTATGAAGATGTTACTTACAAGAAGAAGTCAAAACTAATAAATGGGTAAGTGTGTGGATTAAAGCCACTTTTAAGTAATATATTCCAGCAATATCACGGCAGGGGGCACCAGAAATAGGCTACACACATTGTACCCATGTGGGGAATCAAATCGGGGCCTTCAGCGTGACAAGCGAACTCTTGAACCACTAGGCTACCCCACCGCCCCTCAATCATAATAAAGCATAAACGGAATGATACAGTGTGTTGAGATTCAACTTACTCATGAACATATAATGAACCCTATCAATTTGACAGAGACTAACAATTGTATCAAGATCTTTATAAGTCATAAATGAAACACTCAACATTTTATTAACTGGATTCTATCTCCATTTTCTTCAAAATAAATACTGTTGTTATTGCCCACATTCCAACCTTCACTATGAAATGATGTCAACAGAATGACAACTCTTTATTTTCCATATGCTCAAGATTAATTGCCTTAATTCGCAAAAATGAAATATTGATATGAACACATAACATATCCGAACCTTGACCTGCACTTCTTGGACTTATATTCTGACACATTTCACACTTGTTTGGTTTTAAATATGATAGAATTCAGGTTATTGCAATATCACATGAAGAGTCCCTCCTGTTTTGTAGATTTAAGCATACTGAACTAAAGATAAAGAAATTGGTTACCTTCCAACCTTCACTATGAAATATTGTCAACAGAATGACAACTCTTTATTTTCCATATGCTCAAGATTAATTGCCATGTGAATGTCATACATTGTCCCATGGTTAAGTGTCTGGCTCTTTGCACCATAACCCTTCTGTTTTATACCTCTCTGAAGAGTACTCAATGTAAAGTTGGTTGGTTGGTTTGTTGTTTAACGCCGCATTCAGCAATATTCCAGCTATATGACGGCGGTCTGTAAATAATCGAGTCTGGACCAGACAATCCAGTGATTAATATCATGATCATCGATCCGTGCAATTGGGATCGATGACATGCATCAACCAAGTCAGCGAGCCTGACCACCCGATCCTGTTAGTCGCCTTTTACGACAAGTATACAATGTAAAGAAGATACAAAAAGTAACATGAGTGAAGAAAACCTTGTCATCTGAATATCACTTTTGATGTGGCCCATTGACTTGAGGCATTTTAAGTGACAGAAAAACATAATAAATAAATAATTAATAATAGTAGAATTATGCCATCATAACAGTTATTGCTAGTTTCATGACACAAAATTCTTTTTTTGCTCTAATGGAACTGTATCTCCATTAATGCATTAATCATGTTAATGGTTAAAAGGATTGAAATGCATAGAGCTAAATAGGCATGGATGCTAATGTTATTTGATGCGACTATACAGAGATTTAATATATTCATAGACTTAGGATGATCCAATTTTCAGATAATTCAGTTTTGCTTGTTATGGAAATAGATATTAGAATCCGATTGCATTAGTACTATCATACAAAATTATTGACACCAAATCATGACCAATCAGGTTTGCTCATTTATCATACAAACAGTTAGAGCAACAATTCAGTATGCAAAAAATGAGTACATTCTATACATTGTCAAGACAACATAGTGATGTATACAGGCAGTGTTAGTACATAGCTCATCTAAGCTATTTGTTTCCTATACCTATGAAGTGGTGAGACGGGAGGATGCAGTCCTAAACATCGTCCACCTGAATTCGGCATACTTGGGAGAACTTTCCATAATGGTATTTAACGTCGTATTTTGGCATGTTTCACCATCTTTAACAATTATACGACACCTTATGTAATTGCTTCATATTAAAGTGAAATGGAATATGACATTAGCATACACTACAACACTTGCAAAGCGTTAATATGTCAGGATTTAGCAGAACTTGTACGCTCTGACGCGCATCAAAGATTTCATTTCTGCCCTTCCCATCCCAGAGACGCGAACCTCCTCGCAAAACTGCTGTCTAAAGAAGAAACAATGCGAAACTCGTCACTTACCTATGATACATTTCATCGTGATTGCTTTATCTTCCATACTGTACTGTCCATTTTTAAAAACAAACCTTGGTTTAGCGAATATACAGGCGAATACCTTACATTCCAAAGTTCTTTTGTAGATTTCTTGCTTTCATGAACCAAAGTAATATCCTCGAAGCTAGATTGTTTCAAAACTTGATTGTCAGTCGTAACATATTTATTTGCCTCGTTTATATTCCTACCCGTGTATAGTTTCGATTTTCAGTAGTTCATAATTTAACCAATGAGTAATTAAAACTTACATTATTTTATTTTAACAGATAGCATTTCGGTTCTGAGAGTATCCCACAGAGGGCGCTGTGTCCGTGACCCGGTTGAGGTCAACATGTGCGTGTCATCGGTGGTTGTTATCGCCGTGTTGTTTCTCGAGTGAAAACATGTGATAAAGATATTTGCAAGACATCCTAACTTAATGTGAGCTAGGATCACAGTTTTACGGACATCGTAAGATAATATCTGCTTTCAGAATATGTCGCATAAATAATTGACATAAAGCTAAGACACAAGAATGTGAAATGGCAAGAGATACCCGTCTTGTCTGAGTGAATAAAAATCTTTTCATTGTTATTAAAAACAGATCAGGCTGTAGGCCAATGATGCAAAGGTGTATTCGCCGTCACGGTCTGACGCCTCTGTGTAATTAGTAACCTATGCGAAAGGTATGAACACACAATAGCATTTAGAAAGGTGTCAAATGTTACAAATGTTATTTGGGATATCACTTCTTTCGTTATAAGGGACATATTCTTGTACAATTTTTGGGTTGAATCCCGCATTTCCCATATTGATACTAGAATCTGTACTTTACTAAGGTAGTGATAAATATGTGTAAAACATATATGCGAAAGTGTTTCTTGTTTTCAAAATGTGATAACCAGTTGTGACATAAGACATTTGAATGAGTCTAAACAATGAAGCAGTCTCAAAGTGATGCTGACAACTTGATTTACCAGTTATGTTTCAATAAAATGATTTTCAAAATACATTCCACTGGGTCATTGGAAATATAGGAGGTTACCCAGACTATGAGACAAACTGGGTTAAATCATTTGAAAGAAAACTTAAGCTTCCAGAAGACAACCCCAACAATATCACATGTGACTCCAATATTTCATATGTAAAGCATCAACTCTCAGTGGATTCCAGGATTATAGTATCGCCTTTCTTAATGAGTTCATCCCAATTAACACCATTTAGTGTTTTGTGGTGTAATTATATAATTGTCCCTTAAATCACTCAGCAATTAGGGTGTGTGCATGTGTATTCCGTCGGTCAGTGTCCCAATCACATGAGTGTACACGTACTTCAGCTCACTTAGGTAAAAGGGAGCGTGGTTGGCCAAGTCTAGATGAATCTAGGTAAATCAAGTTGACAGCACTACAACTTGCTATGCAGTTGCATCCATTAGGCATGCCAGACAGCTATGACTCCAATACCCTTGCCCGTAGGTTTCGCAAAACAGCTAAGACCTGCATCACTTTGGGCTTTCATCTAACTTCAGCTGATAACCGTGATATAGCTGAAATACTGATCAAAGCGGTGTAAAACTAAACCAACTCCTTTAAGTAAAAATTGACCTTATTCAATACAGTAAATCACATCACTTTTCCAATTTAGGCTTTGCAGGAAAAAAAATAAAAGGAATACTGCCAATACATTGACGTTAATAGATAAACTGATTTATTATAATTGACTATTCACTCTGATAGTTCAGTGTGTGATCTGACTGATTGTGTCTTGGAAGCATAGTCGTTTCTCCTGTTGTCAATGATTGGTTTGTCTGGTACATACTTAATTTACAGACCTCCATCAGACTCTATCAAAGAACAAAGACGTAATTGAAGCTAGTTTGAGCTTTTGAGCTATTTTCGTATCTAGATTGGCTGTTTTTGTGGAGTGTTGGTACAAGCTAAACAAATCTGGCATCTACACATGAAAGATGTAGACAATTTTGAAACTCACTTTTCAGAGCAGTCATGGACAAGAGGTGTAGATCTCTGCTCCAGGACCTGTGTTTGTTCAGGTAAGTACAATTCTTCCTGTTTTATTACAGTGATGATGATATTATTATTTGTCTTCAGCAACCCATGCTTGTCGTAAGAGGCGACTAATGTGATCGTGTGATCTGACTATCAGACTTGGTTGATGTATGACATCGTATCCCAAATGTGCAGATGATGCTCATGAAGTCGGTCACTGGATAGTCTGGTCTAGACCTGAATATTTACATACTGAATTCATATAGCTGGAATATTGCTGAGTGCAATTAAACAACAACAACAACAAAGAAAGCATGATATGATGCAAGATGGATGGTCCAGATTGGTTTGGATTTCATCATCAGCACAATGCTGTCGGGTTGTGTATTCAACAGGTCAATGATATTTCTTTTCTGTCCCTTGGGAATCTTTCAAGTACAAACTGAGAAAAATGACATAATTCATGATGTTTTTGTTGTACAATGGAACTTCATATGACTCATGTAACATGCCGCTATTACTTATGAATAGAACACTGTGCTCTTAAGACATTAAATATTCATTTTGAAACATAAATAATACTTTGTTATTGTGAATACAACATCATGTGTGTCTAGTGAACATGGGCGTGGTCATCTTCCGACGCTGGTGTCCAGACTGGGGGAGATGGGAACCGCGTTGCAGCAGCCCGGCTCTGAAGGGGTTCAGCTGGTCACTCATCTTGTGGACACCTACTTCACATGTCTGGGATGTTCAAAACTGTCCAAACAAATTGAAAAGGCACGGCTTTGTCAGTTATTTTCGATATGTAACGTTTCTGTTTCTATTTTTACTTTGAATTGTTTACTTTGGCACTGGTTATATTTCCATTAAAATGAAAAGATCTGAATATCAGGTGATCGATCATATTATTTCAAGTTCCAAAATAATTTTAATAATTGAATGATTAGTTTCAGTTATTTTATTGGATGAGTGTATTTTGACAGCCACCAGTCTAGGCCACAAGTAGCCCTGTGGTTCAAGGTGTCGCAGGGGCGGTCGGGTAGGCTAGTGGTTAAAGCGTTCGCTCGTCACGACGAAGACCCAGGTTCGAATCCTGACATGGGTACAATGTGTGAAGCCCATTTCTGGTGTCCCCCGCCGTGATATTGCTTGAATATTGCTAAAAGCGGCGTAAAACCAAAACTCACTCACTCACTCACTCAAGGTGTCGCAACTCATTTTGAAGAGTTGTGTCCCTTTGCTGTAATTGTAATGATTAACTGATTGTTGGTTTTGAATCCGAGATTTGGTGGATTTTGACCCTGATTTTGTCAAGACAATGCCAGTGCTTGTGGTAAATGTTTTCCACCTGGTTCACAGTTGGATTTCTATATGTATTTTAGTTAAACTGGTTATAAACTTGAAATTCTGGATACAGTATAGTTAATGTAAACTCCCTCACTTGCCTATCAGACAGCTGACAAATTACAGGTAACTGAAGATAATGGTGTATTTTTGTTTACAATAGGTTCTGAGCAGTGTTCCGCCTTCCATGGCGCCAGTGGTTGAGTCTCAGATGACTGTCAGAGTGCAGGAACTGCTGACAAACACTGGTTTACTGCACAAAGGTAGAAACCTTCTTTCAGCTGTTACCTGAATATTTCTCATAGGTTAGAATTGGTCTTCAGCAACCCATCCTTGTACTTAATGGCGACTATGCCTGTCGTAAGAGGTGACTAATGGGATCGGGTGGTCAGGATCACTGACTTGTTGATGCATGGTCAGGATCACTGACTTGTTGATGCATGTCATTGTATCTCAGTTGCATAGATCGATGCTCATGATTTCAGTCAGTGGATGGTCTGGTCCAGACTCAATTTACAGACCAATATATAGCTGGAATATTGCTGAGTGCAATGTTAACAACAGACAGACAAATGTTACATGCACTCACTCATTCTCTTTCAATGGTTAGGGGCGGTCGGGTAGCCTAGTGGTTAAAGCGTTCGCTCGTCACGCCGAAGACCCGGGTTCGATTCCCGACATGGGTACAATGTGTGAAGCCCATTTCTGGTGTCCCCCGCCGTGATATTGCTGGAATATTGCTAAAAGCGGCGTAAAACCATACTCACTCACTCACTCTTTCAATGGTTAATAAATTATGTGACCTCAAAAGTTAAATGACAAAAGTTAATTGACATGATTTAATTAAACTGCATGATTATTTAATGTACACTTGAAGATAATGACATTGTAATTCTATTGTAATTTTTGCCTTATTGAAGTTAATCATATACATGTATACATTTTCTGTTCACAAGAATGGCTGGTAAAGTTTTACGCTGAGTATTACTGATGTTAGAGTAATCCTAAATCCCCTTCCTTACCTTATCTCACCCCAGGGGGATTCCAGGGAAGAATGTTTCCCCACCACCCAATAATAGACAGCTAATACAGCCATGGCTGCTTACAGGATTACCACCGACTGACTGACCACCTGAGAAGCCGGACTCTCACGTGGGATGTAGCTGTATTAGTGTCATGTAATGCCCCCCCCCCCCATTCCACTCAGAGGGGAGAGATTTGCACACCTGGTCACTGACTGGACACAGGCACACTGTGCTAACTCACATATTGCTGTCTGACATAATGCTGACTGACATATTGCTGTCTGACATAATGCTGACTGACATATTGCTGTCTGACATGTCACTGTCTGACATATTGCTGACTGACATGTCACTGTATGCTGTCTGACATATTGCCGACTCACATATTGCTGTCTGACATAATGCTGACTGACATATTGCTGACTCACGTGCTGCTGACTTACATATTCCTGTCGGACATATTGCTGTCGGACATATTGCTGACTCACATGTTGCGGACTCACATGTTGCTGTCTGACATATTGCTGACTCACATATTGCTGTCTGACATATTGCTGACTCACATATTGCTGTCTGACATAATGCTGACTGACATATTGCTAACTCACGTGCTGCTGATTTACATATTCCTGTCGGACATATTGCTGACTCACGTGCTACTGAGTTACATATTCCTGTTGGACATATTGCTGACTCACATGTTGCGGACTCACATGTTGCTGTCTGACATATTGCTGACTCGCATATTACTGTCTGACATATTGCCGACTCACATATTACTGTCTGACATATTGCTGACTCACATATTGCTGTCTGACAGATTTCTGACTCACATATTACTGTCTGACATATTGCTGTCTGACATATTGCTGACTCATATGTCGCTGTCTGACATATTTCTGTCTGGCATATTGCTGTCTGACATATTGCTGACTCACATATTACTGTCTGACATATTTCTGTCTGGCATATTGCTGTCTAACATATTGCTCACCACTGATAATGTGGGTCAGAATAGGTGCTCCCTGCCTTTGGAAAGAGCTGAGAAAATAAGGTTTTAGGGAGTGTTAGCTGCAGTAGTAGTATCTCTGTACTGCTGCCAAAAAACAATTTTGATAGTGACTTGTTGCTACACAGAGCCTATGGACTGTTCATAGTGTTTTCTTAATAGATTCCCAATTTGGAACATCCCTCAGTAACAGCCCTGCCATAATGTATCGTAATCCCATGGAAACTGCAATATGGTTTGCTTCCTGAAACACTTGCCTTCAAATAAATGAGCATATATTTTCGATAGTGCATTTCCTATGTACTTATTGTGTTGGAATCATAGAGAGAGTACAAGTTTTTATCAGTCATCACTGAGCGCAGGGGTGGAAGAACATCTCTATCTGTCCAGTTTCCTAATCGATAAGTGCCGCTAGAAAGAGCTGATAAAATGGGGATAAGGTGGTTTTCACTAATCCTTGTCAGGATTCCAGGTCAGAACAGGTCCTCAATGGCTCATCTGTGTCAGGATTCCTGGTCAGAACAGGTCCTCCATGGCTCATCCTTGTCAGGATTCCAGGTCAGAACAGGTCCTCAATGGCTCATCCTTGTCAGGATTCCTGCTCAGAACAGGTCCTCAATGGCACATCCGTGTCAGGATTCCTGCTCAGAACAGGTCCTCAATGGCACATCCTTGTTAGGATTCCTGGTCAGAACAGGTTCCTCATGGCTCATGCTTGTCAGGATTCCTGGTCAGAACAGGTCCTTTTAATGGCTCATCCTTGTCTGGATTCCTGGTCAGAACAGGTCCTTAATGGCTCATGCTTGTGAGGATTCCTGGTCAGAACAAGTCCTCAATGGCTCATACTTGTCAGGATTCCAGGTCAGAACAGGTCCTCAATGGCTCATCCTTGTCAGGATTCCTGGTCAGAGCAGGAAATGGCTCATACTTGTCAGGATTCCAGGTCACAACAGGCCCTCAATGGCTCATCCTTGTCAGGATTCCTGGTCAGAACAGGTCCTTAATGGCTCATGCTTGTCAGGATTCCAGGTCAGAACAGGTCCTCAATGGCTCATGCTTGTGAGGATTCCAGGTCAGAACAGGTTCTTAATGGCACATCCGTGTCAGGAATCCAGGTCAGAACAGGTCCTTAATGGCTCATCCTTGTCAGGATTCCTGGTCAGAACAGATCCCCAATGGCACATCCTTGTGAGGATTCCTGGTCAGAACAGATCCCCAATGGCACATCCTTGTCAGGATTCCTGGTCAGAACAGGTCCTTAATGGCTCATGCTTGTCAGGATTCCAGGTCAGAACAGGTCCTTAATGGCAAATCCTTGTCAGGATTCCAGGTCAGAACAGGTCCTCAATGGCTCATGCTTGTGAGGATTCCAGGTCAGAACAGGTTCTTAATGGCTCATCCATGTCAGGATTCCTGGTCAGAACAGGTCCTCAATGGCTCATCCTTGTCAGGATTCCTAGTCAGAACAGGCCCTCCATGGCTCATCCTTGTCAGGATTCCAGGTCAGAACAGGTCCTCAATGGCTCATCCTTGTCAGGCTTCCTGGTCAGAGCAGGAAATGGCTCATACTTGTCAGGATTCCAGGTCAGAACAGGCCCTCAATGGCTCATCCTTGTCAGGATTCCAGGTCAGAACAAGTCCTCAATGGCTCATCCTTGTCTGGATTCCTGGTCAGAACAGGTCCTTAATGGCTCATGCTTGTCATGATTCCTAGTCAGAACAGGTCCTCAATGGCTCATGCTTGTGAGGATTCCAGGTCAGAACAGGTTCTTAATGGCACATCCGTGTCAGGAATCCAGGTCAGAACAGGTCCTTAATGGCAAATCCTTATCAAGATTCCTGGTCAGAACAGGTCCTCAATGGCACATCCTTGTCAGGATTCCTGGTCAGAACAGGTTCTTAATGGCACACCCGTGTCAGGATTCCTGGTCAGAACAGGTCCTTAATGGCACATCCGTGTCAAGATTCCTGGTCAGAACAGGTCCTTAATGGCGAATCCTTGTCAGGATTCCTGGTCAGAACAGATCCCCAATGGCACATCCTTGTCAGGATTCCTGGTCAGAACAGGTCCTTAATGGCTCATGCTTGTCAGGATTCCAGGTCAGAACAGGCCCTCAATGGCTCATCCTTGTCAGGATTCCAGGTCAGAACAGGTCCTCAATGGCACATCCTTGTCAGGATTCCTGGTCAGAACAGGTTCTTAATGGCACACCCGTGTCAGGATTCCTGGTCAGAACAGGTCCTTAATGGCACATCCGTGTCAAGATTCCTGGTCAGAACAGGTCCTTAATGGCGAATCCTTGTCAGGATTCCTGGTCAGAACAGATCCCCAATGGCACATCCTTGTCAGGATTCCTGGTCAGAACAGGTCCTTAATGGCTCATGCTTGTCAGGATTCCAGGTCAGAACAGGCCCTCAATGGCTCATCCTTGTCAGGATTTCAGGTCAGAACAGGTCCTTAATGGCAAATCCTTGTCAGGATTCCAGGTCAGAACAGGTCCTCAATGGCTCATGCTTGTGAGGATTCCAGGTCAGAACAGGTTCTTAATGGCTCAACCCAGTCAGGATTCCTGGTCAGAACAGGTCCTCAATGGCTCATCCTTGTCAGGATTCCTAGTCAGAACAGGCCCTCCATGGCTCATGCTTGTGAGGATTCCTGGTCAGAACAGGTCCTTAATGGCTCATCCTTGTCAGGATTCCTGGTCAGAACAGGTCCTTAATGGCAAATCCTTGTCAGGAATCCTGGTCAGAACAGGTCCTCAATGGCACATCCGTGTCAGGATTCCTGGTCAGAACAGGTCCTCAATGGCTCATGCTTGTCAGGATTCCTGGTCAGAACAGGTCCTTAATGGCTCATACTTGTCAGGATTTCTTGTCAGAACAGGTCCTCAATGGCAGTCCTTGTCAGGATTCCTGGTCAGAACAGGTCCTCAATGGCACATCCTTGTCAGGATTCCTGGTCAGAACAGGTCCTCAATGGCTGATGCTTGTGAGGATTCCAGGTCAGAACAGGTTCTTAATGGCTCATCCGTGTCAGGATTCCTGGTCAGAACAGGTCCTCAATGGTAAAACCTTGTCAGGATTCCTGGTCAGAACAGGTCCTCAATGGCTCATGCTTGTGAGGACTCATCCGTGTCAGGATTCCTGGTCAGAGCAGGTCCTCCATAGCACATCCTTGTCAGGATTCCAGGTCAGAACAGGTCCTCAGTGGCTGATGCTTGTCATGATTCCTAGTCAGAACAGGTCCTCAATGGCTCATCCTTGTCAGGATTCCTGGTCAGAACAGGTCCTCAAAGGCTCATGCTTGTGAGGATTCCAGGTCAGAACAGGTTCTTAATGGCTCATCCATGTCAGGATTCCTGGTCAGAACAGGTCCTCAATGGCTCATCCTTGTCTGGATTCCTGGTCAGAACAGGTCCTCAATGGCTCATCCTTGTCAGAATTCCTGGTCAGAACAGGTCCTTCGTGGCTCATGCTTGTCAGGATTCCTGGTCAGAACAGGTCCTCAATGGCTCATCCTTGTCAGGATTCCTGGTCAGAACAGGCCCTTAAGGGCTCATGCTTGTGAGGATTCCTGGTCAGAACAGGTCCTTCGTGGCTCATGCTTGTCAGGATTCCAGGTCAGAACAGGTCCTTAATGGCTCATCCTTGTCAGGATTCCTGTTCAGAACGGGTCCTTCGAGGCTCATCCTGGTCAGAACAGGTCCTCAATGGCACATCCTTGTGAGGATTCCTGGTCAGAACAGGTTCTTAATGGCTCATCCTTGTCAGGATTCCTGGTCAGAACAGGTCCTTCGTGGCTCATGCTTGTCAGGATTCCTGGTCAGAACAGGTCCTCAATGGCTCATCCTTGTCAGGATTCCTGGTCAGAACAGGCCCTTAAGGGCTCATGCTTGTGAGGATTCCTGGTCAGAACAGGTCCTTCGTGGCTCATGCTTGTCAGGATTCCTGGTCAGAACAGGTCCTTAATGGCTCATCCTTGTCAGAACAGGTCCTCAATGGCACATCCTTGTGAGGATTCCAGGTCAGAACAGGTCCTCAATGGCACATCCTTGTGAGGATTCCTGGTCAGAACAGGTCCTCAATGGCTGTTGCTTGTCAGGATTCCTAGTCAGAACAGGTCCTCCGTTCATGCTCTCAGGGGGTCAGCTGGGCCAGATGTCTGAGGCGCCGCAATTCGTTGTACAGAGTTGCATCCCTTGGGCACGCCAGAAACCTATGATCGTGGAATCGAATCCCGATTCGCCCTGATAATATTTCCAGGTTTGTCAGCACCATACCTGTGCTAGTGGGTTTCACCAAAGTGGTAAACGTCTGATACCTGCATCAATTTGGGCTTTCTTCCCACATGAAGCTGACACTTTATGACATGACTGGAATACTGTTAAAAGCAGTGTTGTTAAACCTAACTCATTCACTCACTCAGTTACTGTTTTTGTCTGGTCACAACTTGAGGTTGCTGTGATATATTGCAGACTGAGGCATTAAACAACATTCACTTAATTTTTAAAAGGTACAGTTCGTGTCCCACAGGGATCAGGTTGGGATTAGTTGTCCACAATGACTGTGTCGGATGTGGGGAGCAGAGGATGAATCCATTGGTTTGAAACCTGTGGTATTAGTATCTCCTGCTTCATAACAAAGGGCTACTGATTTGTTTTGTACCCACAATCAACAATATTAAGAGCTGTATTGAATGTTTGCTGACATCTGTTTCCCATAACATGGCCTTGGTAATCAGATTAGAGCACCTAATACACGTTAGGAATGCACAGTATTACTGGTATACTGCAATACGCTTTTAAAAAAACACTTATTATCCCCCGCCCAACGAAGTTGGCGTGGGATATAGAAACGGGCTCCGTCCGTCCGTCACGTTTCCATGGCAACAAGATGGACTTAGGTTCTGTGAGGGTAGGGTTCGTTTCCGGAGCATAACTCATAAACCGTTCGATATTTTTTCATCAAGCTTTGCAGGTCTGTCAGGTACATGCTGAACTGGTGCCTTTTGCTATTGAGAAATTTTAGAAATATTTATTTTTTATGTTTCCATGGCAACAAGATGGACTTAGGTTCTTAGAGGGTAGGGTTCGTTTCCGGAGCATAACTCATAAACCGTTCAATATTTTTTCATGAAACTTTGCAGGTCTGTCAGGTACATGCTGAACTGGTGCCTTTTGCTATTTAGAAATTTTAGAAGTTTTCATTTTTTACGTTTCCATGGCAACAAGATGGACTTAGGTTCTTAGAGGGTAGGGTTCGTTTCTGGAGCATAACTCATAAACCGTTCAATATTTTTTCATCAAGCTTTGCAGGTCTGTCAGGTACATGCTGAACTGGTGCCTTTTGCTATTGAGAAATTTTAGAAATATTTATTTTTTACGTTTCCATGGCAACAAGATGGACTTAGGTTCCAAACTCATCTTTTTTTACAATTTCCATGACAAGTTCCACCTCGGTTAAAAAAGGTTAGGGTTGTTTAGATTTAATTATGTCATAAATTCTGCAACAGGGGTGGGGGATATAGCCACGTTAGTGGCAAACTCTTGTTGCAATTTGTTTTCTATTTTCCGGTATCTTGTGTAAAAAATATTTCACATGTTTCATTATTAATTGATTTAACCTAAAATCTACACAGAATTTCATTCACAAATTATGTTTCCCTTAGAAATTTATTATCAAAACTGCAGAAGTGATTTTTCTCTCACATTGTTATCTCCCTTGTCTCCATTTGGCTTGGGTACCATGGTACATATCTGTGGTACATGTGCCAACATCGACCCCTTTAGCTAGACTATGTTGTGCAATCTTTGCTTTAGCACATAGATTATATTGCAATACCCGGATACATATTGCTGTAATATTTTAATGAATTCATAAACAAACATAGATTTGATTTTCGACAATAATACCTGTTTCAGTTAGCTGTGTTATGGAACAGAGTAAAGTGGCAAGGGAGGTAATTCACAGGCATCTGTCTGACTTGTGTTGTTGCCTGCATACAGCCATCGACAGCATCCTCCATGAAGACGCCCAGCCACAGCAGGCAGCTACCATGTACACTGTGGTCAAGGTAGATATATGTTATGCATGTCATTGATCCCAATTGCTTGGATCGATGCTCATGATATTAATCACTAGACTCGGTTATCTACAGACCGCTGTCATATAGCTGGAATATTGCTGAGTGCGGCGTTAAACAACAAACAACAACAACAACATTGTGATAAGGTGATCATGTCAACTTCTCTATGGACTTTGATGGATAACCAACTTGAACATGAACAGCTGTCACTTTTTATTAAAATTCCTGCAGATTTTATACAAAGTCACTGGGAGTGAGTGACCATTGGGGCTATTTTCACTGTGGCCAAGTGGAGAGTGAATGATTGGGGCCTTGATCCCTGTCCGTGTCATACCAAGAAACGTTACGCTGATTGCCGCTATATGAGTGCAATATTCTTGAACACAACGTTAAACTCCATTTCACCTCAACTCACCTCATCCCCCCCCCTCATCCCCACCTCATCCCCCCCTAATCCCAGCCCTCATCCCCCCTCATCCTCCCTAATCCCAGTCCTCACCCCCCCCCCCTCTCATCCCCCCCTAATCCCAGCCCTCACCCCCCCGCATCCCCAACCGGCCCATCACCTGTTAGTAAGGAGGACACCTCTGTTTCCTGTGTTGCAGATCAGCCTACAGGTGGCACAACACTTCAGTGAGGATCTGCGCCGTGCCGTGTGGCTGCACAACCAAGTTGATGCTGAACATCTCACGGAGCATGTCTCACTACTCTTTCAAAACCTTTTGGCAGTTCTAACCTGCAGTGTAAGTTTGTTGTTAAATACTGTATTTAGCAATCTTCCAGCTGTATGACGATGGGGCTGTAAATGATCGAGTCCGGACAAGACAAACAATTTGTTGATATTATGAGCAACGTCACAGGCCGTTGTGGTGACACACAATCCACCAAGTCGCCTAGTTTGACCTCGGGATCTGTAAATAGCTGTTACATTTCTTTATAAACCTCCAGTGATGCATGACCATTGTTACAACAGCTTGTTCTTTTCTCCGAAAATCCCTCTGCCCACGGGATTCTCGAGCTTTGCGCTTTTGACTGATAACTTTCGAGTGCTACAATTGAAATTTCAGAATTAAAGTTATGTCATTTAAACAAAAAAGCATCTTCATATCTGTCGGTTTATAAGTCAGATATAAACCTTCTCCTATGGCTATCCGTTAAAATAATGCACTCCAGCGCATTTCCGGACTGCATTATTTTCACGGATAGCCCGCGGAGGCGGTTTATATCCTATACGTAGACAGCCTCAAAGGCTTTCGTGGGCAGCATGTGTCTCCCATACCCCATAGTTGTTGTAAGGGGTGACTGAAATATGGCTCAAAGGAAATCAAGATTTAAGGGGCACGTAATATAGCAACTTTGCAGGTTTTAATACTTTAGGACATTTGAGTACTTTCTACGAATGTTATTACTTTTTTCCTTTCAGAAATTGACTTAATGTATCAAGGGAAATTGATATTTGCAACAAAATCGCAATCAATTTTTGTACTTTTCTTGACCTTTAATGTGCACTGGCTAATTGATTCCTGAGCAACATCGATTGTTTGATGCCACAAACTCCTTGTTTTCCTAGTCCAGATTTGATTATTGTTGACTTTCATTGTTTATTCTCGATATGCTCCCTGATGTTGCTTGTTTTGCAGGGCTATTCTCCCGACGTCTATCTCTTCGGCGGGACATCTGTGGCCATGTTGCTGAACCAGTCACCAGATCCACACGCAAGTGTTGAGAGCCTCGGTCAGATATTCCAGGTCATTGCTGATGGATCTGGGTGCTGCCACCTAGGTCATCTTAAGATGAATATTTTGAAGATGGATGGCCAGGAGAGCAACAGGTTTGCTGAGTTGGCGCTTATTAGAGCTGTACTCATGTGTTGTCGTCCAGACATCCTGAGTCTCAGTACTGACATCCTGCTACCTGACAAGGGAGGTAACTCATGCCAAGTACCAGTCCGTGACAACCAACTGTTACTGAGGCTATTCCCGAGAGTAGTGAGGCTTTGTGGTGACCAGACGTCAAATCAGTATCATGCCTTTCAAATTCTGTCCCACTGGTTCAAGAGTTTACACAAATGCCTTCCTATTCTACACTCAAATCATGACACAGTTGGTTTTACATCTAAGGATTCAGTATACCTTGAGAAAACACTGAAGCTTGTGTTTCTCAACTGGGACAGTCCAGTAGATGGCGTGGCAGTCTTTGTTTGTGAGATATTCCAGGCGGTGTTGTCTGTGTGGAGCTGGGAGCGGACGTACAGGGGGATGGACAGTAACAGACTCAGCGAGGAGCTCCTGTCTCGCCTCCTGGACATCCCGTGGTATGCGAGGGGGAAGTACAAGCTGTTGAAGCTACTCCTGCCATACGTAGACATCAGAAAGGTAATCGGTGAAATGTGTTTGCAAATATCATAAGACAATGTTTTTTGTTTCATTTGCCTGAAGTTCTTATCTTAGCTCTGGCTATGACAATTGTGCCAGTTCTGGATTACCAGCATGCTGAAAAGCAATTAGTCCAATCTCACACTGCATTTCTTCCGTTTTCTTTCGATCCTTATGTGGAAATTGGCTAGAACAAAGTTTCCAGCTTCTAAAAACATTCATCCCAGCATCACCGCCTCCTTGGTCTAGAGGTAGAGCATCCGCCCGGAGAGCGGAAGGTCCGGGGTTTGATCCCCAGCCGCGTCATACCAAAAGACGTTAAAAGATGGTACTTCTTGTTACCCTGTCTGGCGCTTGGCATTAAGGGGCTAAAACAAAGACTGGTCGGCTTGGAGTCAGTATACTGTGTCTGAGTGGGGTCTTCATGTTAAACTGGTATCTCAGTGGGCTAGCACTATAAATAAGCATCAGTCCAGACTAGTACAAACATCGTAACACACACACGTGCATGCACGTCGCTATATTAGTGCAATAATCTGCGACGGGATGTAAAACCCAATTTCACCTCACCTCACATCCAAGCATCACCATGGTCAACACCCAAACAAATGGGTCACGCACTGTAATCTCTCGTTGTGACCTTACACGACTTGATCACCTGACTACCCCTGCCGCATCATTCTCTTTCTCGTCACCATGCTCTGGAGACGAGTATTGAGTTCTGGAGAATACAATTTATTCATTTTTTGAGAGCTAGCTCCTCATTTGTATAAACATTTATTACACTAATTGATAAACATGATCAACGCCTGGCCTGTAAAAAATGCCGACATACTTGTTCTACTGCTGATCCCCATGGTCTTTGTTGCGATTGTCGTGGCCTTTGCTCTAAGGATTACAGATGTTCCCAGTGTTCTCACCTCCTGGAAAAAGTTTTCCAAATATATATTAGGGGTGACTATTGGTGTGGAAATCACTATTGCGATAACTATTGATATTGAAAGAAACTATTGTGATAACTATTGATATTGCAAGCAACTATTGCGATAAATATCGATAGTTTTCAATGTATCATTTTGGATGGATTTTAGAGTTGAACTAAACCTTGAAACTGAAGTTTGAATGTGATAACCATAACAACAAATAAAAAGTAAAACTTGAGATATGGCTGATTTGGATTTTTTCTTTACCCTAATAATTTAAGAAAAAGAAACTTCCACATTACCATGTGTAAATTACTACCACTCATGATGTAGAGAAAAACAAATTTCAACCACATTGCATGTGATTTATTGATATGGTAAATACAATCGAAACTATCGATATTCCTAACCGAAAACGATACTATTGATCGGAAACTGATTTAACTATCGATTTATTGACTTTGAGTGCTTACCAATAGCAATATATCGATATTTTGATTTATCGTGACACCCCTAATATATATATATACGCACATGCCATAAACGTAATATTGACCGCCGGTCGAAATCTTTGGAGGCAGAACGCAGGCCTTCCTCTGCAAAGAAGCCCAAGGGTGTTACCAAACCAGCTGTGCCCTCCACTGTAGCAGTAGTCACACCACCTCCTTTTACTTATTGGACATTTGCGTATTGGAGAGCTTCCATCAAAACGAAGTTCTGCCAAAACACAAAGTAGTCTGTCCTTAGTGAAGAATTCGTGAAGTCTAGCTGGATGTAAGCACAGTCTGAAATACTCACGATTTGTCATTTTTACTAGAAAATGAAAGTGAATTAATTCCAGGACATCCCTGCGATATATTGAGAAAAGTCAATCTGACTGGAATTGATTTCTTTCCATTTAAAATTTTATGCAGACGGACTGGGACCATATGAAAAACACATTGATGATCTTGGCTATGACTTCCTTGCATTCCCAACTTGTTTAATAGAAATCCCCTCTTTCTGAAACTTGAAGTGGGGACCTCCCCAATCATTTAAATCATTCTAGCAAAATCTCTGCATTTGTGAAATGTTGGGTTGGAATATTTGTGAACTAACTAAAACTGTGTTTACTAATCACGTGTTTTCATCGTCCAGCTGTTTGCTGATGCATGCCTGAAGGGACATCTCCTGCAGTGTATGGCATCGAATGACCTGTCACCCCCTGCTGCGGATGTTTACAAGAGCTGTTTGCAGCAAATAAGGTACTTTACAGAAGTTGTGAAGTGTTCGTGAGATTAAACCTGCAGTTTGGACTGGTACAGATCTGTTTACTCCTATGTTTTGTCAGTCGTTCCTATGGATTTGGAATGAGGAACATGGGCTCCAAATCCAGGTGAAAAAATCACAGATGGTATAAAATCAAGTTTTCAACTGATGAATTAATATAACTTCTAATCTGGAAAGACATGAGGTGAGGCGAACGTCGTGTTCAAGATTGTTCCGCTCTCCAGAAAGACTCTCTATCCACTAGACCTTCCGCTCTCTGGAAAGACTCTCTATTCTATTAGACCATTTGGCGGTCTAATTTGGAAAGAAATATGGTACATACCTGTGCATAAATGCAAACTTTATCTAAACAAATTTTTAAATTGATATCGATCATTGTACCATGTATCTTTTTACCAAGGGTGCTGCCAATCTTTGAACCAATTGAGCATGATTGAAATAAACCTGTTGCATTATGGGTAATAAATATTGAGAAGATGCAGCGAATGGTCAAATGAAAGGCTGATGACCTTGGTCAGTTGATGTTAAAAAAGCATGTAAAATCAAGGATTCACACCATAAGATCTTGTCGTGTCTTGCTGCCTTAAAGAGGACACAGTCATTTGTTCAGCGTAACATGTGTAAGGTTGACACTGGTAAAAATGACTACTGACAAATTGCTCAAACTATGGACAGATTCTAAGTGAACTGGGGAGGTCGGGTAGCCTAGTGGTTAAAGTGTTTCCTCTTCACGCCGAAGACCCAGGTTTGATTCCCGACATGTGTACAATATGTGAAACCCATTTCTGGTGTCCCCTGCCGTGATATTTCTGGAATATTGCTAAAAGCGGTGTAAAACCATACCCACTCACTTAGTAAACTGCTGGTAACGTTTTGGTCAGTATGAGAACTGTTTTTCAGATGTGTCTTTTTTTTCTCTTGAATATAACTCTGCCTTTTCTGGAGGGTTTCAATCTTGGTCATTGCCAGTTCTCACTTTCAGTGGTGAGGTGAAGTGGGGTTTATTATCCCCGTCAAGATTAAAGCACTTATATAGCGACGTGCATGCACCATGTGCGTGTGTGAGTGTGCGTGTGTGCATGCATGCATGGTAACAATCAGTACCGTCTTTCGGTTATGTTGCATCGACCTTCCACTCTCCTGGCAGATGCTCTATCCACTAGACCATGGATGTAGTCTGCAAGAAGTTAAGAAGCAAATAAGAACGTGTTAGTTACGACTAACGTCATTGTTTTATGTTCATCTTGTTGCCAATGGTTACAGGAATGTCTGTGAGGAGGAGAATCAGCTGACTCTGTGGCGAGAGGCGTGGCTGGACGTTCTCCTGGCTGGACTCTTCAGTGATGAACCGTAAGTCTTTGAATCATAGATGGAGTTACGTGAGATGAAAGTACACACATAGCACATAGTCATGTTTATTATGTCTCTCCCCCTCTTCACTAACCTTGGCATATAGATAGGTCTAGTGGTGAACTAGTGCCTTTTGATAGTTTGGGATTTTTTATAAAAATCTTTTTTGAGTTACCATGGCAACAACTTTGACAGACTGAATGTGGCGGCAGTGCTGGTATCCATAGCAAATCTTGAAAACCGTACAATGTTTCTTCACCTAACTTGGCACATAGATAGGTATAGTTGTCTTTTGATAGTTGCAGATTTTTTAGTGAGTCAGTTAATATTTAACGTCACATCGGTAGTATTTCAGCCATATCGTGACGGGTGCGGATTTTTGAAAATATGTTTTTCAAGTTTCCATAGCAATGACTTTGACTTAGACTGAAAGTGGTGGTAGTGCTCGTTTCTGGAGCAGATCTTGAAAATCATTCAACATTTCTTGTCTTGCACACAAGGGGGCAGGGGATATGAGTATTTCATGCTTGTTTAGAGTGAAAATATCATTTATGATTGATTATCCTGACTTATATGCTAAAGTGCCAACCTAGGCGTCCCCTCTTCCACCTCTATCGTGTTTCGGCCGAGAGAATGAGAAAGAGAATAAGAGAGTGATGAGTTACCGGTTTGATGAAATGCTCAGAGGTGCATTCGGATGAGCTGTTTTTCTGTTCTCTGGGATCACTGTACAGAACGTTTCCTATGCCTTTCGGAAATGAGATGTGATAAGCAATAAGTATGAGTCAGGATAAGTATAAATGATATTTTTGCTCTAAAAAAATACATTTTCACAATATAATATTTGTTGCATAGTGTGTTTGCCAGGCATAATGTGTTTGTCTATCATAATGTGTTTGTCTATCATAATCTGTACATTTGGAGCACAGCCTTATTTGCGTGTTTCCCTCAGCCTGCTGTTCAGGAAGATGGGTGACTATTGGATCCCAATGACGCTGAAGTTGCTACCGGTGTCTGCAGCGTTCCTGCTGCGTCATGTGTGCGAGCTGAGACGTGAGAGCCTGTGTGAGGCGCGCAGAAGGCGGGCCCTGTACGTGTGGCTTGTCATACTCCGCAGCACCAGGAACAAGGGGCTCCAGGAACAGGATTTCGTAAGTCCTGAATCCCTACAGCTTCGGACATTTACTTCAAGCCTCTGAGTTAGAAATATCACTCGTATGAAGTTAGATTTCAATTGTTACTGACAGTACGGATTTAGTTACTGTTTATTGGCTGTCTTTGGTTTAGGAACCTTGAACTAAGAAGCTGTATTTTTTATGTCAGTTTAGTCAGTAACTGAGATTCCATTGGGATTATGTCGGAATATGTTCCCAGCACCTCATTCTTGTATACTCCCCAGGGAGTTGAGAATGGAATGCAAATAGATCCACTAGATTAGGAAACAAATAAAAATGCATTTGAGCAGATACTTGTACCTTGATACTTCCGCAATATAAATGTATGATGTAATAATAACAAAAAAAGGCCAGCTAAGGCTTAATAAAATAAAATAATTGGTTCTCGGGCAATAGCTTTTGAAAATATAGTGTGGGCGTGTGGCGTTTTATTTTGTTGTTGTTCAAACTAGTATTTAACCAAATAAACAGTTAACAAATAAGCCTGGGAAAGGGGCTCCCAGCATAAATGTATTCCTTTACCGTTAATTGACTACTGTTGGACTACCAGTATGCATAATACACATATACAATGAGCTTTGATTTTATTTCACAACGCGAAGATGTTATCGTGAGCACACAACACCAGAAGAAGCATGTCGACAAATCTCTCCTGAAGTATGCAAGTTTGTCCTGTCATTACACTATCTGGCTATCAAGGTGTTCATTGTGTATCTGGACTTAAGTTCATAAACTATTATCGTACATTACTTTTATCCAAGATTTCATTCAATTTTGTTGATAAAGTTTTTGACGAAATCATATATGAACTGATTGGCAAGTCACATCAACTCACCATGAACTCTCCTTGAAACGAACATTAGTTGTTTGCACTTCTGATATTGGCAATGACACTAAGTATATTTTAAACAAAATCACCCATAGATAGGGGGGAAAATGGGTGAACAGCCGTTTGATATTTCCGAGCTTTTTTAGGTAATCTTTATCTCTGCATATGACACATTGTCTGGCATACTTTACATCATGTCTTATGATGTTTTATCGTAAATATCATGTTTTCATTGACTAAATTTGCAAACTGCACAACAAGCACACAAACTCATTGCTGCCATAACCATAACACATAAAATGAGATGCACAGTAAAGCAGTGCACATGTAACGGGAAGTAACTGCATGCACTATTGGATTGCATTGTTTTTAAATATTGTAGCATTTCACTGCCCGAGTTGTGTGTTCGAGACGCAGAATATTTAAAGATTTTTTTTTTTTTAAAATGGAAATTAAAACGAAACATGCGTCAGACTTTATGATGATGAGAACCTAGACCGTTATCTTCTTTAGCCAACATGAGGATAGGGTGGTGTGAGTCCTTCCCGCTGGCTTGGGTTGCTGTCATGCTGTCACTCACTGGTTCATCTGACCCTGTTCTTATTTTCCCTTTCCAAACTGCAGTTGGTTTCTTATCAATTGTGAGAGTGGCGGGTGCTACCTGTTGAGCAGGAAATGCTTACCCTATTTCTAACACCTGGTGCCATCACTGATTTTCAGTGGTCCATTCATATAATTTTCATCACTATTTTGTCTTCTACTTGCAATGGATTCTGTTTTGGAAGATAATGGAGACTGTATAATGTGGTGATAATGTAATTATGAAACCATGCCCACAATGCAAAGATAATTAATTTGTGTTTGAATTCTAGAATGTTCAGCTGCTGACCGAAGCCTTGTACTCGAGAGATGAAGAAGTCAGAGGGGAGGCAGTCGCTTTCCTTTGTATAACGATGAAACAAACAGGTATTCTTGTTGGCAATAAAACATGTTTCAAATAGCTGTGTGGGTATCATGCTGTGTGAAGTTTTTCTTTTAATTTCTGTTTCATTTTGATTATACTGGTTGATATCCAGGCCAGAATACCTCCCCCCACATCCCTCTGGCTTGTCCCACGAGGAGATTCCAGGTCAGAATATACCCTCAACCCCCGTCATACCTCTGGCTTGTCCCACGAGGAGATACCAGGTCAGAATATACCCTCAACCCCCGTCATACCTCTGGCTTGTCCCACGAGGAGATTCCAGGTCAGAATATACCCTCAACCCCCGTCATACCTCTGGCTTGTCCCACGAGGAGATTCCAGGTCAGAATATACCCTCAACCCCCGTCATACCTCTGGCTTGTCCCACGAGGAGATTCCAGGTCAGAATATACCCTCAACCCCCGTCATACCTCTGGCTTGTCCCACGAGGAGATTCCAGGTCAGAATATACCCTCAACCCCCGTCATACCTCTGGCTTGTCCCACGAGGAGATTCCAGGTCAGAATATACCCTCAACCCCCGTCATACCTCTGGCTTGTCCCACGAGGAGATTCCAGGTCAGAATATACCCTCAACCCCCGTCATACCTCTGGCTTGTCCCACGAGGAGATTCCAGGTCAGAATATACCCTCAACCCCTGTCATACCTCTGGCTTGTCCCACGAGGAGATTCCAGGTCAGAATATACCCTCAACCCCCGTCATACCTCTGGCTTGTCCCACGAGGAGATTCCAGGTCAGAATATACCCTCAACCCCCGTCATACCTCTGGCTTGTCGCCCAAGGAGATTCCAGGTCAGAATATACCCTCATCCCCCCTCATACCTCTGGCTTGTCCCACGAGGAGATTCCAGGTCAGAATATACCCTCATCCCCCCTCTTACCTCTGGCTTGTCCCACGAGGAGATTCCAGGTCAGAATATACCCTCAACCCCCGTCATACCTCTGGCTTGTCGCCCAAGGAGATTCCAGGTCAGAATATACCCTCATCCCCCCTCATACCTCTGGCTTGTCCCACGAGGAGATTCCAGGTCAGAAAATACCCTCATCCCCCCTCATACCTTTGGCTTGTCCCACGAGGAGATTCCAGGTCAGAATATATACTCATCCCCCCTCATACCTCTGGCTTGTCGCCCAAGGAGATTCCAGGTCAGAATATACCCTCAACCCCCCCCATACCTCTGGCTTGTCGCCCAAGGAGATTCCAGGTCAGAATATACCCTCAACCCCCCTCATACCTCTGGCTTGTCGCCCAAGGAGATTCCAGGTCAAAATATACCCTCATCCCCCCCTCATACCTCTGGCTTGTCGCCCAAGGAGATTCCAGGTCAGAATATACCCTCAACCCCCCTCATACCTCTGGCTTGTCGCCCAAGGAGATTCCAGGTCAGAATATACCCTCATCCCCCCTCATACCTCTGGTTTGTCCCCCGAGGAGATTCCAGGTCAGAATATACCCTCATCCCCCCTCATACCTCTGGCTTGTCGCCCAAGGAGATTCCGGGTCAGAATATACCCTCAACCCCCCTCATACCTCTGGCTTGTCGCCCAAGGAGATTCCAGGTCAGAATATACCCACAACCCCCGTCATACCTCTGGCTTGTCCCACGAGGAGATTCCAGGTCAGAATATACCCTCAACCCCTGTCATACCTCTGGCTTGTCCCACGAGGAGATTCCAGGTCAGAATATACCCTCAACCCCCGTCATACCTCTGGCTTGTCCCACGAGGAGATTCCAGGTCAGAATATACCCTCAACCCCCGTCATACCTCTGGCTTGTCGCCCAAGGAGATTCCAGGTCAGAATATACCCTCATCCCCCCTCATACCTCTGGCTTGTCCCACGAGGAGATTCCAGGTCAGAATATACCCTCATCCCCCCTCATACCTCTGGCTTGTCCCACGAGGAGATTCCAGGTCAGAATATACCCTCAACCCCCGTCATACTTCTGGCTTGTCGCCCAAGGAGATTCCAGGTCAGAATATACCCTCATCCCCCCTCATACCTCTGGCTTGTCCCACGAGGAGATTCCAGGTCAGAATATACCCTCATCCCCCCTCATACCTTTGGCTTGTCCCACGAGGAGATTCCAGGTCAGAATATATACTCATCCCCCCTCATACCTCTGGCTTGTCGCCCAAGGAGATTCCAGGTCAGAATATACCCTCAACCCCCCCCATACCTCTGGCTTGTCGCCCAAGGAGATTCCAGGTCAGAATATACCCTCATCCCCCCTCATACCTCTGGCTTGTCGCCCAAGGAGATTCCAGGTCAAAATATACCCTCATCCCCCCCTCATACCTCTGGCTTGTCGCCCAAGGAGATTCCAGGTCAGAATATACCCTCAACCCCCCTCATACCTCTGGCTTGTCGCCCAAGGAGATTCCAGGTCAAAATATACCCTCATCCCCCCCTCATACCTCTGGCTTGTCGCCCAAGGAGATTCCAGGTCAGAATATACCCTCAACCCCCCTCATACCTCTGGCTTGTCGCCCAAGGAGATTCCAGGTCAGAATATACCCTCATCCCCCCTCATACCTCTGGTTTGTCCCCCGAGGAGATTCCAGGTCAGAATATACCCTCATCCCCCCTCATACCTCTGGCTTGTCCCCCGAGGAGATTCCGGGTCAGAATATACCCTCAACCCCCCTCATACCTCTGGCTTGTCGCCCAAGGAGATTCCAGGTCAGAATATACCCTCATCCCCCCTCATACCTCTGGCTTGTCCCCCGAGGAGATTCCAGGTCAGAATTTACCCTCATCCCCCCTCATACCTTTGACTTGTCCCCCGAGGAGATTCCAGGTCAGAATATACCCTCATCCCCCCTCATACCTTTGGCTTGTCCCCTGAGGAGATTCCAGGTCAGAATATACCCTCAACCCCCCTCATACCTCTGGCTTGTCGCCCAAGGAGATTCCAGGTCAGAATATACCCTCATACCCCCTCATACCTCTGGCTTGTCCCCCGAGGAAATTCAGGGTCAGAATACACCCCCCATACCTCTAGCTTGGCCCTTGAGGAGATTCCGGGTCAGAAATGGTCCTTTGTGAATACTGCTTGTCAGAAGTCCAGGTAATATATGCAGCAGTGTGTGACTGGCTGCTAATGGTGTGTCTGTCCAGACTCAGATTATTTACAGGAATATGTGATATAGCTGTAATATTGCTGATGCTGTACAATGACATTTACTAACTGGTTGATACATTCTTTTTTTACAAAGGAAAGTAACAACATTTCTATATTCCTACAGAACTGCTAACTGAGAAGGAGGTGGATCTGCTAAAGAGTGGTCTCCCCTTGTGTCTGCGAGTAGATTCAGCTCCTTTCCGCCAAAACCTGGCTTCCAGCATGAAGAAACTGATGATCCGACTCCGTAATGGCTGTCTGGCAGGGATCAAGAAGAAGCAGCAGGAGAGAGAACTGGGTAGGTTGATGTTGTTGATGCTGATGATCCTGTTGATGCTGATGATCCTGTTGATGCTTTTGACGCTGTCACAGTAGAGTTGCAGCTTGTACATGACTGCTTGGTTACAACTATTTCTCTCAATAGTCTCTTAAACTGACAGGAGTAGCTAATACTATGTGTGAAGCAAGCTAGACACAGGTTTTGTCTTCCTTGACTCGGAACCTTTGTAGTTAATTGTAATTAGCAGTTGTATTTGTTGGATACTTATTACTCATGATCTCCCCGGCATATAATGCGGGGGGATGTAGTCATCATCTGATCTGTCTGTCTGTCCGTCTGTTCATCCGTATTTTTCGTATCCGGAGCATAACTTGAAAACTGTGTAAGATTTTTCATTCAAACTTGGTACATGTATTAGCCAGGGGCAGAAGTGGTGCCTTTTGCTATTGTGGGGGACTGGGGGATTTGTCATCTTCTGATGAATCTTGAATAGATTTGAAATTGTTCAAGCATGATTAAACAGCTTTGGGCATAAATGCAGTGTTCTGATGCCATTTCTTGTCGCTTCGCTAAAATATCAGGGGGTTTGTGGGGCTTGCCCTCCTTGATTAAATGCTTTTGTGAGTGATATATAATCTATGATTACCAAAGTTTTTCAAAATATGTATTCGTTTTATATGTTACCACAATGTTTGTCACTGATGATGTTGTGCATGTCGTTACTTATGGAACTTCTCATCTTCCCAAGGCAAGGGAAATTCCAGCCTAGTTTGGCAAGGGAAACTGGACTTTTATAGTCAGTTAACTCCCTTGCGTCGGGACGATGGGAACTTCTATTTTTAAGTACTTTTTTATATTCATTTTTTTCAAAGTTTGGATTGATGTTAAATTTTGTGGTTTAGTCATATTGAGCCATACAAACGCAAGTTGAATAAATTTCTTCTGCATATTTGGCGTTTTATTGCCCTGTTTTTAACATAGTGCCGCTTGCATGTGCAGCTACATCACTAGCCATGCTTCACGTGAAAACCAGCATCATGGCATGGTACCCTTAACATTTTGGGGGCACGGGTGGCCCAGTTATCTAAGGCGCCACAATTCACTTTGCAGAGTTGCGTCCCTGGGGCACGCCAGAAACCTATGATCGTGGGTTTGAATTCCGTATCGCCCTGATTATGTTTCTTGGTTTGTTAGCACCATGCCCATGCTCGTGGGTTTCACTGAAGTGGTAAACGTCTAAGACCTGCATCACTTCGGGCTTTCTTCCCACATTAAACTGACACGCTGTGATATAATTGCAATACTGTTAAAAGCGGTGTTAAACAAAACTCACTCACTCACTCTTAACATTTTTCTTTTTCGAATGAAATTTAACTTTTTTACCCACGGATTACTCCAAAGCCTCAACTAGGGTTGGCATCTCTGCTCGTATGAAGGTCACCTGGTCACATCTCCATCTGTTGTTCTGTTGGCAGTCAGGTCCCTGGGTTTCCTTGACTGGCTGCATGGGACGTTGATGGACAGCTTGTTGCCCGGCGCCAGCTTCCAACGCCGTAAGACCTGCCTGGAGATCCTGAATGTCATCTACGACACCCTGGTGTATGTGCCCGGTGGGGGAACGCCGCTGAGGGGGCAGGCTCAAGGTAAATCAATAAACAGTCTTCAACAGTAGGAACCACAGCGTTCCACTGGTAGTGTCCTTGCTCTCTGTGTAAACTGTCACCTGAACTGTTTAACTCATTTGGGATCATCTCCATGGCCTAGTTAATAGAGCATCTGTTCGGAGCCTAGTGAATAGAGCGTGTGTTCGGAGCCTAGTGAATAGAGCGTCTGTTCGGAGCCTAGTGAATAGAGCGTCTGTTCAGAGCCTAGTGAATAGGGCTTCCGTTCGGAGCCTAGTGAATAGAGCGTCTGTTCAGAGCCTAGTGAATAGAGCGTCTGTCCGGAGCCTAGTGAGTAGAGCGTCTGTCCGGAGCCTAGTGAATAGAGCGTCTGTTCGAAGCCTAGTGAATAGAGCGTCTGTTTGGAGCCTAGTGAATAGAGCGTCTGTCCGGAGCCTAGTGAATAGAGCGTCTTTTCGGAGCCTAGTGAATAGAGCGTCCTTTCGGAGCCTAGTGAATAGAGCGTCTGTCCGGAGCCTAGTGAATAGAGCGTCTGTCCGGAGCCTAGTGAATAGAGCGTCTGTTCGGAGTCTAGTGAATAGAGCGTCTGTTCGGAGCCTAGTGAATAGAGCGTCTGTTCGGAGCCTAGTGAATAGAGCGTCCTTTCGGAGCCTAGTGAATAGAGCGTCTGTTCGGAGCCTAGTGAATAGAGCGTCCTTTCGGGGCCTAGTGAATAGAGCGTCTGTTCGGAGCCTAGTGAATAAAGCGTCTGTTCGGAGCCTAGTGAATAGAGCATCTGTTCGGAGCCTAGTGAATAGAGCGTCTGTCCGGAGCCTAGTGAAGAGAGCGTCTGTTCGGAGCCTAGTGAATAGAGCAACCTTTCGGAGCCTAGTGAATAGAGCGTCCGTCCGGAGCCTAGTGAATAGAGCGTCTGTCCAGGCCCTAGTGAATAGAGCGTCTGTCCGGAGCCTAGTGAATAGAGCGTCTGTCCGGAGCCTAGTGAATAGAGTGTGTGTTCGGAGCCTAGTGAATAGAGCGTCTGTCCGGAGCCTAGTGAATAGAGTGTCTGTTCAGAGCCTAGTGAATAGAGCGTCTGTCCGGAGCCTAGTGAATAGAGCGTCTGTACGGAGCCTAGTGAATAGAGCGTCTGTTCAGAGCCTAGTGAATAGAGCGTCTGTTCAGAGCCTAGTGAATAGAGCGTCTGTCCGGAATCTAGTGAATAGAGCGTCTGTTCAGAGCCTAGTGAATAGAGCGTCTGTCTGGAGCCTAGTGAATAGAGCGTCTGTTCAGAGCCTAGTGAATAGAGCGTCTGTCCGGAGCCTATTGAGTAGAGCGTCTGTCCGGAGCCTAGTGAATAGAGCGTCTGTTTGGAGCCTAGTGAATAGAGCGTCTGTCCGGAGTCTAGTGAATAGAGCGTCTGTTCGGAGCCTAGTGAATAGAGCGTCTGTCATAATAATGTTCCTCATAATAATGAAGTTGACATGCACAAATTCTCTCCCTTACAATTGTGATGTTTTTGACTTGTTTCAGAGAGGTGTGTACAGATTGTTGACTACGCTCACCGCCTGGGTCTGTGTGATTTCTTCTCCTGGAGGTCCATGGTGGCCGTGTGCTCCTGTATCACCGACGGCGCTGACGAGGTGAGGTGTTTCTGTAGCAATTGCAGTATATTGATTGATTATTTGTCATTTGTCATTTTGATGTACATGTATATCAATGTAAATAATGTATGACGATATGAACTGTTGCCTTCACCTTATCTTTCATTGCTGTCTCCTGAAGATGTATATCAACATGATGGGCAGAATCCATTTTGTATTTTGTTCACCCTATTTGGTTAGAATAAGTCCCCAGCACTGCTTTACTTGTCGAAAGCTGTGACTAAATTGAATTCGGTGTCCAGACTGTTTTGACTTCTAGTCATCGTACCCAGATGATGTACATTGCTCATTCCAGTGCAGTTTGCTTTATGGATATCGTATTTAATTGTTTCAGATATGTTTATCATTTTTTTGTTGATTTGGGTGGAACACACTGGTATACAAAATTTCAAGGTACACACTTTACATAAAAACAAACCAACAGATGTCCTTGAATCTATTAATAATCTATTATATGATTTCATTATATATAAAGGAGTCACTGATTTTAAAAGCACACACTTGGTTCTACCAGGTGCAGGAGTTGAGTGCGGAGCTCCTGATGCGTTTCTTCCCGTGGTCCGCGCCCAGACAACGCGGGTACCACCCCGGGGAACTAGCTTGTCACCTTCTCCGAACTGCTATCCATCTCTGCAGCAGCCCGCGGCCATACGAGACTCAGAGTGGTGCACTCATCTGTAACATCGTCTTTGTCAAGTGAGTTTGTCTGTAGTCAGGGACCACCTCTGTGGTCTTGTTGTAGAACTTCCGCCCAGAGATTGGAAGGTCCGGGTTTCGATCCCCGTCCGTGTCATACCTAAAGACGTTAAAAGATGTTACTTGTTGTTACCCTGTCTGGAGCTCGGCATTTAGGGGCAAAAACAAGGCCTGGTCAGTTCGGAGTCAGTTTACTGGGTCTAAGTGGGGTATTCATGTTAAATTGCAGCATGGTATCTCAGTGTGCTAGCACTATAAATCGGCATCAGTCCGGACTAGTACAAGTGGCCACACAGACACATGCATGCACGTCGCTATATAAGTGCAATAATCTTGGACACAATGTTAAACCCCATTTCACCTCACCTCACCTCACCAATGGTCAGGGACATATGGTCAGGACAAGGCTTTTCCCACTATTTACAAGACAGGTTTGCTGCTTGTACCAGTTGTAAGAAGTTGCAGCCTGATAACCAAAGTTATGTTTACTGAAGGGGTCGTCAGTTCATACGATCATTTGTTGTCTGTTTTCTGCACTGTCTACTTGTGAAATGTTGGATGTCATACCTGTAGCAAGTCTATTCTGTTCATTCAAGTTTTGATCCACTCAACCACAACCACCAGACAATTGCAGATGTTGCACACCACATGCTTTACCACAACTGACAAGAGTAAAGTTTCTACATCCGGGCAAAATATCACATGTTTCCGGTAACGATGAAAACTTGGATCGGAAATTATATGAATAAAGACCATGCATATAGTTAGCATACTCGACAATATGTTATGAATGTTTGATGGGGATTTGTTGAAAAATAAACATATTTGGGATTGAATACAATATCCTTGGTTTATCACCCCCGATTACTCGAAGTGTTGTAAAGATCTCTGGTCTAGTTCTACATTCCCCAAACTGAGCTGGTATGCCATGATAGAACTGATGCATTAACTCCCAGACCCTGTTGCCAGGTATGCCGGTGAGCAGGGGGCAGTGTTCAGCCGGGAGTCGGGAGGAGGTTTCACCTGCACACTGACAGCCTCATCCCAGGCTCATCCTCAGTTCCTGCAGCTGCTGCTGGGGGAGATCCAGCAGTCTCTGGTGCTGGCCAAGACCAACCTGGTGCTGGCGTCCAGACAAAGCTCCATTCATGGTACGCACAGGTGGCCCGTGAAGATTCCGGGGTAGAATGGGTCTTCAGCAACCCATGCTTGTCGTAAAAGGCGACTAACAGGATCGGGTGGTCAGGCTCGCTGACTTGGTTGATGCATGTCATCGATCCCAATTGCGTGGATCGATGCTCATGATGTCAATCACTGGATTGTCTGGTCCAGACTCGATTATTTACAGACCGCCATCATATAGCTGGAATATTGCTGAGTGCGGCGTTAAACAACAAATCAACCAACCAACCAACCAACAGGTGGCCAGTTTGAGGTTAGACAAACAAAAATTGATGTAAGCTACCGTTTCTGTTTGGTGTCAGGATACAGGGAGGCTGTTTGGATTCTGCTTATATCCAACATTGACCTGAATTTTATTCCCCACTATTGTAATATTAACATGATGAATGCCTTCATGATACGAGTAATTGTTGAAACAGACTACAGCTGAATGTATTTCTTATTACAGGTTTGATACAGGCCATTACGTTATGTCTCAAGTCTCGGCAAGCTCATTGTGACCTGGACCTTCCTGAAAGTCTGCTTCTGGATCTGCTGAAGGTCAATGTGAAGGTGATTCAGATGACCTTGTCAGTGACCTCTGGTGGCAATGAGAAAGGTGAGTGATGAGGGTTGTCTCACTCTGTCTGTTGGTGCAGAAATGTGTTCTTTTGTATAAAATAATGAATTTTTTTCACATCTTTAAGATTTTTATTGTTCCTCTTTGTAAATGTGTGTTTTCTGTAAATAACATTACTGTTCAAAGCTATGAGTAACATTCAGGCATTGTCTTAGTGGAAACTGCTTTTTTATCCCCCGCCGCGCGAAAGCGCGAAGCGGGGGATATAGTATTCACGACCGTCCGTACGTCCGTCCGTACGTCCCACCTGTTTGTTGCCGCGATATCTCAAGAACTAAACACTGGATTGTCTTCATGTTTGGAACTATGGTGTATATACAGACACCGCAGACACCAGTCGGTTTTGGTGACCTTGACCCCATTTTCAAGGTCACAGCAGGCAAATCTGCTTTTTGAGTTTGAAAACGGTGTTGCCGCGATATCTCAAGAACTAAACACTGGATTGTTTTCATATTTGGAACTATGGTGTATATACAGACTCCGCAGACACCAGTCGGTTTTGGTGACCTTGACCCCATTTTCAAGGTCACAGCAGGTAAATCTGCTTTTGGAGTTGGAAAACGGTGTTGCCGCGATATCTCAAGAAGTAATCGCTGGATTGTCTTCATATTTGGTACTATGGTGTATATACAGGCGGGGGACATTTCGTCACTTCTGTGACAAATACTTGTTATTATTACTTCAATATCTTTGCATCCAAGCAGGGCATCAAGGCATTGAACTTTAGTCTGATATGATATTGTAACTTTAATGTTTTAACGTTCTCATGAGCTTATGTAAGCTCAGCATTTGTGGATATTAGGAAAATGGTGTCTTTTCTAATCTTGTACTGGTAATTTACAAATGTCAGAAATCGAAGTGAAGGATCTCTCTTTTTTTATAGAGAGCTGCCCATCGTTTGCAGAGCTGGGTGTTGCACTTGATAGCCTTGTATCGGGGGAGCGGGAGGGAGAATCGCTGTCACTGACACCGCAGTTCCAGTTCATGCTGTCCTGGTGCTGGGTCAACCTAAAGGTAAGGGAGGAAAAGAGGAGAGGGATGATGTGGGTGGGGTAGTTGTGACAGGTGAGAGAACTTGTGTTGGGAAAGAGGAGAGAGGAGAGAGGATGTATATGTGTGTTGGTGGGTGGAGTTGTGAGATAGCATGTGTCAGGAGAGAGGAGAGGATGTGTATGTGTGTTGGTGGGGGGGAGTTGTGAGAGGTGAGATAGCGTGTGTCAGGAGAGAGGATGTGTATGTGTGTTGGTGGGGGGAGTTGTGAGAGGTGAGATAGCGTGTGTCAGGAGAGAGGATGTGTATGTGTGTTGGTGGGGGAGTTGTGAGAGGTGAGATAGCGTGTGTCAGGAGAGAGGAGAGAGGATGTGTATGTGTGTTGGTGGGGGGAGTTGTGAGAGGTGAGATAGTGTGTGTCAGGAGAGAGGATAGGATGTGTATGTGTGTTGGTGGGGAAAGTTGTGAGAGGTGAGATAGCGTGTGTCAGGAAAGAGGAGAGAGGATGTGTATGTGTGTTGGTGGGGGGAGTTGTGAGAGGTGAGATAGCGTGTGTCAGGAGAGAGGAAAGAGGATGTGTATGTGTGTTGGTGGGGGAGTTGTGAGAGGTGAGATATTGTGTGTCAGGAGAGAGGAGAGAGGATGTATATGTGTGTTGGTGGGGGGAGGTGTGAGAGGTGAGATAGCATGTGTCAGGAGAGAGGAGAGAGGATGTATATGTGTGTTGGTGGGGGGGTTGTGAGAGGTGAGATAGCGTGTGTCAGGAGAGAGGAGAGAGGATGTATATGTGTGTTGGTGGGGGGAGTTGTGAGAGGTGAGATAGCATGTGTCAGGAGAGAGGAGAGAGGATGTATATGTGTGTTGGTGGGGGGAGTTGTGAGAGGTGAGATAGCATGTGTCAGGAGAGAGGAGAGAGGATGTATATGTGTGTTGGTGGGGGGAGTTGTGAGAGGTGAGAGAACTTGTGTCAGGAGAGAGGAGAGAGGATGTATATGTGTGTTGGTGGGGGGAGTTGTGAGAGGTGAGATAGCGTGTGTCAGGAGAGAGGATTGTATATGTGTGTTGGTGGGGGGAGTTGTGAGCGGTGAGAGAACTTGTGTCAGGAGAGAGGAGAGAGGATGTGTATGTGTGTTGGTGGGGGGAGTTGTTACAGGTGAGATAGCGTGTGTCAGGAGAGAGGAGAGAGGATGTATATGTGTGTTGGTGGGGGGAGTTGTGAGAGGTGAGATAGCATGTGTCAGGAGAGAGGAGAGAGGATGTATATGTGTGTTGGTGGGGGGAGTTGTGAGAGGTGAGATAGCGTGTGTCAGGAGAGAGGAGAGTGGATGTATATGTGTGTTGGTGGGTGGGACGTGAGAGGTGAGATAGCGTGTCTCGTGAGAGGAGAAGTATATGTGTGTTGGTGGGGGGAGTTGTGAGAGGTGAGATAGCGTGTCTCAGGAGAGAGGATGTATATGTGTGTTGGTGGGGGGAGATGTGAGAGGTGAGATAGCATGTGTCAGGAGAGAGGAGAGAGGATGTATATGTGTGTTGGTGGGGGGAGTTGTGAGGGGTGAGATAGCATGTGTCAGGAGAGAGGAGAGAGGATGTATATGTGTGTTGGTGGGGGGAGTTGTGAGAGGTGAGAGAACTTGTGTCAGGAGAGAGGAGAGAGGATGTATATGTGTGTTGGTGGGGGGAGTTGTGAGAGGTGAGATAGCGTGTGTCAGGGAAGTGGTTGTGGAATTGACTGTCACTGACCCCAGATTTGGTTGATGTCCTTTCCTCCCAGCAGTCTTAGCACTATGACTCCACTACTCCAATACTTTAACATTCATGTAGTGCTGACATTGCATTGTTGAGCAGGGCCTTGGTACAAGAACAGTCCCAAGGTAGGAGCGGAGGAGAAGGAATAAAAGATCTTAATTTGGATGATTTGTATTTCTGAGATGCTTGAAGCTTGCCTCCATCGAGCAGACATTTCATCTTAGGCCAGAGTGTAGGCTTTGTGTCACCACAAAAGGGCACACTGATATTCATTCAAATAAATTATCTGGATTTATTAAATTATCCTGCATTACTCCTTAATGCATGTTATGCTATGGCGTAAATCATGTGAAATATATGAAGATACAAACCGGAGGCACAATAGAATCACAAGAAATATTCACTAAGAATCAACACAACAAGTGAGAATCAAGATTTTTATGCTGAGAGATCACACAGGTGAATCCACTGTGAGTGACAGCAATAATGTGAAGACTGTGATGTCATCACTCCCGTGGTCACGTGGGAGCTGTGTGATAGGGTTGTCCTCAAGGCTAGTTACAACAACTTCTTCTTCAGCAAGACTTCACACAGCTCTTCTTTCTGTAAACAAAAAGCAGTAATATGCATTAAAGAGTAATGCAGGATAAGTATACAAATATAAAAAAATATCTAGGGATTTTACAGGTTTTGTTTAACCAAGATGTCCTAATGCTCACATGTACCAAAAGGCGTTACATTATGGTTCATGAGGCCACATGTGACTTTAGGTGAGCCTTGTGGCATGATTCGATGACTGTCTTTAAGATGCTGCCATTTTGTTGACTCCTCCCCACCTTGCAGGAAAGCTGTACTTGTCTTGGTGAGGTCACTGCCTCTCTGGTGAGCTTCCGGACCTCGGAGAGACCGACATGGCTGTCGGAGCTACAAGGTGTGGGCCAGATGTATGTACAAGTCCTCACCAGCTGTCGGATCAGGGTAGGCAGTTCTTAATGAAAACAAATAAAGTAAACAAATAGAAATGTATAATTGGATTATTCTTAGTATGGATTATGATGTAGTTTGTATGTATGAATTGGTCATGAAACATTACCCGTGTCTTGATTGTGCTTGTAGGGTGCCATTGAAGGCTGTCGCCATGGGTTCCTGCGGTACTGCTCGGCACTGATGTCCTGTGATGAGCCCGCTCTAGCAGCCATACCAGCAGACATTCTGTACCAGGTAGAGTTCAGGCTCCTTGTGGCCCTGAAATAACCAATTGTCTTACGTTTCCTTTGACAGCATGGCATCATTTAGGAGGGGGATATGGACTTATGTCAGGGCAAATCTTAAATATCATGTTGTGAATATCTCAGTCATCTAGCTGTGAATATATATCATGCTGGGAATACCTTTGATATCATGCTGAGGATATTTTGCATATCTTGCTGTGAATATATATCATGCTGGGAATACCTTTGATATCACGCTGAGGATATATTGCATATCTTGCTGTGAATATATATCATGCTGGAAATACCTTTGATATCAATTATCATGCTGAGGATATTTTGCATATCTTGCTGGGAATATATATCATGCTGGGAATACCTTTGATATCATGCTGAGGATATATTGGATAACTTGCTTGAAATATATATCATGCTGGGAATATCTTTGATATCATGCTGAGGATATATTGGATGTCTTGCTGGGAATATATATCATGCTGGTATATCTGATATCATCCTTTGGATGCAGAGGACATGCTTGATATATATCTTATATCATGCTGGGGAGATATGAGACTTGCTGAGAGATATTTATGATACCGTGTTTGGCATATCTCGGATACCAAGCTAGACACTGTTCTAATGTGTTGTGGGGATATATCCGATATGTTGGAAATATTTATCATGCTGAAGCAAGAATACTGACGATGTCAGTGATATCATGCAGGGGATATGTTGATCAGCTGGGCATTGTGATGCAAGAGTCATGTGGTTGTCACAGATTTGTTTCTCGTTGTAGATAATGAGTAGCCTGGAGAGCAACTTGATGTCGGTGTCCGTGACTCGCAGGTCCGCGGGGCTGCCTGTCATCGTGCAGGTCATTGCCCAGGCTGAGCAGAGGAGGAGACAGGCAAGTCAACACTGAGCAGGTCATGGGGAGCCATGCCGAGCTGAAGGAGGGCTTGTGCAACTCCATGATGGTTTAATGAGATAGTATTTGCAGTGAATGAATAGATATTATTAGATGAGTGTTTTGTATGGAAAATGTCATACATTAGGAATATAAATTGTGTTGGGCAAGCCTATGGTTTGCATAATACATACTTTTTATTCCTAATAGGATATTTACAATTAGGGAAACACACAAGAATGGTGGTCTTTTATTATATGATGTGACTATGACTGGCAGCCATGTTGGTTTCATGAGCACTGACACCTCGGGAAATCTATATGAACTTTGGTGGAATATTATGGACATGGTTTTGAGTTATACTGCATCACAGCTATTTATATATTTATTAAAAGTAGTTCCTGCCAGGAGACTCCATTTGCATATTCATCACATCTCCTTTCCCCTGTCGCTTGATGAGAGAAACAAGATATTTAACTCAACACATGAAACATCCTCTATATCTTTATCTGGTCCGGTCTGGTCCTCTCTGATGTAGACAGCTACTTTTCAATAGTAAATTGGTTGTTGGGACTACACTTTTAGTCCCAAGTCCGAAGTGTAAAAATTCCAAAGTAGTGAGTTCAGTTTTGAGTTATAATAATGTATCAAGGAACTGAGGGGACCTGAGAAATAGTCCGGTGTTCACCAAAATCCGAATTTGACAAAGTATGATTTGGACAGATTCCACTGTATAGCAAGGAGATGTTACATAATTGAGAAGTTCTCACTCATACACTCATACACTCATACACCTCACTCATTTACTCATACACTAAGGATGAGTAAAAGATGGAGATGTTGCTTCAGTCGATGTGTTCATAGTTGACTTGTATCTGCAGCACCGGCTCCTGACCCAGTCAGTTGTGACTCTGTTCCGCCTGGCGTCGGCTCCCTTCATGCCCCAGGCTGACCAGACACAGGACGTCTGCCAGGTCCACGCCCTCAACATCCTCAAGGCGCTGTTTGGTGATGCCACGCTGGTGCTCAGCCTCATGCCCAGATTCACCGAGGTCCTCCTCATCATCTTTGACGGGTTTGAGTCCCCAAGCTGGGCCATCAGGAATGCCGCTACACAGCTCTTCGGTAATAGATTACTACGGTACAATCAATGATTCCTGCGAGCAGAAATAATATTATACCAGCCAACCCACAATTTTATTTGTCATTGTCTAAGATGGCTCCATATTAAAGTATGCAGTTTCTCACATCTTGGTGTTGACCACCATGATGGTGCTTGGAAGTTGTGTAAAACCTCACTCACTCACTCACTCACTCACTCACTCACTCACTCACTCACTCACTCACTCACTCACTCACTCACTCACTCAACCTACCACCCACCCTTCCACTCACTCAGTCACTCACTCACTCACCCTTACACTCACCCTTCCACCCACCCTACCACTCACCCTTCCACCCACTCTTCCACCCACTCTTCCACCCACCCTTCCACCCACCCTACCACTCACCCTTCCACCCACTCTTCCACCCACTCTTCCACCCACCCTTCCACCCACCCTACCACTCACCCTTCCACCCACTCTTCCACCCACCCTTCCACTCAGCCTACCACCCACCCTTCCACTCACTCACTCACTCACTCACACTCACTCACTCACTCACTCACTCACTCACTCACTCACTCACTCACTCACTCACCCTTCCACTCACCCTACCACTCACCCTTCCACCCACTCTTCCACCCACTCTTCCACCCACTCTTCCACCCACTCTTCCACCCACCCTACCACCCACCCTTCCACCCACCCTTTCACTCACTCACTCACTCCACTGGGTACGCTTACACACTACTACAAATCACTACCATCAGTTTTCCAAATATACACTTCTGCATACTAATAACTATCCTCTGCTTCTCATTTATCGACCCAAACAGCATCATGTTTCTTTCAGGGACAATGGTGAGTCGCATGTTTGGCCCGCGAGGGAAGGCAGGCACCAGTCAAAAGATGATGACTTTCCAGGAGTTGTCTGCCCATTACCCACACCTACCAACAGCCATGTTGTCAAGGCTGGAGACCCCCTGTACCAACGTCGACAGTGTTGACAATCTGCATCCATCTTTGTTCCTGGTGCTCACCTTGTTGGCCAGCCTTGGTCCAGAGGAGTCCCAGTCAACAGACCAGTGAGTAATGGTTCCTTATCTCAGAAGATTTATATGGCTTTACTCAGCTTTTAACAATATTCCAGCTATATCAAGGCGGGAGACACCAGAAATGGGCTTCACACAATGTACCCATGTCGGGAATCGAACCAGGACCTTCGGCATGATGAGCGAACGCTTTAACCACTAGGCTACCCGACCGTCCCTATGTCAGAAGACTGCCTCTGTGGTCTGGTGGAGGGAGTATCTGCACAGAGAGCGAAAAGACATTATCAGATGGTACTTGTTGTTACCCTACCAGGCTCGATGACTTGGTTGGCGTGTCAACGTATCTAGCGTGGATCGTTGCTCACAATGTTAATCCCTGGATTGTTGCTATGTGAAGGCACAAAGATTTTGTGTTAAACCCCATGTCACCCAATTTTGTCCGAATTCTGTAGTGGATTACAAGGCAGCACTGTTCATTCTGCAAGGCAGACATGGTATATCATGTCAACTCAGTATCTCAGTATCAATCTCAGTATTGCTGAAAGAGAACCCAGTCATACCCTACTTGCTGCTGTGCAGAGTTGCATACCTTAGCCACACTAGGATCTGCTGATCAGGGTTTAAATCATTGATTAGCCCTGATTTTGTTCTTGCTTTGTCAACACGATATCCCTGCTTGTGGGTTTGAACATCTACAACCTGTGCCCCTTGGGCTCATCAGGGGCGGTCGGGTAGCCTAGTGGTTAAAGTGTTCGCTCGTCACGCTGAAGACCCGGGTTCGAATCACGACATGGGTCCAATGTGTGAAGCCCATTTCTGGTGTCACCTGCCGTGATATTGCTGGAATATTGCTAAAAGCGGCGTAAAACAAACTCACTCACTCACTCACTTCACTCATCATTAAGGTCACAGTGATGGAAGTCATTGACTTATCTAACTGTTCTATATTCCTGTTCTGTACACTCCCCATACTCGTGAAGATCCAGGGAAGAATAGGTCTTCAGCAACCCATGCTACCGCTAAACAAAGATCTGAAGACATCCCATTAGGGGTCACGTCAGAACAACCTTTCATCCGACCAATCAGAGCGTCGCTTACCAGATTATGAAAGTGACAGTCGGAATGTGATTTCTTATCATGCAACCTCGAAAACTTTATTCCGAACGATAGTTACGGGTTTAACGACTGAATCCATAGAATCTAGACCATCTATTAGCCATTCCATAATGTTCTTTTGTTCAGGTTTCAGATTTGTAATCGAGAATTTGTCAAAATATGTTTTGAAGTGTAGTCGCCAATTTGAAATTAGTGCTGTAAAGCACGAGAAAGCTTCCTTCTGATTGGTCATTCCATTGGTCGGTCAAAGTTCGTGCAATGTCGGTCTGACGTGACCCGTAATGGGATGTCCTCAGATCTTTGTTTAGCGGTAGCGAGAACTAAGATCTGATTTTAATGAGATTGTGACTATGCTTGTCGTAAGAGGTGACTAACAGGATCAGATGGTCAGGCTCGCATTGGTTGATGCATGTCATTGTATCCAAATTGCGTGGATCGATGCTCATGATGTCAATCATTGGATTGTCTGGTCCAAACTTGATTATTTACAGACCGTCATATAGCTGTTATATTTCTGAGTGCGGCACTTAACAAACAAACAAACAAACAAAATAACTGTATACTTCCCAGGGAGCTGAGAATGAAAATCATGTGCACACTGATCCATTCACTAGGGTAATCATAATGTTTTGCTTTGAGCATGCCCTTGTGATGTGGAAATATAATGCAATGTAAATATTCTATTCTATTGTTATTATTATTATTATTCTAGTTGCAGTGTGTCTTCTCTAGGTATCAATTCTTGTCATTCAAATGATTTTATTATCACGTCTTTAATGTGGTAGTATATTCTGATTTTTTTTATCACAGGATTGAGAGGGTGTTCAGAGAGAAGATATCCTTGTCGTTACATAGTCCGGTGTATACCCTCCGTGAGTTGTCGGCCCGAGCAGCCGTCACTTTCATACCTCTGGACAGTGGAGAGCAGGAGGCTTTGAAACTTGTGGCGAGCCTACCAACTTCATGTGACCAGATTCAGGGGCACAATCTGCTACATGGAGCGTTACTCTGTGCAGAAAAGTTGATTCTAAGTCGAGAATTTAATAAGAAGTTTAGGCACAGGTTATTGACTGCGGTCCTAGACAAGAGCTGGATCCACACCGAGCTGAGGCACTGCCCTCTCATTGCTGCTAAATATGTGCAGATAATAAAACATTTAATACAAGACTGGGATAGTGAAGAAAGTTTAAGAATGTCCATTGTTAGTTTATTTAAATCTACAACAGAGAGAAAACGTTCCAGCAAGTTACAGGTGAGAACAGACCTGATTTTGACAGAATATGATACAGACAATACGGAACTGATGGGTGTTTGGGTAGCTCAGTGGTTAAAGCATTTGTTTATTACGCCAAAGACCTGGGTTTGATTCCCCACATGGGTACAATGTGTAAAGCCCATTTGTGGTATCCCCTGCTGTGATATTGTTTGAATAGTGCTAAAAGTGGCGTAAAACGATACTCACTTCCAGACTAATATGTATGTCTGGTTCTTGAATCGGCCCTAAATTCACGAAAGTAAAAATAAAGATCAGAATGACAGTTCTATTCTTATAGAACCATTTTATTTATGACTAGGCTAGCATTGTCAAAACAACATCCTGAACTCTTTTGTCCATGATTTAATTAATGTTATTCTCTGTAATTGCTGTCGGTCTTGAAATCTTATTTTTCATATCTTGGCCAAAAAGCCTGTACAACATTTAAGGATTGACTGTGGTTTTCTTGGTTCATTGAGGTATGAATCGAAAAACGGATGTGCAAACTGTATTCTTACAAAAGTTTGCACATCAGTTTTGAAGTTGCTCTCCAAGGCATGAATCCACAGGTATTCTAATGCTCAATAAACATTAGTCTAGGTCACTTGAATATTATGGGATACCTCATATTGCAGATTGGGACTGGACTCGAAGTAAAGGATTCAATGTTATGTATTACTCATCTTCTTCGCGACTCGCCGGGAGTTTTAACAAGGCAGTGCTGTGATTGGCTGCAATTGGATGACTGTGACGTCTGCTCTGTCTGTCTCGACATCTTACTTAATATGGCGGTGAGCAGCAGGACAAGCAGTGTGGACTGGACCCAGATTCAGGTATGGCGGTGCAAGTCTATGGTCTTAGTACATTGTACTTGGTATTGAGAAAGTACTGGGTCAGTGGATGGTTGGGTAGCATTGCGGGTAAGTTGTTCACTTGTTGAAATAAAGATAAGGTTTGATTCTCTCATGGGTAAAATGTGTCAAACCCATTCTTGGTGTCATGAATAGCTGCTTTAAAAGACACTTCATTCACAATTTTTTTAAAGTTATACTAAAAGATATATTTGAGTTGTCATGGTGCATGAATGGATATCACAAGCTATTTCTGTGTCTATAAAAATCTTTGAAACTCTGGTTCAGAGTTCATTCCACACAAAAAGAACAGTACATTGCCTTATTGGTCTCCTTGGGTCACATTGCTGTTATAAATGCTAGCCCAAACCCTCACTCACCCCAGAATACCCACAATGTGTGACCTGGCTGATTATGTGTCATACTCGGACAACATTGATCCATGCTCATGCTATCACTATTTCTTCGCTCTCACTTTTGCACTATTTCTATATGGGCGGCCATTCAGTCAAAAAATACAAAGTTGAAATTAAGGACAAACGTACGCAATAATAGTCAAATGTTACGAATAAATAATGAATGTTACAAATAAAGGTCATTATTAACATACAAATAATGAACTCAAAATACAAAACAATACCAATGAACAACTCTCAAACAAAAGACGTCATATGTAAAGAAAGAACAATGTGTACTAAAGAACTTCAGTGCACAAAAACGACACCAAACTGCTAAAGGAAAACATTGACAATAAAGAATGCCAGATGGCGCTGCAATTTGTAAAACTTTCCGAGTTAAATCAGCTTCTTCTGCCGTATGTATGATAAATGCATGCTGAAGTGCTCCGTGTATTTCGTCATTCCTTGTGTGACATCAAACACGAAAGTGAAAATGATATCGAGATATTTTTCTGACACATTTTCATAAGATCAAAAAAGTGAACGATGTTCATATTCTGTGTACAGCGCCATCTATGGATGCTGCTACAGAGAGATGTGGGGATCTCCGCCCTGACAGCAGCCATGTCTCTTCTGGCAGAGATACATCTCCATCAGCTGACGCCGGAACACTCCGACTTCACCATGGACGACCTGCATCGGGTTCAGTCCCTGTGCGGAAGTGGGTCCAGTATTCACGCCGCTAGTATCCAGGTGGAGGCCATCTTGGTCAACAACACACTAAGGCTTAAACCTCCTCTTACAGATTCCTTGTGAGTAGCTGTAGGAAAGTAGTTTAATTCTGCTTTGAGATAAAAGATAAAAAATATTTTAGCCCAAATAATTGTTTTGGAAAATTGGTAAACATCTGAGACCTACATCACTTTGGGCTTTCCTCCAACGTCATGCTGACACGCTGTGATCATTCTTGAGTATTGTTAAAATCCGCACTAAACCCAACTCACTCACTCGCGCTCACTCACTCTCTTTAGTAACAAGTTCCGAAACATATCTCTTAGTCTTAACGGATGTATTATCTGTTTGATTATTCCAGCAAGTCATCAGTTCAGGAATGGTGTCGGCGAGTTCACACCATGAGTGATCCTCGTCAGAACGACAGTCTGAGGTCTGCTGCAGTCAAGTCCCTGTTGGTAGCAGGGGAGACAATCCTCGGTGTCTTTGTGAACAACAACAACAAGTCATTACCAGAGTCCGTGCTCAACTGGTAGGGAGGCTAAGGCTCTGAATGAGTGAGTGAGTATGGTTTTATGCCGCAATAGCAATATTCCAGCAATATCACGGCGGGGGACACCAGAAATGGGCTTCACACATTGTACCCATGTCGGGAATCGAACCCGGGGTTTCGGCGTGACGAGCGAACGCTTTAACCACTAAGCTACCCAACCGCCCCTGCATTGAATGAAATGTATATTGTATTATATTATGTTAGGCTAAAAAAAGTAATAGTCTTGGTTCTCAGGCATCGCCCGCATCATCAGAAAGTATGCCTCATGTTTCGTTTTTATTTCCATTTTAAAATTAACAAAATGGCATTGGTGTGGGTCGTTGCTCATATCAATCACTGGTTTGTCTTGTCCAGATTTAATTATTCACAGGCCACTGATGTACAACTTGAGTGCAGTGTTGTGTTAAACAACAAATAACCCAAGAAGTTTGTGTGTTCCAGTGTGATGGACTCCGTGTTCACGCTACTCGAGGATGGGGATGCAGACATCAGGGACAGGGCTGCCCAGTTCGTCGGCTCTCTACACTGGGAGCAGAGACACATACAAGTAGGCGCTTCATTTACCAAACGTTGATATGGATGAAATTTGTAGGAGTACATGTAGAAGGAATTATGGGAAACAAGTCTCGAAAACTTTTTGAAAATATTATTGATTCGGCGTTGTTTGACAATATGCCTGTTGTCTGTCAGATTACTAATAATACATGGGTGTAAATTGACGTGAAATGATTAATATGCCTGATAGAATATCCTAGTTGTTTTGATATCATATGACATTTTCAACTTTCTCCTTCCAGTTCTCCGATGTTGACAGTAGTACCTGCCAAAAGGTATTGTTTTGATTTGACAGTAATACCAAAGAATCGGGTGTTCTTTAATTACTTTAATTCCTAAAGAATATTATATACTTGACGACGTTGATAGTATATGCAAGACCTGCATTAATTTAGCCTTCCTCCCTAACTGCTATTCTTTTACATATAAATTATTCCTTCTTCCTAAAGTACTTTATTAGAGTATCCCCCACAAGGGGACCCAAGTCAGAATTGGTCCCCAGCCCATCTGCTTGTCATAAGAGGTGATTGTTTGTTTGTTTGTTGTTTAATGCCACACTCAGGAATATTCCAGCTATATGACGGTGGTCTGTAAATAATCAACTGGCGACTGAATCATGTGGTCAGGCCTGGTGACTTGGTTGATTGCATGTCATCGTACCCCGATATACCGGTACATGGGATGGTTCTGATAATTTCAACCGTTGTCTTGTCTTACCAGCTGCTGTACAAGGTCTATTGGCTACTGTCTGCGGTCTGATGGCTGAAAATATTGAGGTGCAAAACATAAATAAATTATGATGATCCCTTCAGCTGAAAGCTGTTGTTGTTTTGCCAGATGTTCTGCCAGTACATCAGTGCCAACCTGACCTGGCCCCCCTCAGTACCCATGTACCTCCTGATGAAGATCTACAACGCAGGGGAGATAATCCAGGCATGCAGGAGTAACAGACTGAACACTAGGTGTGTTGAGAAGAACATTCTGCATTTGTGAATTTTGTTGAGATTTGGAACTAGAATTGTCTTTAGGCACTGGTACCATATTTCCTCAAGTAAACCCCTGGGCGTATATATTTCTTTCAGACACCCTTAACCTCTGACATTTAATCACAATATTAATAATGGGAAGAATTCTGTGCACAAAAATGACCCAGCATTTACTCGAGGCCCAGTGTTTAGTCAAGGCTTGGCATTTAGTCAAGACTCGGCATTTAATCGAGGAAATACGGTACTTGTTGAAAGTATCAATGAGCATTAGCTGAGAGCCGTGGCTTGTTTTCATCAACTTTTTTCAAGGCAGGTGAGGGGCGGTCGGGTAGCCTAGTGGTTAAAGCGTTCGCTCGTCGCGCCGAAGACCCGGGTTCGATTCCCGACATGGGATCAATGTGTGAAGCCCATTTCTGGAGTCCCCCGCCGTGATATTACTGGAATATTGCTAAAAGCGGCATAAACCCATACTCACTCACTCAACTCAAGGCAGGTGGTTCAGTGAGTTACAGTTTTGTGACTGTGATCTTGGATGTGCAGCCTTTACTGTACCAACAGTTTCTACTTAATAACTTTGGTCATGAGTTCAGGGCTCGGCTCAGCTATCTGCTCCTACTCTCTAATCTGACATGCTGTGTTACCATGACATAGCAAGTAATGTATGCTACACAAAGGAAGTTAAGGAGCATCTGATTTTTTCATATTACTACAGTATGGGGTGGTCTTTAACTTCTTTTGTGTGTAAAAGTGGAATGATGTTTTCAGGTCGGAAGTGTTGTTTGAGCAGGAGGACAGCAGCATCCTGTCCGAGAAGCCATTACAGCAACAGATGTATTACTCAGCTGTCAGGGTGAGTCGCAACTGGGAACTAGTGGCAGGTCTGAAATATGGTGATAATAATAGAAGCTTTGATCATATACACAAAGGCAGAGTTATTGTCACATGGATTTTTATATGAATTTAGGAATATGAACCTGGGAAAATGTTTGTGATAAATTCGCAGAAATGCTCCTTATATGGACTGTGGTTCGTTAGTATACCCTCAGACATCGTTCTTTCAGTTATATGATTCCAGACACAGTAGTACAATTGTTTGACTGATCCTCTTTATGTTTTGTATATCACAAGAACTTTTGCCTTTGTATGAGTATTTTTATTAAACTGATTATAAAATAGTTTTGGCTTTGGCTACAGAGTAGTTAGTGTTTTTCTGATCAGACGTGTGTCATTGAGGGAGCAGCCATTTTAGTTTCAGGATTTTTTCAAAGACAACAAGCGAGCCCGTTTTACTGTTAAAACGACAATATGACGGTTGCGCCGTTAGTACAAAGTGATATACTACATTTTCAGTCAACTCTGGAGAGATGAATTCTAGCATTAACGGATCCAGCTGTCACATCCCTGAAGTCTCTGGATTTACCATTTTGAAAAAGAAGGGGTTCTGCTTGGGCCATTTGTACCTTCAGGGGGGTGGGGTGAGGAGGAGAGTCCCCCCAAGAAATCACACAAACATGATATGTAAACCAAATCATTTAAAAAAGAGGGGTGGACACCCCCAGACATCCTCTTGATCAGCCAGTGTTACCAAGTTGTATAATGAATATGGGGAGGTGTAGAGTAGAGCTGCATCACTTAATTAACATCTAAAATCTGATCCACACAAAACTGGCATTCCCTGATACAACTGAGACGCTGTTCAACCTCACTGACTGTTTGGATACAAGAAGGTGATGCTTCTGTTTCCAGAATCAGAACAATTAGAGATTACATAGTCGCTAAATTGAGATGTTAATGTGTTTAGTTTGACTTTTGTAAACTTCAGGCACTTCTCCGTGGCAGTGTAGACATGCTACCAGCTTCCTATGTGGCCCAGACAGCTGCTGAAATATTGACAGACCTCACAACTTGCATACCAGTCTTACAGAAGAGCTTGCAAAGTAAGGATCAACATCCATGAATATTCTGGGTAGAATAGGTCTTCAGCAACCCATGCTTGCCGTAAAAGGCGACCATGCTTGTAGTAAAAGGCGACTATCGGGTGGTCAGGCTCGTTGACTTGGTTGATATATGCCATCGTATCCAAACTGCGTGGATCGATGCTCATGATGTCAATGACTGGATTGTCTGTACTTGCCATCATAGGGCTGAAATATTGCTGAGTGCGTCTGTAAACAACAAACAAACAAACAGAGAAAGGATCAAAGTCTTTCTGGACTCTTGGGTCGACAGGTGGTGTTACCCATGATCTGAAGCATTGTCACATCAACGACCAGGGGCTCTAACCTCACACAGGTACAATGTGTGAAGCCCATTTGGTATATGCTTGACTAGGATGATGTGGTTTGAATATTGCTGGGATCAGTGTGATATTATTCTCACTACTCTCGTGTCTAAGTGTTGAAGTCAAGGTAAGTGTAAAGGAAACAAGATCTCTGGAAGCTTTCACTGTACATGCAGACAATATCTCTCTGTACATGCAGGCAATATCTCGCTGTACATGCAGGCAATATCTCTCTGTACATGCAGACAATATCTCTCTGTACATGCAGACAATATCTCTCTGTACATGCAGACAATATCTCTCTGTACATGCAGACAATATCTCTCTGTACATGCAGACAATATCTCTCTGTACATGCAGACAATATCTCTCTGTACATGCAGGCAATATCTCTCTGTACATGCAGGCAATATCTAGCATTATCTTCTTGATGCGATTAACTGCAAGTTTGCTGATGTGGCGTTAAGCAATAAGCACTCACTCACTCACTCCAGCATAGCCCAGTGAGTACAGTAGCCATCTTGATTCCTAAAGTTTTCGCTGAGAGTTGAAGCCTAACCCCTCACTCTTTGGTATGTAATACATTGTATGTGAAAACATTGACACGTCTCCACTTTCCTGATATGAGGAGGCTGCTGCCTTACACCACTGGTGATGAGTGTCACCCGTGTCTGTGACCCGTGAAGATTCCGGGGTAGAATAGGTCTTCAGCAACCCATGCTTGCTGTAAAAGCTGACTATGCTTGTCGTAAAAGGCTACTAACAGGATCGGGTGGTCAGGCTCGCTGACTTGGTTGAAGCATGTCATCGATCCCAATTGCGTGGATTGATGCTCATGATGTCAATCACTGGATTGTCTGGTCCAGACTCGATTATTTACAGACCGCCATCATATAGCTGGAATATTGCTGAGTGCGGCGTAAAACAACAAACCAACCAACCAACCAACCCATGTCTGTTTGTAGATGCTCCCATCTTGAACATCAGCAGCGACAGCAGCGTCTACTCCTCAGTTGCTGGTCTCATCCTTGTAGCAGATGTTGTGGTGACAGTGGCAGATGCAGGAGTAGCTGGAGACATACAGACAGGGCTAGCTGAACTGGGACAGGTAAATGAATGATAGAGATGTTTGAAGTAAATGCATAGAACCCATTCTGTTCCTGTCAACTGTCTACAGGGACATAGGGAAAATTTGACAAGCATTCAAGATTAAGGGTCTCATACTTAAACAGCATTCACTGTTATTATTATCCCCTGCCGCGCGAAAGCGCGAAGCGGGGGATATAGTATTCACGACCGTCCGTACGTACGTCCATACGTCCGTCCGTACGTCCCACCTGTTTGTTGCCGCGATATCTCAAGAACTAAACACTGGATTGTCTTCATATTTGGAACTATGGTGTATATACAGACTCCGCAGACACCAGTCGGTTTTGGTGACCTTGATCCCATTTTCAAGGTCACAGCAGACAAATCTGCTTTTAGAGTTGGAAAACGGTGTTGCCGCGATATCTCAAGAACTAAACACTGGATTGTCTTCATATTTGGAACTATGGTGTATATACAGACTCCGCAGACACCAGTCGGTTTTGGTGACCTTGATCCCATTTTCAAGGTCACAGCAGACAAATCTGCTTTTAGTGTGGGAAAACGGTGTTGCCGCGATATCTCAAGAACTAAACACTGGATTGTCTTCATATTTAGAACTATGGTGTATATACAGACTCCGCAGACACCAGTCGGTTTTGGTGACCTTGATCCCATTTTCAAGGTCACAGCAGGCAAATCTGCTTTTGGAGTTGGAAAACGGTGTTGCCGCGATATCTCAAGAACTAAACACTGGATTGTCTTCATATTTGGAACTATGGTGTATATACAGACACCGCAGACACCAGTCGGTTTTGGTGACCTTGACCCAATTGTCAAGGTCACAGCAGGCAAATCTGCTTTTGGAGTTAGAAAACGGTGTTGCCGCGATATCTCAAGAACTAATTGCTGGATTGTCTTCATATTTGGAACTATAGTGTATATACAGACACCGCATACACCTGTCAGATTTGGTGACCTTGACCCCATTTTCAAGGTCACAGCAGGCAAATCTGTTTTTGGAGTTGGAAAACGGTGTTGCCACAATATCTCAAGAACTAATCGCTGGATTGTCTTCATATTTGGTACTATGGTGTACAGGCGGGGGATATTTCGTCACTCTGTGACAAATACTTGTTATGTATTATTATACCTCCATGTCAGACTGATGAAATCTGATTGGTTCACGTTATCTTGATAAAATACTATGTATCCTGCCTAGGAGGGTAGTAAATTTCTCAGCAGGAGAATAAATCCCTTATACCCCACCACGAAGAAAACAGGCAGCACATGGATTTCTGACTGGGATAATAAATCCCATATACCCCGCTTCGAAGCAAAAATCCACATGCTCTTTCCGAGTCAATGACTCTCACGTGGAGAGCACAAGTCAACCTCAGATCAATCGAAAAGCGGTTTTCTATGAACTTGGAATTTTGTAAAATTATTTTACAATGGCATATTAAAACATGTTGGTAAGATAAATTTATTGTTGCAGTATCAATTTGAGTACATGTGGTTTTATGCAGCCCGCGTTAGGTTTTATGATCCTTTTACGACATATATTGGAGTCCCATGGAGGTTCTGGCACCCTGCTCTGGATCTGTGTGTGATCCTGTGCTTGTGGTACGATCCACCTGAATCAGGGATGAAGAGTGGACCCTGGCAGTGTCACTGTAACCTGACATAGCATATCCATGCAACCGAAAGCTGCTTAGCATGGTATGCAATCCTTGGTGGTTCCGGGTTAGAATTGGTCCCCAGCAATTTATCCTGAGCCGTGTTCAGGCTGGATGACTTGGTTGATGGTGGGTCAACGTACCTGGAAGGTGTTTATTGATGCTGACAACAGGATTGTCTCATTGCCTGGTCCAGACTTGATTACTAACAGATAACCATCATGGGCGGATACAGCTTTTTTTAAAAGGGGGGTGCACATTTAAGATCTATTTATTGTCTTTGGTGGTAATTTATACAGAAATAAAGATTTTTTTCGAAATAAAAAGGGGGGGTGCGCACCCCCGCACCCCCCTCTGTATCCGCCCATGGCCATCATATCGCTGAATTATTGCTGAGTGCGATGTTAAAAAAAACACAACATGTACCCACAAGACACACACAGTTGTCTCGAACTATGTTCTCAATGGCCTGCAGGACTTAGAGATCTTCTTTGAGAGGCATTTAGAAGTTGGAGTACGTTGTAAGATATATGGATGAACAACTTAGAAAAATCGCTCCTAATTGTAATAAAGAAGTTGTTCATCCATATATCTTATCCTGTCTTGGAGAGCACCAGGTTTATTCATTAACACACTTCAATGTTTATGTTGACAGATAACAGATCTCCATCCTGGATTGAGGGCCATGTTAAACAAGCTCCTGTCCGACCAGCCCAAGTGATGTGCTGGGGCTGCCACTGGTTTGTTTGACTTTGAATTGAATTATTAAACCACACTGTTTTGATGTCACCATGTTACTTTGTCTCTTCGTTCTTTCATTAATTATTGTGCTCACAGATCCTTTTCGTCCTTTACATATTTATAACAATTTTAGAGACTGTATACCATTTATGGGATTTTAAAGTATTGATCCCTCTTATGTGGGTTTTATAATGTGCCATAGACATATAGTGACATGCTTGAGTGTGTGCATGTGCGCGTGTGTGTGTGCGTGTGTGTGTGTGCGTGTGTGTGTGCGCGTGTGTGTGTGTGTGCGTGCGTGCGTGTGTGTGTGTGCATGCGCGTGTTTGTTTCTTTGAGTGCGCGTGTTTGTGTCTGTGAGTGTGCGTGCATGTGCGTGTCTATATTTGTGTCTGTCTGCCGGTTGTAGTCCACGATATGCCAGTTTTAACAGACAACCCACTCAGACACAGTATTTGCATCAAATAGCAGCAAGATTGCTGATGCAGGGTTAAGCAATAGTCCCTCACTCACTCACTCAGACACGGTATGCTGACGACGAGCCGACCAGTCCTTGTTTTACCCCCTTTTGCCAAACCCTCGACAGGGGAACAACATGTATCATCTTTTAATGTCTTTTGGTATGATGCACCCTGGGATTGAATCACCCACCTTTAGCTCTCCTGGCAGACTTATTATGTAATAAAAATTGTTAAGTCTATGAGAGCGATTATAATATCAAGTCTTTCAGATCCTTTATGCATTAACCTGACTATTTGTAATATTCATCATATACTGAATAAATGTTGACACAGCCATTGACATTGTGTTTTTAATGTGTTATATGAAATCTTTTTGGTCTCTTTGTAGCTTTTCTCGTCAATTCTGCAGGGACTATCTCTGTCATCCAAGCTGCTTTCTTGATCAGGTCACGTAACACAATTTAAGCACAAAATTAGGACAGTGTCTGGGATGACTTGGTACCACAAGATAAGGCCCAGTCTGATGCTAGAATACAACATAGCATGGTACCTCAAAATAAGGCCCAGTCTGATGCCAGAATACAACATAACATAGTGCCTCAAAATAAGGCCAAGTCTTATGCCAGAATACAACATGGCATGGTACCTCAAAATAAGGCCCAGTCTGATGACAGAACACAACATAACATAGTGCCACAAAATAAGGCCAAGTCTTATGCCAGAATACAACATGGCATGGTACCTAAAAATAAGGCCCAGTCTGATGCCAGAATACAACATGGCATGGTACCTCAAAATAAGGCCCAGTCTGATGACAGAACACAACATAACATAGTGCCTCAAAATAAGGCCAAGTCTTATGCCAGAATACAACATGGCATGGTACCTCAAAATAAGGCCCAGTCTGATGCCAGAATACAACATGGCATGGTACCTCAAAATAAGGCCCAGTCTGATGACAGAACACAACATAGCATGGTACCTCAATATAAAGCCCAGTCTGGTTCTGTGTGCTCAGCACAACTTGCTATCACAGGATATGGGGACCAGTCTGGGGGATAGGGAGATCAGTCTGTTTCTAGAACTGCTACCATAAATGACTTGGTTCACATACAGGCCTATATGACCTGTGAAGGTCCAGGGTAGAATAGGTCGTCTTCAACCCATGCTTGCTGTAAAAGGCGACTAAGCTTGTCATAAGAGGCGACTAACAGGATCGGGTGGTCAGGCTCGCTGACTTGGTTGATGCATGTCATCGTATCCTAATTGCGTGGATTGATGCTCATGATATCAGTCACTGGATTGTCTGGTCCAGACTCGATTATTTACAGACCGACGTCATATAGCTGGAATATTGCTGAGTGCAGCGTTAAACAACCAACCAACCAACATATATATTGGTACAAAAAAATAATTGCATTGAAGATAACAATGCCTATGTAGGTACACACCACATGCGAAGGATAGCATTCATTTAAAAAATGAAGAAAACCTTTATATCACAAAAAAGTTTTATTGACTGATATCAAGTAGATAAATATATATCCACAAAACATTCTTGTAAGTTGTAACAAATACTCAACCAAAGCATACAGTAAAGATAGACGTGTAGAAAAGGTATATCAGAACTTGTCATGCGTCAACGACTCACATATTGCTGAGGAGGGTCTCGTCCACAGATACAACATAAGTAACCGGAATATACCAGTGCTTACACTTCCCCATCAGTACCGTCATGATGAGGGAGGAAGGCTGAAGTGATGCAGGTCTTGCATATGACACCAAAGTACTCAATTATATACTACTCACAAGAAGTTAAAGAACACCTGATTCTTTCATACTACTATAGTTACTTCTCAAAAGGGGGCGGTCGGGTAGCCTAGTGGTTAAAGCGTTCGCTCGTCACGCTGAAGACCCGGGTTCGATTCCCGACATGGGTACAATGTGTGAAGCCCATTTCTGGTGTACCCAGCCGTGAAATTGCTGGAATATTGCTAAAAGCGGCATAAAACCATACTCGCTCACTCATTTCTCAAAGAAGAAAATAACTGGATTATTTCATATGGAGTTAAAAATGCCAGATTCCTTCATATCACTACAAATAACTATAGTAATATGAAAGAATAGGATGTTTTATTACTTCTTTTGAGAAGTAATTATAGTTTTATGAAAGAATCAGATGTTCTTTAGCTGCTTCTGAGAAGTAACTATAGTAATATGAAATAATCGGGTGTTCCTTAACTTCTTTTGAGCAGTATATTTACCACGGTGGTGATACCAACGAGCATGGTGGTTGTGTTGACAAACCATGAAACATATATACCCGGTAAGTGTGAATCTGGGAATGAAACCCATGATCGTTGGAGTCTGCCGTGACAAAGGGGCACAACTCTGCACAGTAAATCATGATGCCTAAGAGAAACTTGCTACCCATCCCCAAAGGGGCATTGACATTGCACTGTACATATGGTTAATCTGAAATATGGGTTGTGTATGAATTGAATGTGAGATGAAATCATGTCCAAGAGTGTTTTAGCACAATTTCAGAATAACAGACAAAACAATCTCAGTAAAATCACATCTAAGTTCTCGCTGCCACTAAACAAAGATCTGAGGACATCCCATTACGGGTCACGTCAGAAAGACCTTTCGTGAACTTTGACCGACCACTGACACAACCAACAAGAAGTTGACATCAGCCAATTAGAAAGCAGCTTTCTCGAGCTTTACAGCACTCGTTTCAACCTGGCGACTTCCATTTCAGACTACGCTTGAAAAATTTGTTGACACAGTTCTTGATTGAACTATTGAAAAATGAACAAATGAACATTCCAGAATGTCTAATATATGGTTGCGATTGTATGGCAGTGCTTCCAACGTACTGTGTAACGGCTCCTCCGTTCAAATGTTTATCCCACGGAAGCGAGAGATAGACGATAATTGTGACAGAATCAGTCGTATGGGCCGTAAGTGTCGTTCAGAATACCCTGTGTTAACTTTTTCGAGGTTGCATGATTAGACAACACATTCCGACTGTCACTTTCATGATCTGGTAAGCGACGCTTTGATTGGTAGGATGAATGGTCGTTCTGACGTGACCCGTAATGGGATGTCCTCAGATCTTTGTTTAGCGATAGCGAGAACTAAGATCTGATTTTAATGAGATTGTAGACAAAATGGCTCCATCTCAAAGTACTTTGATGAAAATGCTGATGTACTATGGTTGAAACAAAAACAAGTTCAGGACTCATAGTTAAGAAACAATCTGATGTAGCATATTATGCTGTAGGCTATGATAAAATGGCCATTATTCAGAAATATATAAAAAGCAACTTAACATAAACAGGTCTAATATTGAGCTACTTGATCACATTGTCTCAACACAGATGTTACAGAAATCAAGGATATTGTGCTGTCCTTGCAGTACACTGCATTGTTATCATTTTATAAAAAGCAACCAATTCCTCAAAAACATTCTCACACCGTACACATCATAAAAGGCAAAATAAGTTGAGTTTGGTTGGATTCCCAAGATGAGATTCCTCTTGAAGACAAGTAACGATCACATGTTAAACAGCATAAACAAACAGAAAAGGACTGAAAACTCTGACAATTCTATGGCTGGGTGTAGTGAGATTTGAGAATGTGCAGTCAAATGCAGATGGTTCCCGGAGGCAGATCAGGATTTTGAAAAGAGGGGTGCACATATACCCAAGTGACAAAGTGACTTAACTGAGGGTGCAGTGAACATTTAAGGTGTCTGAAAAAGGAGCATGCGCACCCATTAAACCCCTTCTGGGTCCACCAGTGGTTCTACAGTGTTAAGTGTGATAATCACTTGTAAAGGCCAAAGCTGCCTCAGTAATCTCCCCTTGTGAAGCTATTTTGATAAGATGCTCAGTAAAAGATTATTTGATCATACAAATTATTCAGTCATACAAAATATTTGATTACAATGTTGAATGATATGCAAGCAGAAAACATATTTTCAGTGTTCAAACGGCAGGTGTCGTTGGCCAGTGTAATAAAGGGTCATCACTCTTGTGGTAAATTGTGTCCCCTCAGCACTCACGACCCAATGCTTGTAGGTTCAAAGAAGGTTTACATATTATGCTCAAACTAACAGTTATGACTGATGGGCCCTGGATGAAAGCTGCAACACAGGACTGTAGCGGTACAGACAAAACACTGCACTGATGTACATGGTCATGGAACACAACTAGTGTATCTGTGATTACACATCACAGAGGCCATACAGGTTTATTTCTGTTGGCTGTTTTTCTTAAAATTAAAAAAAAGTCAACTGAGGCATGCTTATTCAAAACTTCTTGTCTGTATTTTTTCTTTTCATCTTATTTCAAAAGCTTGATTAAGAAAACAATAACTAGCCATATAAATATGATAACAAGCATTTTCAAAATAAATTTCCACATATTGTGGGGAACAAATTGGCAGTTGACGGTTCATCCCAAATCAGTAACCATGGTAACAGAGTAAAACATGTATTCAGTTGAAAAACAACTGCAACTGATGACTAATGCAGGAGGTCATATGAATATGTAGATGAGATGCTTACAACAAACACTATATCTACTGATCCTGCTTACAGACCACCCCAGACAACAAGTCTCCCGGACTTTGAAAAATAACTGAAAAATTGAAATCCCAACTCCAGTCTTGAATGATTTGGCAAGTCTATATGGTTCTGAGCTCCATTTGGAATAAAGTTTTTATTTTGCTGATATATATTTTAGATAAGATAGCATTATTTCTGGGACTGTTAGACTGGACTGGGAAAAATCAGTCTTAATGAATTTGTTGTGCTTTGGTTTGATGCAAATGTCGAGACACAAGTTGTATGATGTCATCAGGCTAAAAAATAATAATAGTCTTGGTTCTCAGGCACCGCCCGCATCATCATAAAGTTTGCCTCATGTTTCGTTTTTATTTTCATTTAAAAAAAAGTCCAACGGTAGTCAAATACTGTATTCCAGTATTTTACTCATCCAGGAATACATTTATGTAGGGAGGCCCTTTCCCAGGTTGATTGTACACTACCGTTTATTTGGGTACACAACTGTTTATTTGGTTACATACTAGTTTGAACAACCCGCCCCCCCAAAAACGCCCGCCAGCATCATATTTTTAAAAGCTATTGTCTGAGAACCAATTCATTGATAACAGGTATGATGGGCTGACATATATGTGACGTCAGACACCGACCAGCTCACTGATAATAAATTTTGATAGTGTTGTATACACAGTACACATATTGAGACCTATGACAACATCAACTCATCTACAGCAGTCACAGCACATAAAGTTGTCATTGGATATGCATCTGGATAGCATGGTATGATAGCGATATGTAATGGAAAATGGAAAACTGCCTTGCACATACTATAAGAAAATAGTGTTTTAGAATTCAATTTCATTCCCAACACATGCTAAAACAACACGGATGCATTATTTTGTATCGATACCATGATACATGACCTCAAGATACAATACTTGTATCTTTGGTGAATTGTAACTTAATCAAACAGAAAAAACTCCAGTTACACTTCATAAGGTACATGTCACATGACATCCAGTAACCATAGCAACACCATCAAGTGAGACAACATTCAGTGACACAATGTATCTTGTGGTATCTTCATCAATCAGTCACAAACAGCAGGTTCTTTTTCTTACACAAACAACAGATACCACTTAACTTGATGAATACTTCCTTGAGTTCTGAGACACAAGACAATACAGTTATAGCAAGCTACTCACAAGTATTGCGAGACCATCTTCAGCTTCTTATACAAACTCAAAAGAATACCACTTCTGCCAGACTTTTCTTTAAATATGGTTACGAATCCTCCGACTCAACAAAAATGAAAATGTGAAAAAAATGAAAATGAAAAGCAGTGTGCTAAAATGAGTAAAATGTTTAAAACACCACCTCATTTACTGCCATTATCAATATAACTAAATCATCTAAATTACTATCATTAAAACCGGATTTATCTTAAAAACTTCGACCCCTACATTATTTTACCCCCTCCCCCTCCCCCACCCCACCCTTCTACCTTCTTAACATTTTGCAGTAATTACAAAATATATTTGACCTAGGAATATTTTTGTTTTTACTTTTTTACCTACTGACCTAAATGTTTGGGTAAAGAAAAAAACAAAAAGGAGTCTGGCCTTAAGTTGATGCAACAATGTCAGTGTTGGCGACACACAAGTTACACACAAGTTACACACAAGTATTGTGCAAGAGATCATCTTCGTAGTTACACAGAAACATTCATGCTGTCATAGAAACATTCCACTGTATTCTAATATATAAAGACAGGTGCACAAACATATAAAACACAGTCACAATCATAAACCAATAATGTTGCTATATCACAGTGGGAACAATGAAACCAATACATTATTTATTACAACAGACACATTATCTATAGCAGCTCTAGCCCTGATTTGGCATCTCTCACTGTGAACAGTATATAACAAACAAATGATGAGGTCAACAGTTTGAAGGAAGATAATGCTGCCAATATATTACTAGGCCAGTATAAATTAATTATTGATTATCCTTGCCTGCCATATTCTCACACCTCAATGCCTTTTTCCCCCAGTTCTGAATTCAATCATTCCTAATTTTCTACATTTTAGATTTTAGTCTTCAATTAGAGTTATCTTTCCTTTACTATCATGGTACACTATGTACAAGACAGTTTGGTTTCCAAATTCATGGAACGTACTGTCAGCACTGTCCTTGGAATTAAATACAGTCTTATTTTATTGTCACTGGTTCGTCTTCTTTCGTTCTCTGTTTAATAACAAGACCCTGTACACAAAAATATGGATTGAAAAAAGAAAACAAAATGACCCTGGTCACATTGCCATTTTCGCAATCTGGAATTCATGAGAAACAATTATTTTAGGCCAAATACCAAGAACTGTTCATTGATGTCATAAGCCCTCAAACTACATCACAGTGTGTGTATACCTGTCTCTCCTCAATATTTGTGTGTTTTTAGTAGTGTATATCAAGACTCGGTTTTGTGAAAACTGGTGCTAGAAGACAACTTTGGGTATCATGAAAGAAATTCCTCCTAATCACTTATCATTAATCTATACTGGCCTTGACGCTTCTGAATATTACCCAATGCCCTGACTGACTCCCATAAGTAGTGAAAATGTCAGATCTTCAATTCCAATCTTAACAATGAAATGTTAATAGACAGAGCATGAAGACATCACCTGTAAAACTAACCAGTACCTCGGGTACAGAATGTATATTTGTAATAAGTTAAATCTATTATGCAAATATCTTAAACAATGTTAAAAAATATGTCCTAAGAAAAAAGACCATTGTACAATTGACCATGCATGACTACAACTAGAGGATTTGTGTGTATATAATACTAGTTTGTCACTGTAGAGTCAATGAAAAAGTGTAGCTTTCTAATGTCCATTATGGACCCATATGGAAGTACACTGGTTTTAGGTTTTCAAATTATGCTTTATGAAAATATCTTTGACCTGGAAACACTGTTTTCATATTTCTAATCCATGAACCTTGAGTCACCAACTGTAGACTTGAAATAATCTCATCATGTAAGTCTTGAGGATCAGAATATTTTGCTATAATTAAAGCTTGTCTCAAAATACCTTTGATTGACTGCCTACATCTTAAAAGTCCAAACCAATTTCAACATCATAATCATAGTCATAAATATCTTCATCATATTCATAGTCATTTTCTGAGTCCTGTTCCTCGTAGTTTGATGCAGCGCTGTCGTCGGAGTCGCCGTCCGAATACTGCATTGCCACATGGAGTGCACTGGAATAGGCATCGTCATAGCGACTGCACTTGTCAAGTGACTGCATCATTGTCTTGGGTACAGATCCAACGGCAACCACCGAGATGTGGTCAATGGGAGGAGGAATGTGAGCCATGGAACAGGGGAACTTCTCCGACACCTCATGAAGCGATGTTGTGTAGGGGCACTCATTGTTCAAGATGAAGATGCTTTCACTTGTGGGGACAAGAAGCTGGAACCCATATGCCGGAGTATCGACAATGAAGTCAGGATGAGGGGTAGAGATTCTCCTGATGGATGTGACCCACTTGGATCGGACTTCGTCCAGGACAAGAGCAGGTTGCCCTGGATGGTAGATGAACACTGTATCCTCCCTCACACACATCACATACGGCTTAGCAAAGTCGTCGTATGAAATGTCCGGTGGGGGCAATTCCCACGAGCTGAATATCTTAGTTCTTGTGTCAAACACTGCAAAACCTATTGACTTTTTGATACAGAACTCTTCAGATGGTCCTGTGCGGTGACGGAACCACATGTAAATATGACGGTCGTCTTTGACGGTTGCTCGGCCTAAACTGATGAATCGTGAGCCTGGTATTTGAAAGCATGTGTATTGGTGGGTGGCCAGATTGCACATAAACAGGTGCCCAGTTCCTTCCTTGTTACCAAGCACAAACAGCTGGTTATTGCAAGAAACCATCACAGGTGGCGCTGTTCTGATATTTGTGAGAGTAGTCCGGTAACATGGGTTGTAAAAGTCCACAGTCCGGAATGAGAAAAGAGTCGGCTGACCAGAGACTAGATCTGTCACAAGAATGTTGATCTTCATCATATCTGTTGGGTAAGGAAAGCTTGAGCAGAGATACATGAAAAGTTTGTTGTCATTTAAAACCATATTGCATACAGTTTGGCGAACTGGCATGTAATGCAACATTTTTTCTCCAGAAACAGGGAACTGGTACCACTTTTGATCTTGGAAACTATAAATTAGTATCTTCATGAATTTGAGTCCTTGGTTACACACCACTGCCAACAACACTTGGCTACCCGAGTCTGATGGACTCTCACTGTCTCGTTTTGCTGTGAAATCTGTACCTGCATCTTCGGGCTCAGCACTGGCAGAAGCTGTAGTTAAGGATCCCTCCATGGATCTCCGGAGAATATCACTGGTGGACATCTCTCGTCCGAGGTAAGACGCTTCATTTGCATAGTCTGATATCCAGGACTTCACACAAGTCATGAGGTCAGATTGGTATTGCTGCCGAACAGATCGGTCAAAATCAATCCAGCGCTGTACAACTCTCTTGAGTTCATTGTAGCTGGTGTGTTGAACAACCCGAGAATCTTCCAGTAGTCTGAAGATGCATGATGGGAGCAAGTCTAACAATTCTTCATTATATATAACATAGTCATGAAAACGAGATTCGATCATTTTCTGTGCGAATTTTGCAACTTCTGGCATATTATGATCTTCTGCAATAAATTTAAGCCGTATACAGTTTGTTAGATCCAAATTTCCAAGATCTAAATAGAACTGCCTGCAGTACTCTTTCACATCATCAATGAGAAGAAAATCTGATATTTTGACAATGTCTTCAACATTGTCTGTGGTCAACGTTATAGAACCTGTGTACATGTAGTCTAAGACGATTCCAAACACATCATCTCTTTCTAAAATTAACGATTCTGACAGATCAAGTTCCCTTGTCAGGCGTTCCCTCATGTCACAAGTGAACATGGACAGAAAATATGGGCTCCATAGTGCCAGAACGGCTTTGTGGCCATTGAAGCACCGTCCGTTCAGCTTGATTGTCAGATCACAGAGCTCACCAGTTTCCCTCTGCCGAAGGAGAGGGCGTATAATAAAGTCTTGAGCATTTCTTGAAAAAGATTTTTTTGAAGCTTTCATATAATGTGACATTTTAGTCAAGTTTTGAGGACAACTGAGTCATTACGGACGAGATAACACCGAACTGCATTATAAATTATAATATAATGTTGTACAGCCGTGAAATCAATAACAACCCTTCTGGTATTAGAGTGATGTCCCTTTAGTAAAATAGAGAGCAAGCTCCTTCCCAGCGCGTGACACCATCGTTACACTCTCGGTAACATCGCTGCCACCAGTGTGGGCGCGGCCATTACAAGAATCTTGAAATTTGCCCTCCAACCCCATATGTAGTAACGTTTATACTTTTGTTTATGTCTGTGAGAATGCCATCATATTTTAATTTGAAAAGGTTTACGACTGACCATGTTTTCCAGATGAATTTACTTTGTTGTTTTGATAATCAGATTGGTTCGAGATTGCAGACTAACGGAAAATCAACCAACTCCTCCCTTACATTCTTACCATATCAATGACATGATAGATTTAATGAAATAGAAATTCAAATTGACCTACAAAGAAAGTAATTTAGCAGGGGTAAGTGTATTTGGCGTCATGACAGTCGTCACTTGTTTGTAAACATAACGGTCATTCGGTTGCGAGTTCAACTCCAAGCACGGTTGTGGCCACCTATTCACAGTGGGGAGTTTTGACTGGTGGCAGCGATAGTATAGAGAGCTCCGGGAACGTACTATCGCTGTGAGGAGCTTGAAATAGAGAGGTCGCAGTGAAAACGGAAGTTTATTTGTGCTCCATGACAGCGCGTGCTACCACTCGCGATATTTCCAAGCACCTGCCGATGCATTGAAACACCGATGTAGAGAGCTGGTGTACATGTGCTTTACAGAGACTTGAACGAACTTTGTTTACTATACATTTGCTGAAATGATATGGTGTTTTATTAATGAAATAAAACATACATTTATTTGTTTGGTAAGTGTCATCCGTCGATATTACGAACTGTTATAGGGATCGGTCAGTGTTTCTTCCATTTGGTCATGCATGCTCAGACTGTTACTGAGTTACCCCAGAAAATTTACTGAAAGTCAACTTTTGACAAGTTGGAGGTAACATGGGTGCTGGCTAGAAGAGCACCTCAACAACACGTCACCAATGTCACCTGGCAAAGGCTACAGAAGACCGAACGAAAATAATAAAAATAGAAAGATTTATTTCGTCATTCATTGGTAACATTCAAAGCATGCATACGACATTGTGTATTCAGGGATGTGAAATCTCCGTGGAAACGCGGAAAATCGCGTTTTTTAAAACAGTAGTCCTCGGACAAAATCATCCACCGCGGAAAAAATTGTTAAATTTAAAAAACAAAACACTCCGAAAAATATGATCGAAAACTGGACAATTGGAGCGGATTGTCCTGTTTTCGATCGGAGCTTTCACAGCATAGGTTTTCGGACATCATACGTTTTCTGTCACGAATACTTGCACTATAACGTGGGGTGTGGCGTCACACAGAAATTGTAAATACTCAGAGTCAGCTGATGGCTTGTTTTTAAGATAAAGTTGTCTTTTAGCCTGTAAGTGAATGAGATGTTTTACAGTTGTTCATGTGATAAGCGAGAAATTTATGAATGTTTCTTCAGCGTCCAAAACCCCATGTCATGGGGATATATATTGTATTAATGTCTTATGTTTGCAATGGAGTTTTGTTTTTTTCATCAAAAGGTAAGTACAAGGTAAGTTTTTTTCAATATGCTTCAACATGGGGAAAGGGTCAGACATTGCACGCTTGTGACAGTTGTCCTTGTGTCTGGGGGATGGGGGTTGAAGTTTATGGCAGTATTGCTCCCAGACCTGGCGGGTAGCCAGGTGCGCGAAAGCTATGCCCGATTTTTTTAAAGTACTGATTTAACTTCGAAATTTTACTGCATCTGCCATCTTGTTTATTTTACTTATTGACTTTTGCCATTGACTTATTACATTTCTTGGTGTGAATGTTGTCCAAACTGCATGAAATTGCTTAAAATGCAATCCAATGTTTTAAACATTTCTGGGGGGGGCATACCCCCAGACTTTTCCTCTTTTTTCGGCAAAACCTGCTCACATCCCTGTGTATTATGATCTGACAGGATCCTGTCGTTCATCTGTCAGATCCGGTCGTACAGTTTTAGTTTGACATTGGGCTAAACAGAGTAAAGGTACTTAAAACATCAAAGTTTGTTATGTTTCACCATCAGTTTAGTTGCACCTCTCAATCAGAATCAGAGAGTAAATATTAGTAAAGGATATATAATTTTAATGTAAATATGTGTAACATTTCACAGTTTTTTTTATTTGCATGTGAACCTGTGAGTTTAAATTCAATTACCGCTTGTTTTTAAAAACCAAAGTTAAATAAAAATAAGGTGATGTTTTGGCCCGAAAGTAGGAGTTGTTTTCGCTTTGGGCAAGGGTCTGTTTTCGCTCAGTTGCATTTTGCTGATGTGATGTTTTAGTGAGTGAGTTGGGTTTAACGCCGCTTTTAACAGTATTCCAGTTATATCATGGGGTGTCAGCTGAATGTGGGAGGAAAGCCCGGAGTGATGTAGGTCTCATACGTTTACCACTTCGGTGAAACCCACAAACAAGGATATGGTGCTGACAAACCTAGAAACATAATCGGCGCGAACCGTGATTCGAACCCACAATCATAGGTTTCTGGCATGCCCAAGTGACGCAACTCTGCACAGCGAATCACGACGCCTTACACAACTGGGCCACCCATGCCCCCTAACGTTTTAGCTATTACCCATGCAATGACCAATGTTGGTATAACATGCCAATCAAAGTACATGTTTTATACTTCAGTCGGAGTATATCACCAAATTATCCCAAACCTAAATCAGTGTATAATAACAACTGCTTTGCAATATTTCAGTTGAGAATCATATCCGATTTTTAGCTATCAGTTTCAAAGCAATTATTAAGTAACAACGAGCAAAAATTGGAAAAATGTTTAACATTAACCTATCTGGGATGGTCCACCAGGAAACATTGCAAAAGCAACGTGCTTCGAAATCATGTTTGTTATCATGTTTTGAGGTCACCTGAAGGTTAAAGAGATTGTGGTAAGTTGTAATCCTCTGAAGCCACAATGCTGATCACTGCCTATGATGTCGAATCTTTGTATTCCTGTAATTCAACAAGTGTGGATACTGATTTTTTGGTTAATTTTGGGTGCACAGCTGTTTAGAAAACAGAGCATGCACTTAAAATACAAACCTAAATGGGAACAATTTAGGGGGAAAATTGCGTTTGTTTGCTAAAAAATAAGTCTATAAGTTGTTAATTTGGTTGAAAATCAACAAATTATTAAATTATATATTTTTGTATATATGTCAACCTGATTAGTATGCTTTGAAAAGGGTGGATGTGCAGCACTGTAGCCCCCCACTGGATGTGGGTGTGTTCATAGTTTCAGATTGGGACAAATATTTAACAAAGTTACTTTTTTCATGATAACTTCTCAATACTGTTTAAAGCATCATTTCACTGACTCACTCTGTGGTTTGTCAGTAGAACACTGTACTGTGTGAACTTTTGATGTTTGTTTTCTTCTTTTTTAGACCTGAGAGAAAATTACTGCAATGAACATCAGCACCTTAGCCTTCAGCATATCAAGACGACCTTGGACGTTATCAGTGACAAATATTTCCAAACATATATGCAGTATACGTTCATATCGACATTGTGGAGAACCCACAAGCCATACAGGTAAATGTCAGTGGAAAGAGAAAACATTCCTGAGAGATTTGTCTCAAATGTGCTCTAGCCCTTTTCTCATACACCACAAGTCTGTGTCCTTCACCTCATGTTCCAGATGGGCAGATAACTCTCGAGGAAAGATGACCACCATAGCTCTAAACAACTTCAAGCAAAAAACTTCAGACCCATCATACCAGACAAGTTTCACTGATTGGGAAGATTTGGAAAACAAATTCCTTGAAGAGAATCCGTCCATGAAAAAGACCTTTGAGACTCTGTGCATGAGTCATGTTTTAAAGTCGGGCAACATGGAACAGGCCAAGAGTTACCTTAGTTATATTCACAGCAAGAGAAGCAAGGCCAATCTGACCACCCTGGGGCTGTTTATCAGTGTGTGTGGGCAGATGTGTGGCAGGAGCGAGCAAGATCTGCTGTACAAACTCTATGAGGAGATGCTTGAGATATCGCCTCTCAGTAGCACTGTCATGTTGAGTGATCTGGTCCACGGCTTCTCTCACACAGATCGCTGGAAAGATTGTGTAGCATTGATTGAAAATGCCAAAGAATTAAATCATTCCAAAACCGTCTTGTACAATGATGTGATTATGGCAGCACTGCGAAATGGGGACATTGGTAAAGTGCAGGAGTTGCTGGATGTTCTGGGGCTTGAAGGAGAATCTCCGTCGGATGTTCTTTACAAGATGTTCTTTAAGTTTTGTGAAAACACTCGTTATGGTATCAGTGTCTTCATGCTGTTTGAGTATATGAGGAAGCATCGTTGGCAGCTCAGTGAGGATGTTGCAGATATGTTAATGCAGCATTTCCATAGGTAATTATCTTATTATTATTAGTGTAAGGGGAATAAAGGAATGGGTGCTGTCTGTCCGTCACATTTTATTTCCGATGAGAGATATCTTATCCAAATTTGGCACATAGGTAGGTCCAGTGGTGAACTGGTGCCTTTTGATAGTTTGGTGTTTTTTTTAAATTTATATTTTGAGTTTTCATGGCAACGACTTTCACTTAGACTGAAAATCACCAAACTTGGCACACATCTTGAATACTGTATAATATTTCTTCACCAAACTTGGCACATAAATAGGTCTAGTGGTAAACTGGTGCCTTTTAATAGTTTGGGATTTAAAAAAAAAATATTTTTCGAGTTTCCATAGCAACGACTTTGACTTAGACTGAAAATGGCAGTAGTGCTCGTTTCCGGCATAGATCTTGAAGAACGTTCAATATTTCTTGCCTTGTACACAACAGGACATGTCATATTGGTTAGGGACATGGGTGTTTCATGCTTGTTGTAGCAGGGTTTGGAGTCACCTCGCAGATGACACCCTCAACACCTCGCAGATGACACCCTCAACATTGGGCGCCAATGTAAGAGACATAAAATTTCCAGTGATGGGATTTGAACCACCTTCGGATCAGAAGTTGGACGCCTTGTGCACATTACCCAAGAGGTTAACCTGTCAGCACGTGGGATGACTACATGTCCTGCAACAACATTGATATAATAAATACCAACCTATCTGTTATATTGTCTGCAGAGCTTGCAGTGATACAGTTGATCTGTTTCAGGTTCTACGGTGGCAAGTACAAGTGCAGAAAGACAAGTGTATCTCCCAGGTGAGTAAGATGGGACTGAGAGGGGCTGAGGGATACAGGAAATTGTCCTAATTGCCCAGTCTCCAAAATAACAGCCTGCCTGCCTGCCTGTGACTGGTAACTTTTCCTCCACCTGGCCGACTGTCTGGCAGATATTTTTATTTGTCAGACTACTTATTTATTCAGTTATATCATAACTCCTCATAGCTTCTCAAGTAATTGTGGACCGCCTCCGTGGTCTAGTGGTAGAGCGTCCGCCAGGAGAGCGGAAGGTCCGGGGTTTGATCCCCGACCGCGTCATACCAAAAGACATTAAAAGATGGTACTTGTTGTTACCCTGTCTGGCGCTCGGCATTAAGGGGCTAAAACAAGGACTGGTCGGCTCGGAGTCAGTATACTGTGTCTGAGTGGGGTATTCATGTTAAACTGCGGCATGGTATAAATCGGCATCAGTCCGGACTAGTACAAGCAGCCACACAAACACACAAACGTACATGCCTGTTGCTGTATAAGTGCAATAATCTTGGATGCGACGTTAAACCCCATTTCACCTCACCTCAAGTAAATGTTTGCATTATTTCAGCTGAATCAAGATGCAATTTGTCTCTTATTTTTGGTGATTTTTCAATATTTATGATGTCTAAATGCAGGTAGGTAACTTTGAAGATGGGCAGGCAGCATTTATGGGTCACCTGCCCGACTGTCTTGCTGGGTTTTGAAATTATTTCAAACATTGTAATTACGTATTGTTCGTATTCAGGAATAATTAAGATGATATTATCCTTTGGTCATGACCTTGTGGGAATGTTATCATGGGTATCAGAGATTCAGGAGGTTCAAACCTGATTTTCAATGTGGCTGCCATAGGATTGGTGAAGCATGTTGTTTTATCAATATTGTACATTTCACAGAAAAGTGTATTTTAAGAAAAAACTTAAATCTGTTCCAGTGGACATTGCAAATCATGTGACCTTCTGTTGGAAAAGCTTGAGCTGCCTGATGACAAGTTTGCGTTGCTGCAGAGTGCCATCTTGGAGAAGACTCTACTCCAGGACAATGCTTATCTACGATCTTCACCAGAAGAAATCACAAGCTTCCAACAGTTATTGAAGAAGCATGCTCCTTTTGATGTTGTGATCGATACTCTGAGTGTTATGCATACAGACGGTCGCTTTAAAGTACAGGTGAGTTGTGTTGCAGTGTATACATGACTTGCAGCTTTCATTCTGTAAAGAACCGCCTCCGTGGTAGAGCGGAAGGTCCTGGGTTTGATCCCTGGCCGCGTCATACCAAAAGACGTTAAAAGATGGTACTTGTTGTTAATCTGTCTGGCGCTCGGCATTAGGGGCTAAAACAAGGACTGGTAGGCTCAGAGTCAGTATACTGTGTCTGAGTGGGGTATTCATGTTACACTGTGGCATGGTATTTCAGTGAACTAGCACTATAAATCGGCATCAGTCCGGACTATTACAAGCAGCCACACACACACACACATGCATGCAAATCGCTATATAAGTGCAATAATCTTGGACGCGACGTAAAACCCAATTTCACCTCACCTCATTCTATAAAGGTTTTGGTTGTGGTTAATAGCGACCTGCAGCACTTCGGGATTTCCTCCCACATTAAGCTGACAGGCTGTGATATACATGTAACTACTGTTCAAAGTGGCGTTAAACTCAACTTACTCACTCACTACAATCTGGGGGGTGTTTTGTTACATCTTACAATTGACTTTTCAACCTTCAGGTGACCCGTAACTTCCATTCTATAGGTGAGTTAAATAAGGATAAGATATATGGATGAACAACTTCTTTATTTCGGTTAGGAGTGATGTTTCTGTGTCAGAACGTCACTCCTAACTGTAATAAGGTGTTTGTACATCCATTTATCCATTTATCATCCAAAACTGGCTCCCACAGGAGATATCGCTTGGGTGAGATCAAGCGATATCTACACTGTAGATATCGCTGCAATGAAATTGCATCTCAATGCTTTGCAGACCATTGTGACATCATTGGTTACCATGACATCACAATCAAATGACATCACTAATGGCTCTGCTACTGAAGCTATTAGCAGTACTTTTTACACTTAAGACACTGCTTATTACTTTCTACAAACTGAAAAAGTTGGAAGAATGATGTTGGATGATAAATAAAATCTCACCCGAGTGTCTTTTGATATCAAATATATCAACACTTGTTGATAAAAGTGGAAAAAAACCTCGGCAAGCCTCAGAGTTTTCCCACTTTTATCAACTTGTGTTGATATATTTGATATCAAAAGACACTCGGGTGAGATTCTCTATATATTTTATCCTTACATCGTCTTCCAACTGCTAAATGCCTCTCAAAGAAACTATAGGTGAGTTGTATCTTGTTCAGTATTCAGAAAGTACTCTTGTATTACCTTAAACATGGTGTGCAGCTTGTGAGGCCTATCCTTGGTATCCCCTGCTGTGAGACCCGTGAAGATTCCTGGGTAGAAAAGTTCTTCAGCAACCCATGCTTGCCGTAAAAAGTGACTATGCTTGTCTTAAAAGGCGACTTATGGGATTGGGTGGTCAGGCTCGCTGACTTGGTTGATGCATGTCATCGACCCCAATTGCGTAGATCGATGCTCATGATATTAATCACTGGATTGTCTGGTTCCAGACTCGATTATTTACAGACCGCCGTCATATAGCTGGAATATAGCTGAGTGCGGCGTTAAACAACAAACAAACCAACCCAGCTGTGATATGGTTGACACATAGCTATGATAGTGTAACACCCTAACTTACACATTATTGTAACACTGATCCAGATGAGCCATGGTGTGTGGAATGTTTTTCAGTACCTGAAAGATGTTGTCGACTACTTTGCCGTCAAGCGAAGGGCGAAGGTTCTGCTGATATGTCGAAGAAGTCCGGGAAAGTTGAAGTCTATCATACCATACTTACAAGCACACACACAGATATTCTTCACAGAAAAAACGTAAGATAACAACCGTCCTCTGTTCTGCCTACAGCTTATCTTTCCATATCTGCTATGAGCAGATCATGTCAAATAAGGAAGGGGTGGTCGGGTAGCCTGGTGGTTAAAGCGTTTGTTCATCACGCCAAGGACCCAGGTTCAATTCCCCACATGGGTACAATGGTGTCCCCAGTCATGATATTGCTGGAATACTGCTAAAAGCGGCGTAAACCAATATTAACTCACTCACTCACTAGTTTATTGAAGAAGTTGTAAAGTTATGTTTAAATCAATAATCTGATAAATGATGCTAATTGATGAGTATTTTGTGTAGTAGGTATGTCTACGCAGTGGTCATATGTCAGGTAGTCGATTGTATGCATAATGGGGTCCCGTCTTGCGTTCATGTTACGTCCTCTACTGATTTAGTTTCCAAGTGCCAGTCTGGTCTTTAAAAATTCTAGTGCAATCATCTCAAATAATGTCATTGTTTGTCCCTCAACAACGGGAACTGTTTGTCACTACACTCCTGTCCTCTGCCAGCTCCAAGGACGACCCGTTTGTGCTGTATGCGGCTGCTCACAGCGGCAAGGCCTGCCATTACGTGTCCCGCGACTTCATGCGTGACCACAAGAGCCTGCTTGGACCTGAACTGAAGGAGACGTTTGAGAAATGGCAGTGGTCACGTCAGATCACTTGGACAGATGGGAAGGAATTTCTGGTTGGTGTCCTGTTCATGTTTAATATCTTCAGGACCTGTGAAGATCCGGGGTAGAATGGGTCTTCAGCATCCCATGCTTGCCGTGAAAGGCGACTATGCTTGTCATAAGAGGCGACTAAAGGGATCGAGTGGTCAGACTCGCTGACTTGGTTGATGCATGTCATTGTATCCCAATTGCGTAGATCAATGCTCATGATGTCAATCACTGGATCGTCTGGTCAGACTCGATTATTAAAAGACCGCCGTCATATAGCTGGAATATTGCAGAGTGCGGCTTTAAACAACAAACATGATATCTTCAGGCTGGTTGGGGGCAGGTATATAATGTGATCTGTTCTGGCAGTTTCACCTCTAAATGCGTTACCCATGTATGTTGTTAACATGCCCTGTAAAGTAATCTTTGAAGTGTACACGTGTCCCTTTACCGATATGCTGTCAAAATGTGATTGTCCAATGTGAACATGCTTTTCCGATGTCCTTATATTGATGGGTATATTCAATATGTTATTCAACACACCAGACCTACGATATGTGGGGCATGGGTGGTTCAGTCGTCTGTGGACATCTAAAGTGCAGGATTCTGCTTGATGGCAGTCTCAGAAACTGGGTCGGGCAAGTTGGAGATGGTATTTCAACACCGTGTGTGACAGCTGTATTAGTGTCACATCACACACTGATAGTAGGTCCGACCCATGAAGGTCCAAGTTGGAATAGGTCTTCAGCAACCCATGCTTGTTGTAAAGGCGACTATGCTTGTCATAAGAGGCGACTAACAGGATCCGGTGGTCAGGCTCACTGACTTAGTTGATGCATGATCATCCCAATTGCATGGATCGATGCTCAGGATGTCAATCACTGGATTGTCTGGCCCAGACTTGATTATTTACAGACCGCCATCATATAGCTGGAATATTGCTGAGTGCAGTGTTAAACAGCAAACGATAGTAGATCATGTATTCAGTTGCTGGTTTACTGGCCTGTATTTACAGGCTGCTGTCATGTAGCTGGAATACTGCTGACAGTGACACTGAACAACATTCGCTCACTCCCCTTGGACACAAACATGCTCAGTGTATGATTTTGTTTGTTACTATTTCAGTTCCCCCACATCAATGAAACCATTGTACAACAGAGTGAGAGTGGCTGGCATGTCCCATATGTCAGCTCAACAGAGAAGAGGATTCTAGATCAGTCCAACTCCTGGGTCTGTGTCCAACAAGAGAACACTGAGAAAACATACATCTTGAAATCCAGTCAGGCAGAATGATATAATACCTCATGCTTTCAACATAGGAACCCGTGAAATCCGGGCATAGAATAGGTCTTCAGCAACCCATGTGACTAAGGTTATTGTAAGGAGAAACGGGATCAGGTGGTCAGGCTGTCAAGTTGATGCATGTCATCGTATCCCAATTGCTTAGATCAATGCTCATGATGTCAATCACTGGATTGTCTGGCACAGACTCAATTATTTACAGGCCGCTGACATCGAGTTGGAATATTAATGAGTGCGGCGTGAAACAACAATCAAGCTTCCAACACAGATGATTCTGAGATCAGAATACGATGATGATTCGGAGATACAGAAAATGGACACTTGCACAGATGAACAGAGTGAACTTCTGGATGTCAATGTCTTTATTCTTTGGATGACATTATGGTTTCGGCCTGGTTTTGATTCCCCACACTGGGTCACTCACCCATTGATACTACAGCTTCTCAATATCACTTATACATACTGCACTTGCATGGGTTATGCCTGGAAAACAACCTCAGCTGCCACCTGACTGTCTCATCACATGGATCCAGGCTGTCAATCTCATCTTGATGAACAATGGTTAAAAAATAGTTTCATTTGATATTCAGAATCAGTGGGACCAGACCCTCCATGCAAAGAATATATATTTTTCCCAGTCTGTAGACAGTGGTAGAGCAGTATGACATGATTCTAGCTGGGAAATGCCTCACCTAGGTAAATTTCAAACAAACCTCCCTTAATCTGTGATACACCTACAAGAGGAATATACGAGAATAATTCAATGAAATGGCTTCAGATGTCTGTCCCCCGCTGTGATATTGCTAAAAGGGGCATACAACCATACTCACTTACTTCAGATGTCTGCAAAAAGGTTGAACTTTGGTCGACAGTGTAAATGGAAAATACAACAAACCATTTCAATATTACCATAATTTGTTTTATTTACACAGACATACATCTTGTACATACGAGCTATATGACATGTTTCCACATAAACATGTATACCCCCATGTTTATAACATAAGCATCACATACAAGTTTTTTCTGAAAAAGAAAATCACCAGTTCGTTAAAATATCTTGTCATGGATTTCAACTTAAATTGGAAATGAGAACATGGAAGATAAAGCACTGTCAACAAGGTTACATTTTTTTAAAATGTAAATCAAATCCCGTGTTCTTGCCAAAGTTAGGATCATGAATATTTTGGGGGATATTTTATGAAATTGTGTGCTTAATCTTCACTACAGAAAAAATATCCCCCAAAATATTCATTATCTTTGTTCAGTATATAATAAACAACCAGTCCCTAATGAGAGGTATATATAATCATTTGTCACGGCTAGTTAACAAATATGTTAGCTGTTAGTGCATCCGTGACTTTCCTAGTGGAAAATATCTATTGAGTATGCCAGAAGAGTAATAGTCAGGTAGATAGAGATTCTAGACTTTCACTCCCACTGAACCAGTCACAATACAGAATACATGGACTCTTGATCCACAGCTCCTGCCATGGCCTTCGCACACAAGATGACGCTCTATTGAACTGAGATCATAGGACGTGATTTATTCCATGAATAGAAAATATAGGAACAAGCTGACAATGACTTATTTATGGAATTGAGTACCTGGGGAGTTATTGGGATACACACCGAATGTCAATTTTAATCAAATGAGAAATTGAGAGGTGGAATACAATGTAGAGAAATTACTTTATGTTCCTAGAGTTTTGAACTCAAAAGAGTGATGTCTAAAACAATGGTGAAGTTCTTACAGAACTAAAGAATGAACATTATGGAGATACTTCACAATGAGGAGTATGTGAAGAATAATTGTAGAAACACTCAGTGTTGCCTTGTTGTCTGAGGACCCAGTTCCGTTTGAATAATGACATATATAATGCAGTGTGCTCTGGTGGAATAAATCAGATCTTTTGTGCGTATATGTATGTGTATACTTGTGTCTCCAAACTAAATCAATCCTTTGAGGATTTCAACTGTATGACCACGCCACCACTGAAGTTAAGCAGGTGTTGATGTATTAAGTCTCTTACCATTCAGAGAATATTCAAATATGGATCTTCGTGATGTCTATATAACTAGACAAACTGCATCTGGAATCTGCCAGAAAATACGTGAACACCCAAAAGTAGCATTTTTCGAGCCAAAGCTCTTCCTTTTCCTTAATGTTCACCACCACATTCCTGTATTGTGTTAATCTCGATCAGTTTGGACCAAGGCTCTATCTAGAATGGCTCAGAGGCCGGTATTTGGCCCAAAATCTGCAGGAAAACTTCCCAAATGAGAATTAAAACTTTCCCAAATGAGAATTAAAACTTTCCTACTTTATGTTAATATAGTAGTAATATACTAATGTGATGGCTTGGTCAAGCTGACCTGTATTTCACAGGACCGGTAAAGAGGAAGTCATTTTGAGGTTACATTATTGAATGCAATGTTAAAGGTGAAACATCTTAAAAAATCCCAATTTTGTACCAAAATAATAAATTCACAATTATTTTCATGCCTAGAGAAATTGTTTCTCGTTAAATCGGAATAAATGGCAAGGTGATGGCCGAATGTACCTTCAGACATACATGGAAGACTTTCATCAACATAACAAGGAGATAATACTGTTGAATTGTTGTCACTCTATTAACATGCATCGTACTGTTGTTATAACGTGACTTACAGAAAGAAAATAATCCAATATTGGTCGCAAATAAAAAAAATGTGGTTGGTCCCCGAGTGAAATGACGAAGTAGAGGAAGAAACTTGACAAGTTACATGACCAGAGTTACTTCCATTCCCATATCAATCGATTTTTCACATTTTTCATTTCTTTAATAAAATTTAACAGAATCACCAGGAACTTGTGCAAGTTTTCTCCAAAATCTGTAAAACAGGTATAAAAAAGTCCTTAATCTCTCATTTCTTCCTTTGAGTAGGACCATATACAAACAATGATCAACATGACCAAGGCCCTCCGACGACTGGCATGTGAGTGACAAGGATATGGTGAGGACAATTAGGATAACAGATAACAGTAAATGCTGTAATCCAACTGGCTTAACAAACAACGTGGAACTTTAAACTCCTCAACAGAACATAACTTTTGCATCCATGCACACAGCTGTTGAGTGCCAGCACATGTAAACATGATAAATACTGCATCTCAATATTACATTTAATACATATAACGTAACTGCAGTTACGTAAGGGATCGACCATTTGAAATTCGGGGGGGGTGCTGGGGCTGGGATTTTGTATCGAGATTAGATATTTTTCCAGCCACAGCAACAAAGCCAGATATTTTTGCATTTAAAATTAGGAGCCTGATTTTATTCGAGTTTGATGCAAAATTATTTCTTTCAAGATTTTTTGGGGGACAATTTGTCTTTTTCGATAAAATCCCAGGCCCCCTAGAATATCAAATAGATGATCCCTGACTAAAGGACAGCAGCTGGTGTTCTTGAATTGTGTACATTTTATTACCTTTAAGTGAAGCTGAACATGCACAAGTGGGATACGTTTGTATGCCACCATTACCAAGCAACCTACCACACCCATTCAGGTCCACACTATGGTCCTAGTGTCACTCTCACCCTCTATACCAAGTTTGTTCTCACATGTGCATGTGCTCAGTGCTATTATTCATGACACGTTACAACCAGCTTTCACAGCTGTAACCAAAACAAAATGCCGTAACGTACAAAAAATATATATGTCAATAATATATATGATGTATATGATACATATAACATGTACATGACGTACCAGTCACAACAGGATCTGCAGCTGAGAACAACTGTGAACACCCAGGCTAGCTTCCCGAGGCAAGGGAGTTAACTGACCACAAAACAATCCAGTTTCCACTTTTATAGTCAGTTACCTCCCTTGCCTTGGGAAGCTGACTGTAGGCAGTGTAATATGAACACTTATTTGTAGTCTTGCTAAATAATAAGCTCTTCAAAATTATCAGGTTTTTGTATGTTTTTCCATCCTTTCAATATCAACTGTTTTAGTAAGTTTAAAGCGTATGAAGAAGTTGCAAGTGATTCATTTGGCATTGATTTGGCTAACAGAGCAAGATTAGCGTTTGTTTCCATAAGCCGAAAAAAACATAAGGCAGACAATCGTTTCCTGATTGGCTGATAATGAAATGGGAGGAGCTTGTGTTGTACTATTGCACTGAACGATGTCATTGATTTCGTAGTGTTGTATACGGTTTCTGAAGTTATTATTGAAAATAGAAATTGGAATTGAATATTGGAATAGAAAATGTGATGCCTGTTACCATGTTGTTCACTTGAATTAAAGTTTCTAATTTCTTTAAACATTGAAATGATAAAGATCAAGTTCAAACTAAAAATTGCTCAAACCATGCTAACAATTGAAATAGTCAATTTTGTCAATGTTAATACTTAAAGCCTGTTGTACACCCCAAGTGGTCAAAGTTGATGCTTGCAGTATTTCTGAAGTAGACAATGAAGTGGACACATGGTACACACAATGTCAAGATCAATGAAGATAACAAAATATTCTTTAAATAAAATAAACAGATGCAGACATGACACCCAACCCTTGCTTAATTAATGTTTGATCAAAGCTCAACTGAAGGAAGATCACTAATACTGTGGTTTATAGCTGTGTCTGCCTACTGGTGCATTGAATACACTATTATGACCAGTGCCCTGTGAAGATCACTAGGAAGATGTGTGTGCCATCAACTACAATGTATTACTGTTGTACTGAAGCACCAATGGTTATTGTTGGCTTCAAACAATGTGATAGCTCACCTTTCCTAAATTTGAGTTCATAATGTTCAACAGATGACATTGTTGACAACACGACATAGCCGGCCAACACACAACATGGCTGACCAGCACGTGACATTGCTGACCAACAGATGCCATAGCTGACCAACTCTTCTACATCCCTTGATTTGTGACTGTGCTTTTTCCCAACCTTCTTTAGTTGCATGGTTCAATATTTGATGATCACTACTGAATCAAAAAGCATCCAAAGATCCCAGCCCCAGGTTTCACCACCCATCATGACTAGTGAAGTAGTTAACATTGGTGCCAGAAGAGACAGATCACATAAATAAGCTTGAGTCCACCACCGCCACCTCACGTCCTGAGTATTCTTGTCCATTTGTTCCTCCACAAAGGATTCAGGAAATAAATTAAGCTTTGATCCTAAACACAGTATGCAAAGTATTGTACAGGGTTTGAACAAAGATTATACTCCAATACAGATTCCCACATGATATTCTTACCTCCTGGACACACCCCCTGCCCAATGCATAACTGTACGCATACATACATCCCACCATTGTCCTGGCACACAAATGCATCAGGCTTGAGTAATATCGGATTCCTTCTATGGCAGTCCTGATCTGCATCATACTTTTGTGACCACTCCTGGCTGTTGCGACTGAGAAGCCTGTGCTTTTTTCATATCCCGCTTTCTCTTGTTTGCATAAATACGTAAGAAGAGAGCTAGGAAAACTGTACCAATGCCAAATGCTCCTAAGATTGTGACAGGGTGGCCATAGATCATGCACGAGAGCAGGATAGCCAAACCTTGTCGCACTGTCATGATGATCACAAATGTCACGGCACCAAAGCTGGCGATGGTGTAGAAGATGAAGAGCTGTCCACAAGCAGAGCAGATACTGAGGACAACTGAGTGGAATATAAAGTCAGGATGGCGGACCATGAAGCTTGAGGACTCCAGGAACCCGCCTTGTTCAATCAGAGCCACAGTCGTCAGGAGACAGGAGAACATGTTCACACCAGCCATCATCTGTATGGAGGACATCTTGTGTTGGGTGAACAGCGCCCCCTGCCAGTTGGAGGTAAAACTATCAAACAGCATGTAACCTACCAGTAGGATGACGCCTGAGAAGGTCGTCACTGTTCCCTTGTCTCGTGTGGCATCGCCACTGGTGAGAAGAAACATGCTGACACCAACAGAGATCAAAGCAGCTGTGAAATATTCGTGGTATTCATATGTCTTCTTCTGCACAGCTTTCCCCATCAGCATCACCGGTATGACTTTGGAAGCCTTTGCTAGGACCTGTGTTGGGAAGCTGACATACTTCAGAGCCTCGTACTGGAACCAGCTGCTCATGATGTTGGAGAACGAGCTGTAGGAGTATTTGTACAGTGGGGCTGTATGAGGGGGCTGCTTCTTACAGAAGATAACCAAAATTGCAATCATGAAGGCTAGAATTCGGTTGACAAACACAAGGAAGGTGGAATTCTTGAAGTACTCTCCTTCGGCTGTGTCAGTCTTGCCGTACTGGAATGTCATGATGCGCTCCTGCAGCAAGCCCCATGTGAGGTAGGAGAACTGGAGTCCAGTGAAGCAGAAAAGCAGCTTCAGCCCCTGGTTGACCGGGGTTGATCCCCCGGGGTCCGACTTGTCCTGAGTTTGTTGACCTTCCTCCAAGCTGGCCTTCTCATGTTCCTTCCCGAACACACACAACACAGTGAAGTTGGACAAGCATCCAGGGCCTGCAGGATACAAGGTGAAGGATTAGAAGCAATATAGGGACCCTGCTATATTATATATATTTTCAAATACACTTTTTAACATTACTGGGATAATGGAATCATTTTTTGTATCAATAGCATCAAATAATATTGAAAAATCAAGTTTCTAACTTAAAACACACTTATTCCTCTGTAAACATGGTAAATACAGACATTTCACTTCTGTGAAAGTGACTAAATAACTGGATTTAGGTATATTATTCTCATCATTATTTCAGTTATAACACAGAAAGTCAATATTGTGTGGGAGAAAGACAAGACCCTTGCAGGGCGTAGACACTGACCACTTACGTCAGACAAGGCATCATAACCAGTGAAATCAGATCAAAGTAGAGCTGCCAGATTTGTTAAACTTATAGCTGCAGACTTTTTGAAGAACACGGATTGGCATATCAAAGTAAACCTGGGAAAAAAGAATGGAACTTCTGTGCCTACCTGCTGTTTCATTGTATTTGCTCTTCCGCAAGTAGCTGATGAGGAGAGCTCCTGGAACAAAGATGGTGGCATATCCCAGGATGTTGACCCCGAGGCGGAACAACCAGAAGTCTGTCCACTGACTGACTTGGTGGGAGGCTGGCTGTTCCCCAGCGACACCACTGGCCTGGCTGTAGACTAGGTAGGGTGCGATAACCAGAAACACAAACCCTAATCCGATGTAAGCCATGCTGAAAGGACAGACAAGAAGATGCTTAGCCAGTCACCCAAACAGTGTTCTCTGTGTTATATAAGGATTCAAAGTTTATTCAGAATTAGTTTACTTATCAACCCTAGATGAAAACATCAAGTTTTTCATTCACTAATATTCTCTTACATATCAAAATAATTATTTAGACACTGTGCAATAATCTTCATACAGCCAAGTCAACAAAACATTTTAGTAGTTTTTACCCCTTTACAGCTTGTATGCAATAAATTTTTAAATATGTAAGAAATTCCTCATGTTCAAAAAACAAACAACAAGAAAAACTAAAAATGTGCACAGATTCAATGAATTCTTCAAAACAATAATTAAAACAAACTAAAGCAGGATAAATAATTCAACAATTATGATTATGTTATTATTGCTTGGGCAGCATAGCATCCAGAATATTCCAATGTTTATATTTCATACACAGAACAATATCATTAATCGTCTGGAAGTATAAAACAACAATAATTTACCAACTGTACAGTAACATGGTAATATCAGATATCATTTCCCTCTACATAAACATTTAGCACTAGTATATTCATTGGAATATGTTGATATTGTTGATAACAAAAATCATACTATGATTACTAAGGGGGTTAACAGTGAGGGGGTTAAAATATTAGGTACAGAATGAGATTAATCATGTTAATAGAATGGCAAACAAAATCACAATTGAGAACATTTCAATTTTGGTTTCCATTTGACATAACTTTAAAGAAAAAAGTGAGGATTTGTCATGTTTGTTGATCACTTGAATTCTTCTAATATTTGCACCACCATAATTTTTTTTTATCACAATCCTCACTTGATTATGATGATAAATGTATGCAAGAAATCCCCATGCGATATATTATGTTTCAACTTAATGAACATATCACTTTATATCAAATTATAAAATCACACCTGAGTGAGTATGGTTTTACGCCGCTTTTTGCAATATTCCAGCAATATAATGTCGGGAATCGAACCTGGGTCTTCGGCATGACGAGCACACATGAATATATGGCAATGATGTGAGTCAAATTGGCATTTTTGAAAAAGTGTATATGTCCAGAACAAGATAAAAGTCTGGTGAGTAAACAACAGAGAAATTATCACTGGGATCATATACGCAAGCCTTCCTGCTCAACTCGCCCTGTGGCTTCACGGATAATAGGTTGGATAATAGGTGAAATTGCAACATGTCCAGAAACACATACCGTAGTTTATTAAATATCATAATTTACCATGGTTGTGATATATTGAAAGTGTAGCTTTATGACGATACATGTAGGATGGAGGTCATATTCCTGAGTGAGTGAGCTGGGTTTAAAACCTCATTGATCAGTACTCCATCTGATACTAGGGTATGAAAACAAGATATGTTCCAGACAGTGTTCAGTAGCTAGTCGTATATTGAATCTTGATTGACCGCCGTTTTGCTTTCTGTGACGATCGATATCATACTTTTTTATGGTCAATAATTAATTAAGTACAGATGAAAAAAGTATTCAAATAACTATTGCTATCAACGATATTTTAGTATTTGTGATTATATTATCTGTCTTGTTTTTAAATATTCTTTAGTTTAAAAAAAACCCTTTTCCCGTGAGGTCACTTGATAACCAATTATGGGATAATAGTCTCGATCCAAATGTTACAACGCGGACACTTGAGCAGATATCACTCATGAATATTAATTAGACCGTTCACAACGTTAACAGATCATTATTATAACAGAAACAAACGTATGTTTTCCATGTATATCTAAAATGATATTATTTATTATTAATTGTCCAGTGAATTAAACAATTGAAATTGAAATAATTCATCATATTATGAATACGTAAAAACTTGTAATGTGTGTGAAAAGTCGTACTAAAATACGCTATTTGAAGGGGGCGTGGCCTAAATGCAAATGTCCGATTGGGATTTTAAATTTTCCGGACCTCTGCCAGACACTGTTCTGGAAAAGTCCATGCAAGGTTTCAGCCTCAATGGCCCAGTGTTTCAGAGATTAATACTGTAAAACCTCACATTAACATGAAGACAACCAACCTTACTATAAACTCACACGAATTGATAGTTCATGTGAACTAAAAGCCAGTGTGGTCTCTATTTCAGTCTTGATAAGACTCTTTAGGAACGAAAAGGTTATCTGACATGTCTGATAATACTTTGTGTTGTTTCCTATCAATAAAAAAACGTGAATGTCACATGCTTTATATATCAACCAGTCATGATCAAATGATATTCTCAACTGCTGTACAGGGACATACATCATGGGAATGTAGGTGATAATCATGATAATATCTGGATGTTATCACAAAGTTGATGAACAGAGTGAGCTAAGACTGGATACATGTTGGTTGGTTGGTTTGTTCTTTTTACGCTGCACGCAGCAATATTCCAGCTGTATGATTTTGGTCTTTAAATAATCAAGTCTGGACCAGACAATCCAGTGATTAATATCATGAGCATCGATACACCCAATTAGGATCGATGACATGCATCAACCAAGTCGAGCCTGACCTCCTGATCACGTTAGTCGCCTCTTATGACAAGCATGGGTTGCTGAAGACCTTTTCTACCCCGGATCTTCACGGGTCGGTACATCATTGTTAATTACATGCCTCTTAAGTATCTCTACAATAGTAGTGATAGCAGATCAAGTACAGTTCACCATAATTAGTCACGCTTCTACAAACAGACATTTCCATGATTACAGGAACCAACTTCATGAATAAAACCTCACACAGCTCTGTCCAGGGATTTGTCTAGACCTACTCAGAACCCACTATCCGTCCCCATGTGACCTGTATTTCACTGATACACAGCTCTGTCCAGGGATTTGTCTAGACCTACTCAGAACCCACTATCCGTCCCCATGTGACCTGTATTTCACTGATACACAGCTCTGTCCAGGGATTTGTCTAGACCTTCTCAGAACCCACTATCCGTCCCCATGTGACCTGTATTTCACTGATACACAGCTCTGTCAAGACCTACTCAGAGCCCACTATCCGTCCCCATGTGACCTGTATTTCACTGTTAACAGAACCAAACAGGAGGAAAAGATTAATTTTACATCATTGTGTTGATGCCATGTTAAAATACTTCTCAAAAAAAGGAAAATTAGACCTCGCTTTTTCAAAAAGAAACCTGGACGTTTCCCTGTTCATTCTCAGAAAGTTGACAGGCACTTGAAACCTCTCTATTCAACTCATGGAGAAGAGTATTGTAGGTGGTAAGTTGGTGCCTCCTCTGCAGCCAACCCTCAGGCCGCCTTCTCAACAGGACAATACACAAATACTCCTAACAGCAGCAAAACATTCTTCCACAGCATCATCCATTTTTGCAAGATAATTAAAAAACTTTGATGAGTGTAAACAGACAAACGTTATCAAAGATTTTGATAGTGTAACGGGGGCTTAAGTGTCGAAAATTTGATTCATGTTTCTAGGTGTCCAAACTAAGTGTGTGTGTTTGTAGATGTCAGGGTATAAGGGCACAATATCAACCAAGTTATCCAGCCTGACCACCCGATCAATTAAATTGCTTCTTACGACTCGAATTAGAATGCTGGGGATCTATTCTAACTCAGAAACTGATGAAAGCCCGTTAGAAAAGTGTGCTGTAAGACCACTCCACTGTAATGTACTCCTATACCATGTGGGTATAAACTGTTTCTGGTTCAAGGACAACACAATGAGTCCTGTACTAGGTGTACAAAATAACCTGCGATAAAAGCTTTAATTACAGCTCAACATGATCCCCATACTTTTCAATCCTGACACTGAACAAGCCAAATACTGACCAATAATGATTGCTTACGATGAATAAAACCTTGAATATCAGCTTGCTCATTATAAACGTGATCAATTTATCAATACCATTCAGTGCTTGGAAAAAGGACAAACAAGCCTCCAGGGTCTTGGTTGAACATGTAAACACAAGGGAGAAGGAATCGGGGGAAAGTGTTTTAACCAACTTATAAACCATTGCAATGGCAGCATTAGAATTTTGCAATAGTCCCATGGTAGTTGCCAAACTGCCCAATAGTTAAGGTATCATAAGGACTTAGAGTAGACATTTGCCCTTTTTAAGGATTTTGCTATATGATATCATTATAAGGACTAGTGGACGAAAACTGAGTTTCTATGGCTAAATGCAAATAATACCAGAAAGAACAGAAAAAACAAGGATATCTTACAGTCAAACAATAGTGTAGTCGTAGTATAAGCAAATTCAATGACAGTGGGCGAGAGAAAGACCACAAGCAACATGTACACAACTGAAGGTGGTTTAGTGGGAAAACAGTCGGTTACCATGGCTGCAATACTACTCAACACTAGATGCATATTAAAGGGCTGTTTTTACAATTCAAATGTAAAACCTCCAAGCAGGTCTCTATACAGATGTAAAACATCCCAGCTGGTCTCACGTGGAAGTAGTACCTCCCACAAGGTTACTGTGAGATAGCCAGATACCTACCATACGATAGACAAGAGTGGCAGTAGGTCCACAAATACAATAACTGAACAAGTGTCCACACATTTAACCTCTGTGCCAAAACATCCCTGACAAGAAGTGCCCCCAACCTTGCCACTTTGTCCAATTAGTCTGTCCAGCACCTGTTCCGTTCATACGAATAAACTGTGCCAGCTGGTCATTGATTCAGTGTATGCCTGCAGCTATCGCCCAATCAAATCCACACCAAACACTGTACCACATGGATGCACAACACCATTCAAACTTCTTCCTTCAGTGGTTCAGAGAATTATCTCGGATTAACCATGAGACATTATCTCATATATAGAGAGACACTGGTACTATAAGCCTATTAGAATGGATGACTGGACAGGACTAAAACCTGACTGAAACCAAGCTTAATCTGGTTAAGTAAGCACATATATATATACACTTGTAGATTACTTGTTACGTATTACCCATAGTATCAACTAGTTTTGACTTTAAAAACACGAGCTGTATGAAGCCCTGTGATTGTGAAACATGACCTTCATTTGACATTAAGTGGAGTTATGATGTTGGCGATTCCATTCACTAGAAAAGAATTTTTTTATTGTCTTATCACGCTTGTGCATGAGCAACAGTAAATAAATAATTAAATGGTTTTTTTATTGGAATTACAAAGAAATATTAAAGAAATGCTCCTTAAATCATCCCTGAAAACAGATTATCTTATTATTGCTTTGCATCTCCCTCTTTACTTGGCATATTGACCAAGGGAATCTTTCAAACAAGAACTTGAATTGGTTGTGCCTATAAAATGTCCCAACAGTGAATGGAATGAACATTTGGTTGAGTGATGGGGATCTCAGCCTTAAGCAACAGTACTGTGCCTGCAAACCAAAACCCGGAACCCAGAACCCAGAAACCAAAAACCAGAACCAGTATTGTGGACCAGAAAACAAAGTATGCTTGCTAAAGAGTTTAAATAAAAAGTAGAACCAAATTTAACCACCTGTTCTTAAAAGGTTAATCATTACATTAATACAAAGTTTCAGTATGTATAGGTCCAAAATGATTTAAAGAAATAATTCTTTGATTGCATTCTAATAACAATCAAGGTTATGAGCAATTCCACCAACAGAATTATGAAAAACATAAAGCATTATTGAATGTGTGCAATGCAAGTTAGGACGAAGGTAGAAGCCACATACATATTACAGTGAAAAATCCAGAATAACTTTGTAACCATAATGATAACCGATAAAGCCTGTTTAAAACATCTACTTGCTGAAATATTTACAACAACCACATTACAAAATGCCTGCACAATAAAAACAAAGAAGACCAAGATTTCCCACCTGAAAACCAAACCAAGAAGCACCATGTCCACATGCTACACAGTAAGTAAGCTGTCAATGAAATCCGGGAAGCTTATTTCCTACCTGTTCCGACACCTTGTGCGTGTGTCATATGTTATGCTCGCACGTCCATCTCGCTCAAACACCGGCAACCGATACAAGTGGCTTTTCCTGTAGTGCATCATGTGATGAAAGCAGGTCAACATATCATACAACAGATGCACTACTGTTTGACTCAGTTTCCTAACTAAATGAATTATTCTCTTCATGGTGGGAAGGAACGCCAATGAGGATGTCCCATTGGAACTTTACATCTCACACATTAGAAACCCTGGACTAACAGCTATAGTTTGCAGTCCTGCATACATTCTGCCCTATCCACATGGTTCGAGAAGTAAAACCATCTCCACCATGAGCTGCATGGGATGATGTGAGAAGCGATAAGGTGATTATATCCCGAGGCATCAATCCAAAAATATATTTAAAAATAGCGCTTTAAGGAAGATCCTGTTGCTTTGCGACGTCATATTACTCATAAATCACACACACACAACACATATCACATAGGTATGTTTAATTTATGCATTCAGCCCCTCGTACATCATGCTGAGGCCCACTAAACTGAGACTACTTACTTGAGCTGGGAACATGTGAAAAGCCAATGACACACACATGATGACTGATAGAAAATGTACCGGTAAACATACTAAACATGTTTGTCTCATTCAAGGAGGGCTAGCTGCAAACTGCGATCACTTGTGAAATCAAGTTTCCACTATTCCTCTTGTCTAGTCTTATAAAAATCTATTTCTCAGGCTGTGCACTCAAGGGGGATAACTCTATAAGGTCAACTGTTTAAAAGAGACAGTTTATGCTTGCATTCATGTCAACAGGCTGTAAGAGCAGGAAGACTGAAGTACACCGGGAGCTGGACTCATGGTAAGTTACGGGCAGAGATGATGTAGTGCCTCTCACTTATAAATATATTTACATTTTAAGCTTCATAATATCATGTAAAACATTTGTTGATTAAATATACCATTGAAAAGAAGGACAACAACACACACATGAGTGATGATCACCTGTGCTCATGACATAGTAAAGGAATGAGAAAATGCGTTACCACCAAGCATATGTCAAAAATATTTTTGTTTTGCTCGTCTAACACTCATGCTCAACAATATTCTGGCTGTAAGTCCGCACCAGACAAACTGGTGATTGATATTATGAGCGATGTCCTCTGTTGCCAGGGAATGAACACATGCTAACATGCATACACCCTGTATTCCTGAACTACTTTCACCCTTTATTCCTGAACTACTTTCACCCTGTATTCCTGAACTACTTTCACCCTGTATTCCTGCACTACTTTCACCCAGTATTCCGGCACTACTTTCACCCTGTATTCCGGCACTACTTTCACCCTGTATTCCTGCACTACTTTCACCCAGTATTCCGGCACTACTTTCACCCAGTATTCCGGCACTACTTTCACCCTGTATTCCTGCACTACTTTCACCCTGTACTCCTGCACTACTTTCACCCTGTATTCCCGCACTACTTTCACCCTGTATTCCTGCACTACTTTCACCCTGTATTCCTGCACTACTTTCACCCAGTATTCCTGCACTACTTTCACCCTGTATTCCTGCACTACTTTCACCCTGTATTCCTGCACTACTTTCACCCAGTATTCCTGCACTACTTTCACCCTGTATTCCTGTACTACTTTCACCCTGTATTCCTGCACTACTTTCACCCAGTATTCTTGAACTGCTTTCACCCAGAATTACAGGAAAGCCAAATGAAATACCAAGACAATCATTGCCCCATGACCTTACTTGTCAAAGTTGACCCTGCTCAAGTGCTCTCTCCTATATGGCCTCCATAACATGACATATCCTGGTCTATTAGTTATCCATGACAGTAATTTCAAATATGATGTGGCCTGCTGTGATGCGGACAATGTGGCCTATAATTGATTGAGATGATCCAGCAGAATCATCAGCGAGATCTTTTTTTACCAAGGATACAGTAGATCACAGATGGTGGTAATTATGCCCATTATGAAGCAACTCAAAAAGTGTACTTTATAGTAGGATAAACTATTGCTGTCACTTAGCCACCAGGTCCTTGTGATCTAACCAATATTTCGCTTACTAAACACCAAGCTCTCTTCAATGAACAGGAAGACAGGGCATGGCTGATTAAAAGATACTGCAGAATAATAACATGCATAATCACTATTCTACCATGAATTCAGAAAATGTTTGAATTTGATTGGTCAATCAGAGGTATCAAATCACAATACAGCCCCTCTTATTGAATCAGCCAATTTGACAGCCAATCTCTGTCGAAGTTAATATTTTTAGAATAGAAGTTCTTTAACAGTCATAGCTGGTAGGCATATTTAAATAATTATAAGTCCAATTATAGGCTACAAAATGCAAAATGCTAAAATTAACATTTGAAACCTCAAGCTGGGTGTTCGGTTCCACATTCAATGTAGAGCAGTTAAATCTACAGGTGCTCTACATAGAAAACAGTACGTTCCTCTCCTAAATCATGGGGTGTCTCTCGGCATATCTTTCGTTGTTTTAGATTGCATGTACGTTAGATATACATGTCATATGCAAGACAATGATCTTTATTTATTCATTCAGTGACACAGCCTAATATATGTCCTCATAACATGAATAAAGTATGTATGACTAAGGCAAACACACTTACTACACAATGGACTACTTGATTGGAAAGTCAGGTGCACACGGTGTATATGACAACGAATACACTTGCCTTATTTCAGGACTTTCATGCAAGGTCTTGAGTTCTTGGTAAGACCATTCACTTGTTCCATCATGTTCTCAGATTGTGTACGCTTAACATGTTCAACAGTTTCAACTTTCCTAAAGCATGAAGTAACCAAATATGGAAATTTCCAGTATGTCAATCATGTTAATAAGTTGTCATAATATTCTAGAATAGTCTATAATTGTTTTAGCATGTTTAAAACATTATTTCATTTATTTTAAATCTTAAAATGTTTACAGATTTGGGGAAAGACTCAATAGAGTGAGGAATAGATGAGTGACAAAAATATTGGTTACCCAATGAAAAATGTAATAACTCAATTAAAATTGAAACCCTAGAGTAAAAACTCAATTGCTCGAAAAGTTATCTGGAGCTCTGCTTGAAGGTCAGTCGAGTTCCAATGAGCAGTCTCGACACTTGAACATGCTGAACATTATTGTTTTTCCTGTACATTCACATTAACCTATGACAGTCAAAGCCTAAACAAGCATTTGTGTGATGGACCCGGGATGCTGTTATTTGCAATTGACCTACAGAAACTTTCTAATTTATTAATCCCCCTATTCATTAATCCCATTAATTCATGTACAACATACACAATGTTCCTATTTCTGTGATCCTCTATGCATCAATCAGTCATATATCAAGTGTCCATGAATGGACTGCCAGACGTTTAACACAAAGTGAGTGAGTGAGTGAGTTTGGTTTTACGCCCCTTTTAGCAATATTCCAGCAATATCACGGTGGGGGACACCAGAAATGGGCTTCACACATTGTAGCCATGTCAGGAATCGAACCCGTCTTCGGCGTGATGAGCGAATGCTTTAACCACTAGGCTACCCGACCGCCCCTTTAACACAAGAAAGATTCCTTTGGAGGTTGACCGACAATGTACAGAAAAACAGAACAATTAACACGAGGTAACACAGAACTGGGAATCATTTCACAAAGAAATCTTAGCGGTTCTATCCAAAGTCTACACTCCCTTAATGACAGTGAGTCCAGCGATTGAGTATGCCGGTTCCAGCAATATTCCAGGAACATCATAACCATAGACACAAGAATTGGGCTTCACGCATTTACCTTTATCATGCAAATCAGCATCAAACCCAGGCATCAGTGTGATGAGCAAACGCTTTAGCCACCAAGCTACCCACCACCTTTAAATATGTTAACATTATGACAGTCCTGCTCATAGCACAAAGTCCCTATTGTGGAAAGGACCCATGACGCTCCCCAACAGCAAACAGTGAACACACTACATATGGAATCAGTGTCAACAGCAACTCCAACAGATAATAAATTCAGGTATCATACTCAAATCCTGACAAGCTGATATTAAAATAACATAGATGATTAACACAGGGTTCCAAACAAACTGGGTCCGCTTGAGACTAGTTATATATCAGAAGATGGCATGACCTTGTTGACTACCTCCATACTTAAAGTTGTCCGCAATTCTGTAGCAGGTCCATTTTTTCGACTAGTAAAAATAATTACTTATTTCTAACCTTATGGATGTAACAGAAATACCAATGATGTGATGCAGTTCCAGCAGTAGGTACTAACATTTTTAGTCCACTAGTCCTTTTAATGATAACATATATAAAAACCTTGCATATGGCACATTTCTACTAGTCCTTATAATACCTTAACAATTGTTTGGCAAGGACTACAGGACTAGTGCCAGTTTTGAATGCTGTAGTTCACGTACTTACAGTAAGAGTGGCTAAGTTTCCAAGTTGTCGTGCAGTATGATGTGGTGATGTGTCAGGAGTGGAGGTCTGTCAGCGGATACACCAGCTGTCCCAGCACTGCAGCCATGTGGCACCAGCCTAGATCATCCCTATCTCTCTGCACATCACTTCATTATTGATTACCAAGTACCAACAGGAGATTTGCTTCTCACAATGTATAAAATTTAATACTTGATAGATGACTGATCAATATTTTCACAGTAGCCTGTCAATACATAACACTCAACTTTTGTCCAACTTTAGTCCACGGCTTCGATAGATTAACTGCGGAAAGGATTACGTGAATAAGAGGAAAGGTTTGAAACAAATAACAGCCACTTTGCCTCAACATGCTCAAGCAGAGAGCTCAAATAATAAATCTTAATTTGAGTAACTCGTGAATTTTGAGAGTGCTTACGTCAAAAGGTCATGATCATATAGGCTAGGAAGTGCCATCTTCCTGAGGCAAGGGAGTTAACTGACTATAAAAGTAAAGTTTCAGCCCTTGTCTAAATAGGCTGGAATTATGGAGTTATATTTTGGCTGGACTAATCGACATCTGGTTTGTAAATTGTTGTGAAGATTTCGTTCGATTGCAGAATTTGCCAAGCATGTATACCATCA